TCAAAATAAACAATCAAAAGAATCAAAGAATATTTAGAGGGAAAACGGAGAGAAAATATTGATTGAAAAGTAAAATCCCATCATTGTACGCATATAATTTCATATAAATTTGAAAGATTTTACAATCAACATTTACAATCTTTTGCACAGCAAATTTTTGAGCATATTCCAATTTCAAGTCTAAAAGTTTCAAAAGTTTCAAATTCTTATAATTTGTAAAAATTCTTTCCGGAACCTGCACAATGTCAATAATATATTAATAGCATTGAGCGCATTTGCTGATATTCTTCATCAAATCGGCCATATTCCATTTGCGTATTTTATTTTTACTGGAATTACTTTTACACCATTATGGACATGTATTTGTATACAATTATTACCTAATTTCGGTCTAAATTTTGCAATGGCTATATTACTTTTTACCGGCATAGATCGATCCATCGCTATTTTAAAACCTTTAAGGTATTTGAACAGAATAAGTAATTTTAATTAAATTTGCTAATGGCAAAGCTAAATTATTTGTTGTCTTCCAATATATTTTCTAAATAACAAGTAATGGTCACTTATAGATATCGAACAATGAGGAAGAGAATTTCAATTCCATTAATGACCATACCAGCCACACTTTATGCAATTGCTATACTTACAATGGCTTGTATATATGCCATAAATAACGAGTAAGTTACATTTTCAGATTTTTCTCGAATTAAATGTCTGATCTGTGATTATCAGAGAAATTTTATCTGAGAAAATTGATGCAAATGCAAATGGAAATTGGAAGTTACTCGTTATTTTTGAGAAAACTCCTGCATTCCATTGAGAAAAATAAGCAGAAATTTGCATACTGTTATGGAAAATAAGAAAAGAAAGATGTGAAACGTGAAATGAACCTGAAAAAAAACCTTCTTATTAAGAAGGGAAAAAGATAAAAGTAACAAAATTTCTAAATTAAAAGAAAAAGAAGTATATGAGATGTTCGATGCTTGAAATATTTATTGAAAATATATTGAAATTTGATTTTGTTAATTGTCATTGGGTCTTTCTATAGTGACAAAGTAATCTGTGTTTTGGTAGCAATATACAGTGGTCAGTTCGATTGGATTTGGGGCATTTTGGCAACTGTTCTTAATTTAGCAACGATTACCCTTTATGCAGTACTTAGTCGAATTATAGTAAAGGCTCGAATATGTGAGTTATTTAAATAATTAGCAAAAGACATGTAAACAAAGTATCAACCTGGATGTTCTATGTCACCGAAAATATTTTTTGTTTTGTTTACTATTCAAATGCCATGGCAGAGTCTAATTAATTAACAATAACTGAAGTAGATGCTGTAGTACTACCTCACTTTTAATTTCAGCAACTAGAAATTTCGAACTGTTACAAACATTAAAGATAACAGTGGCATTTGTTGCATTGGGACATTTAGCAACAACGACCATTTATATGGTGACAAAGTTCTTGAATATTTCCGATGTGGCAAAGTTTTATATAGGATGCTATGCGGGAGTATTTATTAATACAAGCGTTTCATTCAATTGGTTACTTTACTACTGGAGAAGGTAAAAATTAACTAAAATTTCTTGTGAAAAAATATGTTGAAATGTTAACTTCAAATATTTACGTTTTATGTTGGAAGCATACCTCAGTGACTGACAATATTGATAGATTGGATCTATTGCTGTGATCATAAAAAATATTGCAGTGAAGAATATCGGAACTCATTTAGAAGACAATTCAAGAAGCTTCCATGTCTAAAGAATACCGTAAATTTGCAAACGAAACATAAAATGCAGCAAGTAACAACAGTTTACCGATTAGAACTTTCAAGACGTTTGTCGCATTAATCTGGCTCATTTGGTCAAATTTTCAAACAATATCCCATGGAGACGATTAAGTGGGAATATTGGCAATAATTACTATGTCCGTTCGATAAATTAATGAGATCATCGTGCAGCATTCCATATCGCTTCTTGAAGATTAATCGATGTAGGAAAAGTTTTGAAAGTTTTGGATATTTTTGTTGTTATAATTTCGCTAACTTTATTGTTATACAATAGAAAAAATAAATAAATAAATAAAATGAGTATTACTACACCAACAGTCCATCAAATATTCGTCAAATTGTCACACTTTCTCTCAACTATCGCTTCCCTTTCGCTTCAGCAGTGTTACTGTTACTGGTGTAAAGCAAATTTAGAATTTCTTTCTTACTGCCCTGTTTCCTTGTGAAACAAAGTAGCTTCCTTTCTTGATGGTTCAGATCGTTGACTTCTTTGTCCTCGATACTGGTAGAATCTCGAATTTGTACTGGTTCCGTTCTGTGTACGTGTACTGTGGGAGTCTTCGTGAAACATTTTATTATTCAAACCTCAAACTCAAACTTGAGTAATTAAACCTTAGATTAAAATTAAATATTATACAACATTACAATAATGAATTGATACATAACACACAAATGTAACTTAATTATAAAACATTTAAAGATACAAGCAAGCTAGACACCTCGCAACCGAGCCATACCAAACAATGGTTTTGTAAGGAAGAAAACTGGGAGGGATTTTATGGGTGTTAAGGTTACAAAGTGGATTAAAATCATTTAAAACAATAGCCTTTGTTCATTAGGTTATAGCTTCGCCATTGTGGCGACAACTGGTGTGTCACCTCTGATGTCACCTTTTGTGAAGTGAACTGAGTGAGTGAGTGTTGCTGAGATGAACCAAACCAAAACCTCCAAATAATGTTTCAACTCCTTTTGTACAATGAGCATTGGCTTACAACAAATTGAGAGCTATCAGATGATCTTTACTCTTTATATAGTGGGAGCTGGTTTATAACGTTTGTTACAATGGTGACTGTCAAAGTGGAACACTGCAATGGGAAGTTATTGAAACGATGAATTTACAAGCTGAAATGTTAACAGTAAAATATAAGTTTAAATGTTAGAACAATAAAATTGAAAGCAATTTACAACATTTCAAGCAATACACAAAGTTTATGTTTTTCCTCTGAGATATGAAATTGAAACAGTTTGACATATATTTAAGGAATATTCGAGAAACATGGATTCAATATAGAACTATTCCAACACATTATTAAATTATTTTGATTTTTTCGGCAATTACATCAAAAGTTTTTTGTGCCATAAAACGGTAATTCCGCATTTTAAAAAGGAGAGAAAAGGGATGAATGGTACAATTTTGCATTTCTTTTCCATCATAAACAATTTCACTTCTAAAAAAGTCAATAAATAAATTTAGTTTATAATATTTTGTTGTCGCTAAAATTAAGAAAGGAATTAGCTGAGCTATTATAACATTCAGATCTGTTTAAAACCGTGTTTGATAAATGACAGCTTCTTAATTTCTAAGCTAAATGATAACTTTGAAATTGCAAGATTGTTTCAAAAGTAATAAGAATTATGCCAAAAGGCTTCAAAAATATATATCTCAAATTTGGTCGAAAAAGTCCCGAAATTTTTCAAATTTATTTATATTAATTATACTTACAGAAAAACAAGAATGAAAATTATGGACAAAATTAGAGGAAATGAAATTATGCACCGAGTTACAAGAAATAAAATTGTATAAGAAAAATCTGTTATGGAATGCTAATGTATTATTGATATCCAAGATGCTATGAAACGGAAAACATGGAGGTTATTAAAATTAAATCGTATATAATATTTTAAAAAGGACAAATTCTTCTATTAGACGGATTTGTTCTTTATTCAGATAATAGTTTCAATTCAAACACTTTGTCATCATTTCCCTACTCTTATCAAATGCTAACTCAATTGAATTTCGAGCTCAAATTCTAATTCGAACTTCGGCTTCTGTTGTTGTATATATTTTTGAAATTTTTAGAAAAAAATTTCACTCAATTTGAGAAGTATAGCTGATGTTATCCGAAGAGAATAATTCCTACCAAAGCAGCCATTATATCATAAATTTATAAATCAAACAAATTAAATCTATTGGAAAGAGAGCTCACAAAGATAAATAGCATACATGTGTTACATCAATATTATGATGCATTCCAAAAACAAAAAATTCAAGTATTGGTTCAACGTTGGCGATTACTAATCAAGTAATCAAATGATCGAAGAATACCAGGTAAAATAAAGAAAAAAAATCACTAATTATTTACAATTTCCATTGAAGCGAGCTTACAATTTAGTTTTAAAAATTTTCTTTAAAAATTTAAAGAAAAAATTGTTGAATTGCTACATTTAGTGAACAAACACAAATTAACGTCATGAAAGTTTGCTGAACTGAGCAACTTAAGCAGCAGAAAAAGTAAACATACAGTCAAGTTGGTGGGACATTAATTTTTTAATATATCATAATTCGATAATGCAATAAGAAAAAGTCGTCAAAAAAAAAAAAAAAAAAAAAAAAATCAAAAATTAAAAGATTAAAAAAGTAGCATAAGCTAACAGAAAACAGGCAAAACTTCTGGATTTTAATATTTTGTGAAACATCAACTAATATCACACTTGCATGTGAAGTTTTTTAATAACAAGTCACTTTTTTTTTTTTAGAATTAAACTGAGGCATCGAATAGTGCTAGATCTAAACTAACATAAATCCAAATTCAAATTTAAATCAATGCAAAAAAAATAGCAATATAGCAATGGCGCCCAGAGAATTTCCAATTTGTGCATGAAATTCAATCTGAATATCTCATTTGATATAAGAATGATTACAAATAAAATAGAAACAAAGTATTTCAATATTATTAAGATCATGAAAAAAATGGAAAGAGATGATGACAATGAAAAAGAGGCTTAGAAATGAACAATGTATAAAAACTGGAAGAAATATAAGGTTGGAAGAAACTTTATATTTCTTTCAGTCAGTATTGCACTCGATTTTTTTTAGTTATATCATTTACATTATAGTAATTTACTTTTTCCAGTTGACAAAGGGAAATAAAATTAAACAACAACAATAACAACAAAAGAGTAACCTAAAACTTGAAAAGTTGCTTTACCTCTATCACACTGCAGTAACCGGTCCAAGTTCCGCAGCAACAGCAGCTGCATGTACAGCTTTTAGAGTATGCGCTTCGGAACACTTAGTTTTACGAATGCCAACAATTGGTGCCATTCGTTTCGTAAATTCGATATAATTTTTTTGCAGTTCATTCTATAATTTTATAAAAAATGAATTCTCACTGTAAAATTCCTCTAAATAATTCATTATGAAATAGAATTGGCAAATGAATTCAATAAGTAAACCTGATAAGCTTGTTGATCAGCTTGGATAAGCTTTCTGTTCTTTTGAAGAGCATCAGCACATTTTTTTGAGAAGTCTTTAAAACATAAGCGAAGCTTATTCTGGAATTTATCCATCGGCTTGCCATGTTCATCCAAAATCATATTTGTAAGGAACACGTTGGCAACCTTCAAAAAAGAAGCGTCTTTAATTATTGAAATGATAATGAAAACACTGGTAATATTCTTTCCATCTATTCTCGAAAAAGTGGACATAACATTATAAAATGATGGAATATTTTTCATATTAGAGAAGGAAAAAAAATTTTTCGAATTTAGAAATTTAGTTGGAACAAAGCTGAAGCAATTTGCTTACTTACTGCTATTACTCTGAAATTCATTTCTAAAGGACCTTGGTAAAACTCTACACTCACTTCTATAGGACCTTGGTTGACAGTGGTACCAATGCAACCTTGCAGTACCATTTGAAGCATTTTAGCATCTGGTGGGTCTTGCACAGTAGCAGCGGCTAATTCACGAGTTCGTTTTTGGACATCTTCAATTGCAACTTCTATTGGCGTCAAAATGATTTGTTCACGACTCACCACCCGAAGACGTGTTTTCACATAAGGGAAACTAAAAGAAAAAAAAGAAAAACAAAAATAATGCAGAGAAAAGCTCATTTAAGCAAAAAAAAAAAACCTTAAAATGATGAATTAAAAGAAATTTTCCATTCTCAATCTACGTGGAACTTTTAGAGAGACTGCTACATTTTAATAAATCAAACTGAAGTTTATGAATTAGAAATTCGATTAAAAGTTACCAATACTGCGTGGCTAGGACAGTTCGTCTTTTGTATTGATCCTTCAAATCACCATGAGCTCGACCATCTTTCGTGAACGGTGTCGCATAAACGAATCGATATAATCTGTGATTCCTCTCGAAATGAGTTGGACGACGACGACGTTCCCAATTCTCCAAATACGGCTCCACATATGTGATTTGCAAATAAGCTTTTGTAGAATCCAAACGATTTCGATCAACCTACAGATCGATTTTAAAACATTAATTAATAGAAGTAACTTTCTTTCTTTCTTTGTCCCATTCATAAAAAGATTTTGGTATTCCAATAATATTATTGTAAAATGTAGTATAAAAAAAAAAAAAAAATGGGAAACATACAGTATTTGAATCTTTAATAACTTCCAAAACTCCTTTTCCAAAACGATCTGTATAAAATGTATCCAAACGATGACTGATTTCGGATAATTTTGTAATGGCCGGTTCTTTGTAGATGAATTCGACACCGTCCAAATCTCCAAAACGACTGCCATAAAAACCTACCCGAAAATAGGTGCCAAAACAACGTTTGTCAGCACTGGAATTCAACAAGTTTTTAAAATCAGTGATAGAACCAAAACATAACCATATTCTTTCCAAAAAATTTCTCATAAATCTCGATTTCAAATAGTTTGATAATTATAATAGTCATAAGTTATCCCTAAATGTCGTTTGAGAGCAAAATATATTGGAAGGTCAAAAGAAAAACCTAGCTGTAAAAAAAGTCTCAAATAGCATAGCTCTATCTTCACATTTCTTGAAAATTAAATGTTTGACTAAAATGAATGAATGAATTTGGAATTCTTTAGCTCATACCTTGGTAAAGGTGAATACCATGCATCGGCGATATCTTCAATTAGCGGTACAGTTGGCTCAATACGTGAAAGAGCTTGACTTAGGCAACTATGTACTTGTGCCAAATGCCGATAATCACGATTTTCTTCCAAAATTGGTGTTATTACCTGATATAAACAAGAAATCGGAAAAGACTGTATAAAACTTCAAAATTTTCAGGTTAGCTGTAAAATAAAACCTGACTCCAATACAAGTAGAAATAACCTTATACAGTTGTATCATTGATTCATACATTTGAGCTTTCTCCATAAACTGTGCCGTCTTCTCCACCAAATGTACTAAGCCATTTCGTGTAAAATGACGACTTTCACAAATACCTTCTTCATCAGGACTGAAAATTAATTAAATTCTATAGCATCTATTATATCGACGATTTCATTTCATCTTTCAAATAAAAGAGTTTTTTGAAAAAAAAAAAAACTGAATTTAAAAGGAGAAAAAAAAATTTTAATGATCCATTTTTTTTATTACTAAAAACATTTTTTAGTTAGATCAAAAACATTACCTAATAACATCATCCGAAACAGCACTTTCCTCGAGAATATTATCACTTATGGCTTCGAAAGCAGCAGCACCTTTAGGTACATATACGTCATATTCACGCATCGAAATATATTCAGCAGCTAAAGCAGCTGCATGTAACATACATTGTGCAGCTTCTGCTGCATTATCTCGAGCTGCATGCTTATTTGCCATATTTATCAACCATGTCAATCTAAATCATTACATTTTAAAGCCGATTATTTTATGTTTCCAAAAAAAAGAAATCTCGAGATTTGTATGTAAATCAATAAAATAGAAAAAGGGAGGTATCATAACAGTTCGATAATAAGGAACAAATAATTCCATTCAAGTCAAATTAAAAAATTTTTTTTTTTGATTTTTTTTTTATAATAGTAATAACTTTTTTTTGATTATCTGATGAATACTATTATAGCAATAAAGAAATACAATATGACTTCTAATAATAAACACCGAAAAATTATACTAACCTAAGATCTGGATTGTTCTGGTATCCTTTAGCGACACGATACATCAAATCAATTAACATTTCAAAATCATTTGTATATTCTTTCATTTTTACTGTATCCGATAATATCATATGTAAATTGAAAACTAGATCTTTCACCTGCAATTATACTCAATGCTTTCTTAATTTGGAGAGATCTAAATTGTAAAGAAAATTTGAAAGATATTAATTCAGAAATTGACATTTCACATAATTAACCTGCTCCGAAAAAGTTGTATTTCGTAGCTGAGAATCAATTGATGCATCTGTTTCTGAATATGTTAGCACAGTTTTTAAACTGTGACGTAAACAATCTTCATTTATCCAATCACCATATTTGGTACCCGTAGAAACCAGTGTACTCAACGACATCGTAATTTGCATCTTAACTTTTGAGAAACTTGCACCTGATTCGAAGCTTTGTCTCATCAATAAATATAGCGAAGCTGCAGCCTACAAATTCTTTATCAGAAAATAAATTCAATTTTCTGTAAACAAGAAAATAAATAGCTTATTAATTTGATTGAGATTTTCATTCAGATCATGCTGGCTCTTATTTTAGAATAATCTACCATCTTTTTCTATATGTAAAGTTATATCTATTTCATAAATTCTTTTAATAACTATTATTTTTTGCTCCATGTTTCTTTTAAAAGTTAATATAAATTACACTGTTATGAAGTTAGAGTTAAGTAACAGTCAAAGTGAATTAATTTGAATACGTAATTTCAAAACTTTAATAGTTAATAGTACCTGAGAACGAACAGCTGGTAAACGAGATGCACAGTGTCTTAATAGATGAAGGCATAATTCACCACACTGTTCAGTTTCCTGCAAATCATTTATTGTCACCACAACAGTTCTTAAATTTAATATGACAGACATACATGCACGAAGGAAGAAGATTCCGAACAAAAATACATCTAAAAAAGATGAACTCGAATAAAGAAAAAAGTAACAATCAGAATTGTCAGAGACGAATTAAATAAGCGCAAAAAACTATCTTTCGAAGTAATAAATTATCTGACAATCGGTGTATTTCGAAAATAGCAAATATATTATTAACCTGTTCAAATAATAAATCTGGAAACTTTGTAACTATTGCACGCTGACTTGCAAAAACATTTTCCAAAGTTTGCACTGATTGATTGCAAGCAAGAATATGCATCTTGAAAATATTCATTGAAAAAAATTAACTTAATTTTCTATTATTATTTTTTTCATAGTAAATATTATGCTCAACTGCTAATTAAATTACAGCCATTTTGTTTATCCAGTTTTTTTTTTTTTTAAATTTATTTTGGTATTTAAGTTCAGACTTTTCAGTACAATACTAAGCCTAATATTAATTTTATCTATCGTTTTTTATATTAAAACAAGAAATTCCCAACGCCGCAATGCATCTACACCGGTATTGACGAATATGCTTCTCATGAATAATAATAATAAAATAAAATAGGTAAACTAAAAATCGAAATAAACTAAAAAATGGCAATAATTTAAAACTACAAAAGCAATAGTAATGATAAACTCACCAACACTTTTAATACAGATGATAACACATAAAAGAGATAATCAGAACCGAGAACCGACACCACACGTATGATTAATTCTAACGTATCCAGCACTATTAATGGTATCTCGGTGCAAAGAGTTGCTTCAAGGATAACATCTTCATCAGTTTCTAAACCAAATAATTAATTCTGGAAAATAAATAGTTTCCGAATTCTTCCGCACTTCAATGATTTTCTTAGCATTTCGTAACGAGCAACTTAATTTTGATTTATAATAAAACTATTAATCTTAATAGCTGATTGTAGTTCATAACTTACGGATAGGTTCATCGCTTGAGTGTCCACCGCTACTACCTGTGCAACTTTTCCAAGAACCTTTTACTTGTGAATCTTTAGTTTCTTTACGCCAACGAATTCCACTTTCAGAATCAGCTGCACTACGTGATTTTTTCCGGCTAAGTTCTTTAACTGATGAATCGTCAACATTACTACCTTCGTTCTTTATTTCCTCTGTAATCTCAGTGATACCCTGCAAATTATCGATAGACAGTTCAGTCGTTTTACCATCACATTATACAAACTCATAGAATAGTAAATTTACAAAAATTTCCAGTTCTTAATATAAAAATTACTTCAACAAAAAAAAAGAAAGCTACTTGATTAGGACAGAAAGATGATCTGAATTCGAAACATGAAACAGCAAGTTGTAGAACATCAAGAAACTGTAAAATTCGATGAGATGACAAATCGCGAATCCATTGACGCAAAGATGATCGTTCCATATTTTTTAACGCCCAACAGAAACATGCTAATAGCTGAATAAAATTTGAATAATAGAATTCAATAAATAAATATCTAAGATAATTTTTTTTTTGTAAAAATTATCACTTGACGTGTATTTTCCAATGAAATTGATGGTCGGACTAAACCAATATGTTTTCGTTCGGTTCGAGGTGAACATGGTGGTGAAAAATTCATTCCACCAATTGCAAGCATAACTTTATCGCTAATAAATGGTCCATTATCCATTTCGGTCGTGTAACTGTAATTAATAGTGATATAAAAATGATTACAATCTTTTGTAAATTTTAGAAATATATTTAAATGAATATGTCAGATGTCAAGAAGAATGTTTAAAGATTGAAAAGTTTACCCATTAGAAATTGGCGTGGAAATGTCATAGTTAACATTGGAAGATTTCGAGTAAGGATCGTGTAATTGAGTTGACGCATCCAAAACAATACCAATCATTGGTAAATATAAAGATGCTATTCGTGCTTTTACCGCATTATCAAGAAGTCGAGCATCCAATTCATGGCTACTTAGCAAATTACGAATAAGGCCTATAGCACTGTAAACAATCCAAAATTATCGTTTTTTCTTTCTTTTCCCGAGAATTAAGATAGTATAAATGAATGATATCAAACGAACTTAGTAAATTAAATAAGAAAATAACAAAATGATATAAATGATCAAACTTTTTTTTTACAAGCAATCCAAATTATGATGAATTACATAAGTCAAAAACGTTACGTGAACTAACCGTGAATGAAGCAGTGTATTTGATGTATCAAGAACAGAAGCAAGGTCAGCAAGAGCAAGCCCAATTAGAAAGTGTCGAGAACGAAACTCAGCAGTTAGTTCTGCTGATCCAATTGCACTATGTGATTCATTTGCTTGGCTTGAAGACATGAAAAAAGAATGGAATAAAATTACATAAAACAACAATCTTCATATAGAATACCAAGAAAATAAAAAGATGAAAGGATAAGTTTGGAAATTTATCAGAAAATGGATTTCAGAAATTTAAAACTTTTGAATCCGAGAAACTAAATCATACCTACTACTACTAATACTTGAATTTCCCGGACTAGATGGTTGAATTTGTGAAGAAGAATGATGTAAGGAAACTGATAAATTAACGCTACCTTCCGAACTAGACGAAAATGCCGATGCTGCTGACTGAAATTTGAAGTGATTGAGAATGCGGAGAAAAAATGAGTATTGATTAGTTAGCAAAAAAATGACAAACTTCATAAAACTTCAAAAAACTTACATGAAATGATCCACCAGAATGGCTTGTTGACATACCCTGCAGATTACTCGAACCAAATGGTAAATTCAACACAACAAAATGCTCATGAGAAGCAATAATACGCAAAAAGTCAAGTTTAATCAGCATGAGAGTCGGGACTATACATGATTCGGTAGAATTTCTGAAAAAAAAAAAAAAGATTGTTCATCAACTTTTTAATGTAATAAGTGATTATAATTATGGCTAAAAAGTCCCTTATTATAATTCATTGCAACGAATAATCAGTTTAGCGTAATTAGTATTTACAAAATCATCTTAAATCTGAACCTCTTAAATTGACTGTTTCTGGATAAACAGTTAATTTGCATATGAGTAATTCAGGAAATGAACTTATTTTGCAGCTTTTTGATTAATAGTTTCTGAAAAAAGAATTCGAACAAAAATTTACCCTATTTTAATAGCAACTTCGCGGTTAAATTCTCCGATCAATGTCATCACAAAAGTTCTATCCATTAATGAGAAACAATCACGCAAGAAATAAGCCCATGATGTACTGATTGATTGTGACTGAAGTAGATAAATTTAATCTTTTTGAGTGCATCAGTAATAAATCATTTATGTTATATTTCATCTTTCTTTTTATTATCATCTTTATCAATTATCATTATGTGGTTGCATCTCATAATTTATCACCAAATATTATTATTAGTTCTTTAATAAGGCAGAAATTTCTACTATGAACATTAATTACCATGTAATTACCTGTCTTGGATCTTTCGAAGTTCTTTGAATCACCTCATTGACAATAGCCTGAGAAAGAGCATTCAAATCTTGGATGAAAGCTTCACTAAAACGAAGTTTGCGTGGCAAATACAAACGATTTGAAAGAGATAAATGTTCTGCCATTGATTTAACCTATAAAATATACTATAAGTAAAAAAAAAAAAAAAAAAAAAAAAAAAACAGCGAAATATGTCAATATGTTTCATATTATTCTGACTGAATATTATTTGAGCTATAAGGTAAAGAATAAAGGTATAATTTAATTGCTCAGCTTCAACCCTAATCCTATATAAATGCTAAATAAATGACTCAATAAATTTGCTATATGATGACATACCATGAGTTCAAGGAAAAACCAGGAATTAAGAAAAGCCATTTCTCGAGCTGCACCACCACTGATTACCCATTGCAATGCTAATTCTTCGTGCATCATCTGCAAAAACTCGATATATAAAAATAAACCCTAAAAATAATGAAAATTCCACTCAATTATAATTGCAATTTTTATGTAATCTGATTTTCCTTTTTCTATTACAACTAATATAATTGATAATGCGCTCGATTTAAATAAAATTAAATTCCTAACATCAAAAGTAGAATTTACAAACTTTTGGAAATAAGATATTGCAATATTCAAAAGATTTTTGAAAACCAATTAAAAAATATACAACATAACCTTTTTTGGTGTTTTCAGTTCATAATCACCTTCAACAGATGCTTTCATATAATTTGTTCGTTCAAATTCTTCTTTAAAAAAATAAAAATTTCATTCTAGTTATTGATGAATTCTTAAAAGTTTTTTTTTTTTTTTCTATAAAAAAATAATCTAGAATACCATCCTTTTGGAAGTTAAGTCATAATATACTAAAATGAAAATGAATCTTCTTCAAATAAATAAGCCATTGCATATCTAATAAAAGTATAAAGTATAAAACATATCGAAAGAATTATTAAAATTTCAGCTTAAAAAATTTGTTTGTAAACAGCTTCCAATAAAAAAATATCATTAAAGTTATGCTTATCAAATATCCCGAAATTTAACTCCACTTACTGATAATATCGAGCAAATGTTTACTTTCCGGTGAAGTAGGCATTCGTACAGTACTCTCCAGTTTCGGTTCCGTCTTACTGTTGTTTGACTGGACAATTGAAGTCTCTAAATTTAAAAAGCATTTGAAATTTCATAACGTAATATTAACTACACTTACATCTTATCTTGCAGTATATAATCATTGTTCAGCTGCGTATTTTTTGTCTGATTAACAAAAAAGAAAAATCCTGGTAAAATTTATAATAAACCTTTCAGAGCAATTTTGTGGTAATGTATATAGGTCGTCAGGAGTGAACTACGACCATGGGCATCACGGAAGCTATTCAAGAGAACGGTACATATTTTGACAAGTTGTCCAAGCACTTCAAAACATACGGCCGACACAGATACTGCAAATAATAATAAAAATAACATTAAAAATAAATTTCAACATTTAAGAACTTAATGAACTAATCGAAATCAATCTAAACTAAACATTTTTATGGTATCAAAAGAAAAAAAAAGTGGAAAAGTGATATTTCATACAATACCAGAAGACATATTGTTAAATATTAACTATTTAAAAGTCACAATTCATAAAATAGAGGTATTTTCATTTAGAAAAACAAGATTAAAATTAGTTCCGATCTAAAATCTTCAAAAATATATAATTGAAAATAATAAAACAGACCGGTATATGGAGGATTTGCAATTAATGCTAATAGCTTATCCAGTATAACATACAGGAAAGCAACCATTGGCTCCGGACGAGCTTTTATAACACTGCGTATTGCATCCTTTAAATCAGCTTCCGATACCGGTGGATTCTTTTTATCGTTTATACTTAACGACTGATATGCAAGCAGAAATTTGTCCAAATGGGAATCCTAAAAATAACAGTCATACTTTCAAAACTAAATTTCAAAAAGGATAACCTGACCATTCGTTGATTGAACTAACTTTCTCAAGAATTAAATTAGATTAGCAACTTATTAACAAGAAAAAAAATTAAAACATTGAAATAAACACATCATACCTGTGTATGAACTGTTGTAACGGCTTCAAGTTTAATATCAAAAAGCGGTTTGTGTCCTTCCAGCCACTTAACATTTGGCAAATTGACATCCGGTGAAAGATACCCATAACTTTGTGGTAATTGTTCTAATGCAATCGGTAAAGCAAATTCACCGGTTTGCAATCGCCCATCTTTGAGTAAAGGAATCCATGAATAACCTATGGGTATTTTCACTTCATCGCCAACTTTGTTTGCCTTACAAGTAATGTGGAAAAAAGTGAATAATAAGTGATGGCCATCATTTAAGTCAACCGGCAAATTGATTTTTATTTCATCACAAAAAGTAGGCGTTCTGAAATTAAAATTAGAAAAAAAAAATAAATAATAAAACTTTTAAATTAATAAAAAATAAGAGTGACACTTTACCTAAATCTTCACTGCTCAAATATTGCAAGAAAAAATTTAGTGAAATTTGTTCAGTAAATTTCTTCCTAAATGTATCCACCATTGAAAATAACGATGAAATGATAAGAACAATAACTTCAAATAAATTATTTATGTTTCAAATTTTCCGAATGGTATCATTTCTGACCATACAAAAAGATCAAAAATTGGATGAAATTACTTTACAAACATTTACATTGCATATAACGATTTACCTATTTTATTTATTATCTATAATTTACTTGCAATACATTATAACAATTACTTATTGTGATAGGAAACTGCCGTATCAGCAGAAAAAGTGATATTTGGTCCACTAGATTTACCAAATATAGCATAGATTGGCTTTTCCTGAGCATTCATCAATTCCACATGTATAGCAATGTTACGTGATGGACCAGAACGACTGGATAAATTAACTGATCGAGGATAAACGTAAAGAAGATTCCTGAAATATCAACATTTCATTAAGAAAATAAAAATAAAAAAAATAAAAAGTGAAATATAAATAACATTTAGCAGTTTTAATTGCTTACCTATAAATAGCATTTACTGCATAAATTCCTTTACTCGGGAATTCCACAATTTCCTTGACAATATCCGCTGGATTACCAGAAGCGAATGGATGCATACGAAGAAGTTCAGGTGTAAGCCGAAAAACAAATAAAACTTTATAAAATGAATGAAATTATTTAACTAATCATATATTTAAATGAATAATCCAGATCCTTGAAAGAACAATAACTATCGCTAACTAGAAATTCAAATTTTAAGTGATTTGTCAGAAATTCAATTGTCTGAACAGAAGGATTTTTAATTTTATCCCTTCAATTTTATCTCTCATTTTACAATAAACTTCAGAAAGAAAAAAATCTTAAAATTAAATGATTGCAAAACACTGAAAATATAAAATAATATTAGTCAAACTGTTACCTCATTAAAGATTCGCCACATCCACCTGACAGTTCCATTTTGAATGTAATTGGAAATGTTTTCAGTCTAGCTAATTTGGAACCACCTTTTCGACAATCCGCAAGCATTTTGCAGAGATCCTCATCGGTTAGACGTTCTGCTTCCTATAGTAGTAATAAAGGAGTAAAAAATAATAAAATAAAAATTGAAGAAAAAAAAAGAAATTTCAAAAATAGAAAAAAGTAGAAATAAGAAGCAAGCAAAACATAAACTTCATACAGAAGTATGATGAAGTTCCAAGCGTCATCACTGACCAATATGATAAGTAATAATGAAATTATATTAGAACATTTGACATCAAAACAATATCATGATTTTTTGACAGTTCTTAATTATAACTATTCGGTATCAGTAACAATGTTTTATTAAAAAAAAAAAAAAATAAAATTTGTTAATCCTTTCAAAATTTTTAAACAATTTAGCTCATGCCAAGCAATTTTTTTTATTCAACATTACCTGTCTGAAGAACGAATTAAGACTGAGGAGCAGAGGTTGCAGATTACTTAAGGAAGTCAACGGAGATCCGCCATCTTTCAATAATGAATCAGTTTCGAGACCTGATCCTGTTGTAGTTGCATCATTTTGAGAGACAGTTTGATGAAGTCCTCCGAAAAGTTTACGTTTTTGCAATGGTGTACGATTTTTTTGGGATTGCTGCGCTCCTATAAAGACTGCACCGGATGAAGTTCCGCTACCTACGCGGCGAAATGTTCCCGATGTTGAGGTTGATATTCGATCTAAAACATGTCTTTTAAAGCAATCAAATTTTAAAACTCAAGAAGCCAATTTTTAAGTGACTTTATTAGAATAAAATTAAAAATACATCTACAAGATCAATGAAGATAAATTCTGAAATCTTTTAAAGATAAAAAGCAACTTACCCATACTGATAATGCTTTCTACATCGAATAATGTTGTTGGTGAAGCTGGTGTTATATCCTGTCCTGCAAATGTAACAATTGCAAAAAGTTAGGATTAATCAAAATTAAAAAGCAAATATGATTATCCTCAAAATTTTCGAGAAAATCTTGCCTTATCATTCTTATCAATTCCAATTTGCTGAAAAAAAAAACTGAATTGAAGTAATCAAAATAATTTTTAAAATAACACATACTAATAGAATCTCTTTCTCTCTCTCTCCCTACTTAATCCGTATGCAAAATAATCATATGAAAGAGATGCATCATTTCGATATATTTCAGATAATGCAAAGAAAATTCATGATCCACATAATGTAGGAAAAAAAAAAATACCGGAAACAGAGCTCGCAATCATTGTCGGTTCAGTCTTATCCGGATGATATGATCCATTAAGGATTTGATTCAGGTCAATAGCAAACCATCCAAGTGGCATTCGAAAAGCACCAAGTCGTTCACAATATTGTTGTGCCATTTGCATTAATCGTTCTTTATTTTTATCTTCTTTCACATATGGTTCACATGCATCTGCTACCTCGCATGGTTGTAATACTTTTTCAAGCTAAAAATTTAAATTTAAAAATTCAGAAAAATTTCGTAATGCTAAATTTATCATTCCATTCGCATTTTGATATTTTTTTTTCCTACCTTGATCACAATAAATATATCGTTTAGTGGTTGACTTATACTGAAAACTGCTTGTGTACATTTACTTGCATCATCCACGCAATCAGCGTGCTGCGAAATCATTGCACGAAGTGAATCATCATTTAAATCAAAATAGAAATTCTCTGATATCTGAAAATCACAATTACACAGTTTTCAGCAATCTTTAGCAGTTTTTGTGATAATACTATGATAATATTTTTGAATAAATGTTAAAAATAATTTTGAAAAAAATGTTAAAAATATTTTCATATTTTTATTTGTGATAATTATAAAGATTCAGAAGCGAACATGACTCTTCCAATAGTAGCAACGAAGTATTGATTAAAAACATTCAAACATTATTAAATGATTTAAAAAATACATTTTTTTTTCTTTTTTTTTTTCGAGAAAAAAATAAAATACAATTTATTAAGTGTTTACCTTTCGTCTTTCTTTCAAATCGTAAAGTACAATAGTACCAAAAACGGGTTCAAACGAAGGTTCAAGTTGTAACTAAAATTTTAAATTATCGCTTTTATTGAAAATATGTCACTACAATTAGAAATATAAGTATAATAAAAAAAATGGCAAAATTTTTAAAAGTTAAATTTTATTTCTTGTACATTGCACTGTAGCAGAGGAGAAAGATTTTCTTTCGTAAGAAAACAAGAGATTGGCACAGAGGCGGAGAAAGGATGAGGAATATTTTGCAACAACTTGGAATTTCTCTAAGGCACAAAAAATTGCTAAATTAAAGAAATTAAAATTTCTAAACTACTTACAATCACTAACCTTCAAAACTTTGATAAAAAGTTTCTGACCGGTATGCTCAACCGGGAATGGTGCTGGACTTCGACGTTCAATTACATCAGCCTAAATAATTCTATTACACTCTATGAAGTAACAAGCTTTCCGGATTCGAATATACTTATAAAAGATTTCGACAAAGTTCTAGCTGAATATCTAAACAACGCATTTTTTTTTACAATTTTTAGATAACAAAAAGATTTCTATCAGAACATTCTCATCAAGATAATCTTCAAGAAATAAAACAAAAAATTAAATCAATCGATTATGTGTAGTACAAACTTCAGACTGAGGTGGAAGTAAGCTAATTAATGCATTTTGCCGATGGGCTCGTCTTCGAGCTTCATTAATTTGATCAAGTTGTGTATTTGAAATACGTTGCACTACACCTGAAAAGATGCTATAATTAATTTCAATTAAATATATTTTAACAAAAAATTTCTGAAAGGAAATATTTAACCATCATCGGTAATCACAAAAAAAAAAAAAGGCAAAAAATCGCTTTAAAAATAATCAATAAGTTTGATTTTTTCTATCCTTATGATCATTAATATGATCAGTAAATTTAATTTAGTTAAGTTTTTTTTTTTTTTTTTCTTTAAATTTAATTCACAAACCGGGCACTGTAGGGTCACTGGCAGAAGAATGAAGCTGATGAGGTGCACGTAAAATATCATCACGATTTGTTCCACCGGATGATGAACCAACAGTACACATTGAATCGGATGAATAGTGTGAACCGAATGAATCACGTTTTGCAATCTATTATTATCATAGCTTATTAAAATTTCAGAATTTACAAAAATTTTAAAGAATTTTGGAAAGTGTTTTTTAAAAAAAAAAATCACTAAAGGCTATGTATGCATTATTACAAAATTGCATTTGCTGTAAAGTAATTAGAATGACGATAACATTCACTATAAAATAATTTTATTTGAGTAAGACAATATTTCAGTAAGACAAATATCTTTTTTATCTAATAAATGTCGCCTACAGTAACGGTATTATCAGTCCTTTCAAAGTTTAAAATGTTTTAAATTTTAGAATAAATCATTTAAAAAATACTTTCACTTCTTCCATATTATATACATTTCACTCAGTTATATACTTTTTTTTTTTTTCTAAAATACATTTGTACGTTGATTTTAAAAAGTTTCAGGTATAGAGATTACTATAAAGGATTCATTTTATAGTTCATCGATACTTTTTACCTGATCCTCGCCTGCCGTGCTAACACTTCGTCCGATAGGTCGCTCTGAATCCACTTCAAAAATTTGTTTTGGAGTAGTCTGAGCAATAATTGGCCGTTCCATTAGTAATCGAATATATGCTTCACCGCTTGAATATTGAAGATATTTTCGTTGTACTAGCGAAAAGCTATCGTTGTATGTTTGTATTATATCATTTACAAGTGAATCGACACTAGAAAAAAAAGAATTATTTAACAAAAAAAGTAGTAGAAATGAAATTTATATGAAATTAAACTAGAAATAGGACTGAATTTAATGATACTGATATATACAGATAGTCTTAAGCTATAAATGAACTAAACATTCATTGAAATTCATTTAAATTAGTTCTAAAACTCTCAAATCTTTGATCTACTCCTTCATTAAGGGAAAAAAAATTTAGAAAACCCTGAAAGATTTGATGGAATCGGTGATTCAACCGTCAGTTGATCTCGATGTACCAAACGTACTTCAATATCATCGACCGGAAATTCTGCTACTCTGAAATTTATTGTGGAAAGAAGTAAAACAATTAAATGCCTTGAAAATATAATTATGTTTACTATGAAATATACTCCTAAATTTAAAATCATTTTTGCAAAAAAAAAAAAAACATATGTACAAACCTTCTCAAATTACTGTTACTAGAAATATGCTCATGTACAGATGAATTGCTTTTTCGTTGTGATAAAATATCTTCCACATCCAGCGGTTCAGCTATTTCAATTAAATTAATCTGAAAATTAAAACAAAACTTTACTTCTATGATTAAATTTTAAAAATTCATCCTATGAAAATAGAATCTATATTATGCATCTCTTTACACAGCAAAAGCAAAAAGCATATTTGCTTATGAAAAAGAAAAGCATTTTTGATTTAATGAACAATTTACTTCAAAAATGAAATTCATTCAGTACAATTCTCGTTTACTTTTTAATTTGCATTTTATTCACGGTAAGATAAGAATTTTGTTACATTAATCGTAGTAAAAGTCTAAAAAATCAATAAATATCTGCTCATACTTTTCACAATAATAAAAAACAGTCAACAATTTACATTTCACTTCTGAAATTTTTGTGACAGAACAAAAATCCATTTCACTAATACATCTCTTCACAATTTTCAAACAACTTAGATTTCAGGTAAAACTACAACTTCCCAAGATAATTTCATATATACTTTTATTAGATAATTTAGTGAAAATTAAAAACTAACAGTTTGAGGAGTACTACTATCTATTGAATCCATTTGCATAGCATTCTGTGGATGCAATAGCAAACTTCCCATCATAATATGTCGACGTACATCAGCTGCAGTCATTCTGCAAATAATAAAACTGAAAGTAATCATTTTCAAAAATACTTAAATTTTAAGAAAAATATGAAACGTGAATTTTTAAAGTAGAACATAATTTTCTTTTTCTTTTGGATAATAGTAATGGTTTTAAGAATTTCGGCTAATTAAAATTCAACTAAAAAGTTGCTAATAAATAAGGAAAAAAGAATAAAGGTAATTTCAAGTTACTTATTTCGTTTCAAAGCGAATGCTCGCTGTCCACCAGTGTTTTGTGATGACATAATGAACAATGCTAAATTTCTTTGCAACGAAACATGAAATTAGCCATATGCTGAAAATAACATTTATTTAATTGGAAATTGTAAACATAAAATAGATGTGTATCTATAAATTAAGTAAGTGAGTTAAATGTAAATATAAAAACATAAATATACAAAGATGAATTAAATTAATATAATAATTATATTTTCTATTATATATACATCCAATTCCTTCAATAAATCCACTTCAATAAATTCTAACATCTCTCATAAATATAATCAAATCAATTAAAAATTTACTTGTTTAATTGCTATCAATTTTTAGTTCATGAAATAATCACTTTTTTTCAAAAAAAAAGAAAAAAAAATTTTACAGTAATTGCAAAAAATTTCCAAATTTCTTCATTAAAACCTCATCAAAAATTTCAATCAAAATGCTATGAATATTTTCGAAAATTTTAGAATTTTTTGAACAATCAATCATAAAATATATGAAATTCTTGTACAAAAAATTTAACACATTTAATTGGATCAATAAATGATATAAAGGAGCGGTAAAAGAGAGAAAAATTGCAAATGAATGATTCATTTTGTTTAATTATCTATATTTTTTCATATTCAATTGATAAATATAATATTACAAATTATGAAACATAATTAATTTATCTTTACTAAAAAAAAAAAAAAAAAAATAATAATTCATTTCTTATTGGTTATTTCTATGAAAAAAAAAAAAAAAAAAAAGATGAGAAATTAGCTAATGAATTAATTATCTGTTTTAATATTTCTTATCAAATCAATAACCAAACAATTTCGTTTCGTTTTTTTTTTTTTTTTTCTTCTTTTTTCAAATTATCATTTTTTTATTCAATTATTTATGATATTGAAAGCATTATGGTTTTTTTTTCTTTTTTAAAATTAATACGATGCAAGGTAATATTAGAAATTGATAATTGTAATAAAAATATTTCCATTTAATTTTCTCAAAAATTTCCATTTAATTTAAAATTGGAAAAGTTATTGGAAGAGAAAAGGAAAGCTAAACTAAAATAACAAATATCATTGAAATTATTGAAATGAAAATATTTACGAATTAATTCGATAATGTCTCTTTCGTTTCTCGTTGTGTTGAAATTTTTAAAAATTTCTAAATTTTTAAATGTACGATCAAAAAAAAAAAAATCTGATAAAAACTTGTGAGTTGTGATGAATGGTTGTGATAGTAATAGTAATATTTGTGATAATGATAACAACAATAATTGGTGATAATAATGATAAGAATGATTTTTTTGACAACAATTATTATTAGAAGAGAAATGATATATTATAAAAAAAAATAATTTTTGTTCAAATAGCAACTTTTTTAATAATAATAATAAAAGATGATAAGAGTAATGTTCATAACAGTGATAAATGATAGTGATAATGATAATGATAATAGAGCGTCAAAATTTTAATTTGCAAGTGATAATGTCTTGTTAAAAAAAAAAAATAATATATCAGTCAAAATTATTCAGACAAAATATAATTCATATTATTATTCAGTAGCATTAAATATTTGAAAGGATAATTAAGAAATGGAAATATTGAAATTAGTGTAAAATGTGAAAGTAATTAATAACAAATTTATAAATTCTATTTTTTTTTTAATTCTTCTAGCAATTGAAATGATAAAATAAACAAATTGAAAAAGTAAATAAGAGAATGAACAGATAAATATTCCAACAAAATGATAGCAATGAACAGCAGTTGCTGAGGAATTTGTACTAAATAAATGATTAGGGAAAGATGGATGATTGGTTGGTTGGTTGATTGGTTTAGTTGGTTGGTTGGTTGATTGGTTGATTGGTTTAGTGATGGATAAAAGAGAATAAACAATTTATTGATTATGCTTTTAAAAATTAGATGAAAGAAAAAATTCACATTTTGAAAGAAAAAGTTCACATTTTTTTTTTCACAATTTTAAATTAAAAAAAAAAAAAAACTATCATTTATGTTTATTTTTTAAACAGAAAAAAAAATACAAATTTTCACAATTTAATATAGTTAGTAGTGGGAAAAAAAAAGTTATAAAATAAAGTTTTATTTTATGATTAATCAATTTACTTATTTGAATTTAGTAAATATATGGAATAAAAAAAAAAAAAAAAAAAAAACAAAACAAACAAATATGATAATTACTGATATATTTTACATGCAATGAGCAAAAAAGTTGTAAAGTTTATTTATATATCATTTTGCTATTCTGATATGATCATATTAAAATTAAACGTACGTGATATCCACGTACGTGATATTAATAGAGTTGAATTTTCATCAAATTTCATTCATAAATATAATTAAGAATATTTTATTCGTTAACAATGAATTTATAATAGTAAATACATTCTGAGGGAGATGAAAGATCATAATATCATCTATAAAATGATAATATCAGTGCATAAAAAATGAAAAAAAAAAGTTATTGATAAAAAATTGATTGATTATTTTAACATATCAGAAATTATTATGCATTTTTTCTAATCCATAATTAAAGTTTAGGAAGCAAAAAATCATTTTTGATTATAATTTCAAAAAATGAAAGATAAAAAATAGATGAAAATACACGCACAAATATAATTATAATCGTAATTATCATCGCAAATTACAAAGTAATCAAAATTATCAAAAATGAATTTTTTTTTTTTAAAAAAAATTAAATTATATTAAAAAAAAAAAATTGAAATTTAAAATTGAATTATATTATTGCTTATTAATTCAATAATTTTTCTTCCTGAAATTTTACTAACATTGCTAAACAAATAATTATAATAAGCACAAAATGATAAATTTATAAAAAATTATATTAAAAAAAAAATTAATTAATGAAACTGATATATTATTGGCAAGAAAAAATAGCAGAATGATTAATCTAATTAAAATTTATCAATGATTTATTAAAAATTGTATATTATCGAAGAAAAAAAAATTAATAAATCATATAAATAAACTAGAAAAAAAAAAAAACAACAAATAGAAAGAAAAAGTTAAAAATTCTTCTAATATTTAAATAAATTTTACAAAATGATAAATTTATATACGATCAGATTAAAATAATTAATAAAACTGTTGTATTATTAGTTTAATTTGATCATTAAAAAGTTAAAAAATGACAAAACTTATTTATAATTTTTCATTTCACAAAAAAAAAAAAAAAAAAAATAAGAAAAGAAATAATATATTCTCGAAATTAACCAATCAATGGAAGATATTATGATTATAACAAATCAATAATTGTCGCAACAATATTATTTATTGTTTGTTTGCCATTCTTATTGTTTGCCGATTCTAAAATAAATTCATTTTTGGAAAGAAAAAATTTCTATGTAAAATTGAATTTAAAAAGTAAAAGTAATTCTAAATAATTTATAATTTAAATTTCTAAAATAATAGAGGAAAAAAGTTGAAGCAATAAAAATTTTTGCAATTTTTACCTTCTGATAATAATAATAATAATATAATAATAATAATAATAATGATAATAATAATAATATACATTATTTGGAAATACTTTCAACGTATAATTTTTTTTCTTTTGAATTTTATTTTAAATATAATTTTGATTATTGCAAGAAAATTAATTGAGCAAATAAATAGAGAAAGAATGGATTTGATTTGAAAAATTCTTGTCAAATAGGTTTCTTTTTTTTTTTTCTTTTTAAATTCAAATATTATAATTATTTTTTACGTGCAATTAAAATTCTTTCATTTTTTTAACAATCATTTAAAATTAATTTTTCTTTTCAATTTTCTTGATTAAATGATATTTTTACATTTAATATACATTCTTAATGCAAATATTCCTCAATGTGCAAAAATGATAACCAATGATAAGGTGTTATCATTGATTATTTATTTTTTCTTCTTCATTTTACTATTATTATTAAATTTAGTTTTTGCAACAAAATAAAAATATTATAAAAATATAATTATATTTCTCGCAAATTTATCAATTAGCATCTGAATTAATTAACATTTATTGATCATAAACAGTCAATTAGCATTTGAAATTTAAGCAAAAAATGATAACAAAATGATAAGAATGATAAGTTAATGAAATAAGCTAAATTTATCCAATTAAAAATTTAGCATTTTTAATTACTATTTAATTTTAGGTTGAATTCCATTCAGATAAACAGAAATTATCAATATCACATCACTGACCATTGAAAACTTTTCAATTCATTGAGAGATGCAAAAATAATAATAATAAATATATTTTGTTAATTAAAAAAAGAAAGAAAGAAAAAGGCAATTTTTTTTCTTGCTTAAATTTCAAGCTTAATTAGTTATTAATTAATTAATAAAAAAGCAGATGAAAATTTTAATAAATTTTTAAAAGTGATTTGTAGGAATGAATCAATAAATGCATAATTAGAATTTACTTTTAATAAAAGTTACTTTTAATTTTTAATTTAATTTTTTTTAAAAAAAAAGATGGAAAAAAAAATTATCGTACATTAAAATGATCCGATAATTTGAATATTAACAAACAATCAGATGCAAACAACCAAAAAAAAAATGCCTTAAAAATACTAAATTTTTATTTCAAATTAAAATTACATCAAATTTACATGAAAAAAAATAAATAAAATTTATCAAAATTATAAATTATTTTCTATCACAGCGAATATTAAATTAAGAAATAACAATAATTCCATTATAAAATTATAAATAAAATTTTGAAAATTTGCTCTTACATTTTGAGAATCATAAAAATCACTTAAATATTTTACATTTTTATTTATTAATTTCATCTATTTTTCTTAAAAGCATTTTAAAAAAAAAAAAAAATTTAAAATGATTCACATTTGTATTTACTGTTATTAAAAAATTTTTTAAATTTAATAAAAAAAATCATAATTTTTTTATTTCTTTTTATTTATTTATTTTTTCTTTTTGCATTCTTTTTTTTTAAAGATTTATTTTTTTTTTCTTTTTGTTAATATGCAAATTTTTAAAAGCTAATTTTTAACAATCATTTTTTAAAAAGTCCAAATATTTTTGTTAACTTTTGATTTTCTAAATTAAAATTATTGTCATATAATTATTTTATTTTATTTTATTTTTTCAACAATAATTTTAAATGATTATATTTTATGCTAAAAATATTAACTTTTGCAATGAATAAATGATAATATTTTAATTAATTTTTGAAACTTATCCAATCATTAAAGTTTATTTCTTAAATATATATAAATTTATTTTTTTTTTTTTATTACACAACGATGCATTCCAATGATGCAATACGATTGATTAGTGATAACGCATTTTGTTTACGATTCGATCGAATTGAATTTACAAGGACGATGATAGTTTTATCTTTCCTTGTATTATTCAAATACATTTATTTATTTTAGCAATTTTTCAGTTCTATTAAAATTTTAAATTCAAAATTTTTCTTTTACTATGAAAATAATATTAGTAATATATATTAATTATTATTATTATTATTATACATATTTACAGCTTTTTATTTTTTATTTTTTTTAAGACAACAAATGATTGAGAAAATATTTGGTTATGAGAAATTTCCAAAATTTTGCTTAAATAAACCTCGATTTCCACAGCATACATTTCTTGGACGTTATTTACATTTTTTGGATATTATTGATCCGAGAACATTGTTTACCAGCGAGGTAAGATTATATAAATTTGTGCTAAAAATTTGTCAGCAAATATTATTATTATTATTGTTGTTAATTGTTATTAATATTAATTATTATCTTCATTATTGTTATTTATTATTTTCACAAATTATTATTATTACTTTTAAATGTTATTATTATTATTTGTTATTATTGATTGTTATTACCATTATTATTAATTATTGCTATTACTATTAATTGTTATTATTATTATTATTAGTTATTATTATTAATTATTATTTATTATTATTATTATTGATTTTTATTATTATTAGTTATTATTACCATTATTATTAACAGTCATTATTATTATTATCATTATTATTATTAATTATTATTATTATTACTATTAATTGTTGCTATTATTATTATTAATTATTATTACTATTAATTGTTATTATTATTAATTATTATTATTATTATTAATTGTCACTATTATTAATCATTATTTTTCTCTGTCGTTTTTCAGGAAAAGCTTCGTAACAGTATTGAATTGCTAAATAATTATAAAATGGGTAAAATTCAGTTCGCAACTGATCAACAATTATGGGAAGCACAAAAAATTAAATCAGCTATTTTGCATCCTGATACGGGTGACAAAATTTTACCACCATTTCGAATGAGTGGTTATGTACCATTTGGTTGGATAACGGTCATCTCATTTTTTAATTTAAAATTTTAACTTCTATATGTTGCAATTTTTTTTCATATCTGATTAATTCTTTAAAATTACATTTTTTTTTTTTTTTTTTTTAGATAGAATTTTAATAGAAGTTCAATTAGAATGTTAAAAGAAAATCGTTGTATATATTTGTAAAAGTATAAATATTTTAGATAATTTTTTAAGATAACTTTAAAATATTTCAGTTAATAATACATATATGTAAACAAATAATACTATAAATTTAAAATTTTTTGGGATATTTTTGGTAAGATTTGCATGTAATAAATAAATTATTAAAAAAATATAATAATAAACTTTTTTTTAAAAAAAAAATAGAAAAATATTATTATTAATTTTTTTTTTACAGGTTACTGGTATGTTATTGCCAAATCCATCTTGGCTTTCAATACTTTTTTGGCAATGGCTTAATCAAACTCATAATGCATTAATTAATTATTCAAATCGTAACGCTACACAGGTTAATCATTTTTTATAAATTTATTTTTTAGATTTAACATTCGACTTGTTTATTTCATCATTTTTAAAATAAACAACAACAAAAAAACTTTATTTGTTGTTGTTTATTTTATCACAATTTTGAGGAATTTCAATTTCATTCTTTTTTTTTTTTTTAGGAGCAATCAACATTACAATATATAAATGCATATTGTGCAGCTGTTTCATCAGCTAGTATTGTTGCTTTGGGTAAAATTTTTTTTTTTTTTTAAATAGTCTAAAATTTAAATTTGTTTATAAAATGTTTCATTGTTAATTAAATTTACAACGATAAATGATATGTTACTATGATGATTAAATTTTATGAATTAAAATGTGTAAATTTTCATCGTTTTTTTTAAAAAAAAATAATTCAATTTTTATTATTATTGTGCTAAAAAAGAAAAAAAAAAAAATTTACTTACAAAATTATAAGCTTAAAAAGAATGAAAATTTTAATACTTTAGGATTAACAGCTCTAATCAAACGTACTGAAAAATTAAATTCTATCAAACGTGTAATCATTCAACGTTTTATACCGTTACCAGCTACGTCATTTGCAAGTTCACTTAACGTGTTATGCATGCGTTGGAATGAATTACAGAATGGTATTAACGTGTATGATTGTAATCAAAATGTAATTGGTGTATCTAAAATTGCTGCTAAAAAGGTTTAAATTAATATTTTTATATAAATGAGAAAAAAAAAAGAAAGATTGGTTAAGAAATTTTGAGTTTAAATTTTCCATAAATTAAAATAACAGAAGGAAAAAAAAAAACATTAAATTTAATAATTTCGTTAAGTAAATACAAAGAAGTAATTTTTCATTTTCAATTTAGAATACACAGTGATGCAAATTTTTAGTTTAAAAAAATTTTTTTTCAATATTTTAATTTTATTTTTTGTTTTTTAAAATTTTTTTTAAAACATTTTTATGAAAAAAATGAATTTTTTCTGATTTCTAATCAAAATTTCCTCATCTTTTCAGTCATAATTCGATCTCTATTTCATACACTATCATTAATTTTCATCTAATCATAAAAATTTTTATTTGCTACATTGAAATTATTTTCAACTTTACAATTTACAATTTGCTATAGGAAAATTTCATAAATGAAAAATAAAAATAGAAGGAATAAAAAGTAAATGTTCAAAAATTCTAATTTAAAATAAATCAAAAAAAAAAAAAAAAAAGAAGTTAACATATAATTTTATTTATAAGTAAATTATCGGAAGGGGAAATTACTTCCTCAATGTTATTTTTATTTTATTTTATTTTACTTTTTTTTTTTTAAACAATCAATTTAATAGACAGAAATTACTCGATAATGTGCAAAATTATAATTTGTAAGAAAAAATTTCACAAATTTTTCTTTTTTTTTTTTTCTTAAAAAAAATAGTTTCAGATTAAAATTTCCCTAATTTTAAATTTTCAAAATTATAGGCAGTAGAAGATACAATGTTAACACGGGCATTTCTACCAATACCTCTGTTAATGATACCTCCATGTGTAATGCCATTTCTGGAAAAGTAAGTAAATTATTTTATGCAAAAAAAAAAAAAATTAATTTTTTTTTAAGTTAAAAAAAAAAAAAAACAGAAAAACAATTACTTACTTTTATAAACAAAAAAAAAAAAAAAGAAAAAAAGATTGACCCATCAATATGTTATTCCATAAATACTACTAGTAGAATGTAGAACAAATAAAGGAAAAATTGTATGTTGACCTTTAATTTCTGATCATTTGACCTCTCATCGATCACAAAAAATATAATCTTTTCTTGCAGAAAATATCAATGGATTACTAAAAGTACCACAAATCATTTATTCATCAGTGCTGTAGTTTGCATATTTAGTTTTGCATTCAGTTTACCCATATCTTTGGCAATTTTCCCGCAAGAATCAAAGGTATAAACTATTGTTTTAATTGAAAAAAAAAAAAAAAAAATTAATTTAAAATAAAGAATAAAAGAGATTGTAGAAATAAATTCATTTCATATTAATCAAAGAGAAAAAATGCCATCCCTAAAATGTTATTTATTATCAAATGCAAAGCTAAAATTTGTTAATTTTTTCAGATACTACGTGATCACCTGGAATCAGAAATACGAAAGAACACAACACAAAAATATCTTTTTTATAATCGTGGTTTATAATCATGATAGCAGTTATAATCATGATTATAGATGATGCCAAAAAATTGTGTTTAATTAAAAAATAATTCCTTCTATTCATATCAAAAGTATTGTTATCACACAATCTGTAATTTTGTAAGTTTTATCAAAAAATATTATTAATTTATTTCTTTTTTCTTCAAGATTTTATATCCTACGACAATAATATTCTAAAAATATGTAACTCTTTTCTTTTTTTCTTTTTTTTGTTTGAAATATGTAAATATCAAATATGTAAATGTAATACGTGAAGTAAATGATAAACATACGTAAAACCTAATGCATTCTACGTAAAATAATTATAAAAATAATAAAATTTCAATCTATTTTCGCTTCCATTTTCGTTTTACTTCGTAGGACAATTTGAAAATTTCAAAATACTTTGAAACCCAGCGGCAATTTGCACTTCACAACCTTCAAAATCCATAATTTACATTTCGCATTTTACTGGATAAGTATAATTCAGGTAGTCATCTTTTTCAGGTTGATAGATTTCACCTAGGATAAGTATAATATTTATTCGAGAATAGCCGTCTCAGATATTCGGAATGCATATCACATATTTTGGTATACTCATACCTGTTGAGCTTTATTATTTTTAAATGTCATCATTGACAGCTTTAAAACTGTCGTAGTGGGAGAATTGAACCATCAAACAAATCACTCAACGAGAAATAATCAGCATAGTACCACCACTTAGCCATTATTACCAGTTGTCAAATACTCGAAACTAAAATTAAAACTTAAATGTTCTTTTCTCTCTTATCTTCTCTTTTCAAAATTTCATTTATGTTATTTTCTCCAGAATTTCAAATTTTGCTACTTAAAGAATAAAATTCAAGTAAAACACGTTGAACAATTATACGTACATATTATGACGTATATATTAAGTTCACGCAATTACATTTACAATATTAAAAGAACGCTCGTAATTGTATTCACGTTGACACGTTTCATGTATTCGTTTTAGGAAAAAAAAAAATGTAAAATTATCTTACATATTTAAAAAAAAAGAAAAAAAAAAATTTGATGTTACTCATATCTGTTGAATCTTAATGTGATTAAAACAACTATGAACAACAATACAAATACTGCTAGCATCAAATTGTTCTTTGACTCTAAACATATCTTATTTTACCTAGGTTCATTCAATTACATTCACAATATTGAAAGAATTCTCGTAACGTATTCACGTTGATACGTCTCACGTATTCGTTTTAGGAAAGAAAAAAAAGTTGAATGTACGATTGATAATGCACATTACCTAAGATTACTCATTAACACTTTTTATTTTTTACTCTCTATAGATTCAACAATTACGTCACAATATATTAGCGTTAATTTGTGGCTTGTATTATTAATTTTCAAAAGAATTCCCTGAAAGTCAAAGTTTTTACTTTATACAAATGTTTATTTATTTATACTAATCTGTGATATACTTGATCTATTGAACATTTATTTCGGAATGAACAAAACAAAACAATATCGCCAAACAACCGAAATGGTACATATAAGATCAAAAAGTGAAGTATCTGTACTCTCGTTGCCCACGTATGATAAGAATGCAACAATTAAAAGAAAAAAAAAAAACAGCGTAGACAACGTATCAAACTTAAGATCACTGATATGAGACAATGATGAACTTTTAACTTTTTTTTTCTTTGCCATTTAATCGCTTACCAGAAAAGTAAAACCATAACTGTTTCTTATTTCTCCATCATTTACTCCATTTGCCCATTATCTAGCTCTTCCTGCAAAAACAAAAAAAAAAAAAAGATTTTCTATTTTTTGTTTCTTATTTCTGAGTTAAACTTTCTTCTTTGACATTTGAAAGGAAAAGTTTCCATTATGTATAAACTATTCCAATGTACTTTTCAAATAAGTTTAACTCAGCATAACGAAAAGGCATCAAAGAAACATTAAAAACAATGTATAAATCACTTGAATTTGAAAAAAATCTATAAATAAGTGGAAATGAATTATTTATTTATCAAAATCTAATTTCTTAGCATACCCCCAATCAACACAATAAAATTAATAAATAATTTTACTTCATGTGGTGGACTTGCTACTGGAGATTGTACATCATCGTTAACATCATCATCAGCAGCAGGATTTGCTATCGGTGAACGAACATCATCATCGCCATCTTCTTGTTCAGCAACAAATCCATTACTTTCTTTCGTGCTACAAATGATACAATTCCACAAATCATTAAATTTATTGATGCATTACGGAAAGAATGTCGACAAAATTTTTAAACCTTTACTTATGAACTTACTCTTTTTCAGCATTTTCTGCTATATTACCAATACTTTCACGATTCCAACCACTTTCCGGAATTCGTCCACTTTGTAAAATTGCTTGCAATCGCTCCACTTCAACAAGGCTCGAAGCTGATGCAATCGCTTCCTCAAAAAATATAAAGTTTATTTGAAATTAAAAAATGGTTTGATATGCTAAAACTAACATTTGTCACTAATTTGTATATAAATAATTTGTTAATAGTATATGCACATGATAGCAAAGTCGGCTTGCATATTGCTTTTATTTACATTTGCAAAGTATATATATATATATATATATATATATATTCATTTATGATAAGCCAAAATATTGGAATTTAACAAAATTCCAAATTTGTTTTTACAAGTTGAAACGTTTGGAAAATTGTTCAAAAAATTCAAACACTGCATATATTACCTCAATTTTCTTAGCATCCTCCACATGCAAATTTCTCGGTTGTCCATCTTCATCATCAGGAATAGTTTTCGATTTCTTTACAACTTCTTCCCTGAATTTCTGACCCTTTTTACCCTTGAACAAATTATTTGCTTGTTTCCTTTCCTGAAAAAATATCTTCGTATGACTTTTCGCACAATATTTATACATCATTTATTCAGTGAATCAGTCCTTTTATTATAATGTGCATTCTCGATATTTTTACCAGGTATATTCTATAGAACAAATAAAAGATAAACTTACTGCAAGACGAACTCGTTTAAAATCGAGGACACGCACTGATGGTACCCTGTATATCACGTAAAGACGATACTGTGGTTTGTGAGTTATTGGGTTCCCAATTAGTCTGAAAAAAAAAAGAAAAAAAACCCGTATTCATTTTTAAATGAAACTGTACAAAATTTCTGTCAGAAAATATGCAGTGATAAACTCACGTCAGATACTCCAATTTTGAGCAGGTGGCTAGAGGATCAATATCACCTAACTCACATAAATTATTATTCGTCAACGCCAGAGTCTTCAGTGATGGGAGTACTTCGCCAATGTTCGGCATTATATGTCTGTAAGATGAATGATCATCGAAAGCTACAGGATATATTCAATTCATAAATCAATATATTTGATAAGATTTAATTCAAACTGGCTTACTGTACGCGATTATTATGCATCAGAAGAGTGCTAAGTCGTCTCAATAGAGGTATATTCTCCAGCTTTTTGATATCATTATCTGTTAAATCAATCGTATCGAATTGATCCTGGAAAAAATCAAATGAAAGTAGAAATTTTTAAGATGCTTGATTAACGCACATTTGAGAGATCAAAAGCGCATAATATCAAAAGACTTATACTGTTTATTGTAAGGCATTTAATCCAAAAAAAAAAAAACTAATTGCCAAAATAGAAAACTTGATCTTACATTCATAACATACAAAATCTTCAATCACTCTTTTCTATTTCTCTTCCTATTCTAATTATAAGGATAGTTTCAATAAATTTTTGAAAAAAGCGCTTAGATAAATTAACCTTAATGAATGTCAAAAGACAGTGAAGGATTCTGCAAAAATTGATAAGTTAAAAATTGAACAAATAAAACTCTTAAAATAACATCTATTCAAAAAAAAAAAAAAAAAAAAAGGATTAACCTTCGTAACGCCAAGATTTTCTAGCACAGGAATTTTGCAAGCTCGTAAACTTAACTCTCGATCACGAACTGTATTAAGATATTGAAGAGAGTCGTTAATTAACTCAACTGTTAGACGGACCATTCCAATAATAAAGCTGAAGAAAAATTAATGGCGCATTCACGAAATAATCAGAATTAATACAAATAATAATGGATGAAAGATTACATTACATTTTTATCACTAATCAGCTAGAACATTACATATGCAAGATAGTAACTTTCGCAACTCTAACTGATAAATTTCAGAATGGTACTTCTTAAATTCAATACGACATTAACAAGAGAACTGATATCGTTATACAAAATTTATCAACTTTAGATTATTGTCACATCTATTGAGCCACAGGTTTTTATTGTGACTTAGCAATTGATTTTTCATCTTCAACACAATTTTATATTATTATTACTACATGAAATAGTACTGAACACCCTGAAAAGCTAACAACATATTACAATTCCTTATGCTTCTATTTTTCCGTCTTCAGCAATGATCACGTCAGTGAATCAATAATATGTTCTTCTTTTGGATTAAAATTAGAATAAATAATAAATGAAAAATATGGGAAAGTATGTCATCAGAATGAAACATTTCAAAAAATCATCTTTTTTAAACAATATTTTTGAGATATTTTTATTCATTAACAAAGAAATGTGACTAAATATTATAGTATGAATTGTTTAAATATTTGGCACCACATTCATCTTCTATGTATCCTACAAGCATATCAAAAATTACATCCTCAGAATATTCGATGAAAAGAAATAATTTAACACATATGCGTATTCTTTATAATCACATAGAATGCTGTATTATTGCATATGGGTATTGTGTCAATTGTTTACTCCTAAAATTTAATACATAGTCTCAATAAGTAATTGCATTCTTTAAAAAAAAAAAAAATATATATATATATATATATATATATATAATATGATTACAAGAAAAAGCACTGGAATATTATGTGAGATCCTCACAATTCTTCCTAATTATATTCAATTAATATTATTAATTATTAATTCAACAGTCAATTATGAGAAGAGTACAACGCTATAGACAAAATAGGAAAATATCGAATGTATTTGGAAAAAAGATATATTGGCATAAATCACTATACTTACTGTACACAGATAAGCATTAGAACACGCCAATATAACAAATAATCAGCAACTTGAAAAATACAAAAATTTAAATTTCAAAAAAAAAATTGAGAGCATTCCACACAGTCCAATTACCCTATTTTTGCACAAAGCAAATATCTGAGCATAAAAAACACAAACAATAGTATCATAGAGTTCATAATAATGAATTGTTAGAAGATCGAGACAGATCAATTAGTTTATTCCGTTAGCCATATGAACTCCGTATTATGACTGCTATAAATAAAGGCATTTTTATACACTTTGTAGGGTAAATAAAAATAGCCATATCGAGAAAATGTTTTCGGATATCTATGAAATCACTGGCTCCATTATAACATTATTCACCTTTTGTAACAATACTAATAATAAGTATAAACAAAATAATCATTGTGAACGGAAGCCACTGTTTGATGAAACCACCAATCCTGAAAAGCAAAAAATTTTTATAACAGGAATTTCAAAAATTCCAAAACTTAAGATAATTAGCCGTGCAAATTTCATTTGATTGTAATTGCTCAGGTATTTTAAAACTTTAAAGCTCCAATTTACATTTTAATGCGCTTTTATTGTACTGGAAAGCTTTTCAAAGCAATTAATAAAGTATCAGCAAAAAAAACTACACATCCCAGATATCAGGAAATTTTTACTTCCTATACGCTTGCAATAAAAAGTGAGCTTCAGCCATCTTAATCATATTAAATCATTAGTAAATGAGTAACAGGACAGAAAACCTCAGCCAAATGTCAAAATCGCGCCCCCAATATTAAATGATTCAAATACTTTTATTAACAAATCAAGCAGAATGGCTTTATGGCTAATAGAACAGATCTCTTCTAGAAGTTCAATAGATAGTCTTATTCGGAACATAACTAATCATATTTGTGATATGCTGATCTTGCAGGTGTAAGTGTGATATGCTGATCTTACAGGTGTAAGATTTTTTTTTTTTTGATAGAAACTTACCCAACATATCGACCTTTGAACATCAACATATTGACCAATCGGAAGCAATTATAATCTCGTTTGTGACCAAATTTCATCTTATTCAATGCCAACGCAACATGGCAGTAACAATTATCGAAGAATAAAGTATGCTGCAAAAGACAAAAAGAAAAATCTCACATTAATAGTCACGAAAAAAAAAAAAAGTTCAATGTAAACAATACACATATTCAAAGTTATGATAAACAATCTCATTGTTCTAGTGAAGAAATATCACAAGGATGGAAGGTCAAAAGGACTTCAAATTAAATTTCTTCAGGTCTTTTGCAACTTCAGATCATATGATATAAGAACTTATGAGCAGTGAAACTGAGAAAAAAAATGCACAAAAAAACATACTACATGCCCTTTATATTCTTCCGACGCATCTAACACAGCACGATCCCAGGCTTCCACTCCACCATCAATCGTATTTGGATCTATTTGATGATACCATGTAGGCCAACCAAACGCCATATTATCTTCCTGTAAAATATCACATTATTTTTTAAAGAACGAGTTTATATAATTTGCCTTAAAACACTATGAGTAATCTAAGGAATCTTTTAAAATTTTCGTAGTTATTAAATCTTAAAACTAAGATTTGAACTTATTTTAAAGTAGGATAAAACTGAAAATAAAAATTATAGAATATTTGGCTTATTTCGTTGTAGTTATTGCAAAAAAGCACATCGAGAGAAGTTAACAGAAGGATAATTAACTGTTACGACATAAACATGGAAAGATACTTACAGAAACACAATAACTTCCAGCAAAATCACGGATAATACCTCGGCTTGTTGCTATGCCCATATGACCAACAAATGGGAACAACCATCTGCAATAGAAATGCTATATTTCTTTATGCGATGGATAATCCAATAGTTTTAAAGCTTACTATTAACAAGACGGAAAATCAATAAGGAAGATAGAATGAAGATTAAGTAAGATAACCACCACCTTTTTTTATAGGAATTCGTGTCTATACAAAACAAGAAATGTAACAGAAAAACAGAAATGTAATAGAAAAAGTGTAAAACTATATGACAAGGTTTACGTAAATCATTATAATGATGCAACTACACCCAATTACATAAATAAAACTCACGTTACTATCGATATTGGTGTCCATATAACATAACATGGAAATGAAATGAAAAAAGTGTAAAACAATGTGACAAGGCTTACGTAAGTCATTGTAAAGATGCAACTACGTCTAATTACGTAGATAAAACTCACGTAAGTACCGGTATTGGTGTCCATACAACACAACACGGAAATCGATGTCGCATTGGCTCAATTTCCATCATATCGCTTCTCAGTTCGTTTGATTCATCGAATTGCATGTCAAATAACACAACTTAGCGCAATCAAAATCAAACTGCAATGCTTGACAATTCATCGCCTTTCAATCCAAATTATTGAAACAAAATATTACAACTTGCCCGGGACATGTTTTCTTGCACTAATTAGAATTGACGGCCCGGCCATTTTAACTCTTTTTACTTAAAAACGATGTTAAGGAATAATTAGCGATAATGAGAGATGGTTTTAGGGGGAGTGCTGAAATAGCGTTTTCAATTGAGAGATTACAAAGATTGCTAGGAATGACTAAATAGCATTTTACCAGTGATTGAGAAAAACTGCAAAGAATAATGTAGTAGTAGTGAATGAGTGATAAAAAGAAAATGGTTATTCCTTTGTGAGAGATTGGAAAGTGTTAAGGTTTAATCTATTTAAAAAGATAATACTATGACAGATTGTTTGAATAATTCAATGAAATAGAATGTTTTTCTTTTTAATTTAAATATAATTCTTAAATTTAATGTTCGGATAAAGTTAGGAATTTGAGTTAGATGTTTTTTTATTTTAATGAAAAGAATTAATAATTACAATTTTAGGAGAAATTATATGTGAAAAAATTGTTATTATTGATGGGTGATCATTCACGCTCAGATTTACGTTCTACCCGTGAATACTTCAATTCTCCACGTATTGCTAGAGTAAAAATTGATATTTCACTCTTTTTTTTTTTTTTTGAATGTAACTGGTAATTTTAATATACATTTAAACTCTCAATTCACAGTAACTTAACATTCTGTTCCTGTAATTTATTCAAAAATTGTTCGATTTGTTTAATCATTTTTTTCAGATTATAATTAATTAGAATTATTTGGTTGGTTGTTTTTGTTTTGTTGATGCGGTTAGCAAATCTGATAAGCAGTCGAATAATTTAGTGTTTTAGTTTTTAATAAATTAAACATAAATGAGTTAGCTCATTCAAATGGTTCTTTATTTAGCTTATATTATTTTGTTCAGCTTAAGATTGAGGACTTGAATAATTAGTTAGTTATTCCAACTAATTTTTAATCTTTTCTGTTTAATATCATTACAAAACAAGAAAGGGCTAGTTATTAAGAGAGAAAAAAAAAACCTTAGCAGTGAAACTGAATTAGTCAATAACTTATTAATTTAACTGATTTAATATTTAGCATAAAATGAAATCATTTCACTTTTGCATAGTTAATTAGACTTATACAGACCACTTGCCAAGATTATCTAACACTCAAATTTAATTCGCAAATTTAATTCGTGCGGCTTTGATTTTAGTAAGAACTTTAGTAAAAAGGGACTGTGCATAAGTGCTGAACTTGACTACTGCAGTTTTATTCATTTTATTTGATTTTAATCACTTTTTCAGCAAGAAAATGAAGTGAAACGAGGGCGTCGTATCCAACACTACATAGGTAGTACGGGTACTCGAGAAGATAAATCAAGAAATGCAACGGTAACGATTATGCCTCGTCCAACTGCTATTTTATCTAAACGTAAAGGTCTTTTTTAAAAAATTTTTTTACGATTAGTAGTGCTTGCAGAAGTCTTAGAAGTCGTTGATCTTAGTGAAACTTCTCTCAGTTCTTTATATGTTCTTTTGTTGGATGGTTGAGACAGATTTTTGTTTCCAAAGGAATAAATCATAAATTGGTAGTTTTTCGAGATCAGAATCTAATTTATTCTTTTGAAGTTTATGATATCTCAAGTTTTATGTTTATTTTCCAATAAAAAGAATTTTTCGTTCCAAATTAACATTTACGATTTCAGAAGAACCGACCACATTTGAAAATGCAGAAAGCAGTCAGAAGATATTGTCTCAGGCTGTTCCTTCATCCCAAGTAATCATTTGACAGTAGCTATGGTTACATTTACTCTTATCTCTGCTTTTTGCTATAGTAATTGTGTGCTATAGGCAAAAGTGGATAATGAAGTATACACATATTTTTTTTTTTTTAAATTACCTTTAAATTTTCTATTGCAGGAAGTGATACCATCGGGAATAACTCGTCCAAATTCTACTTCAAGATTGGTGAGAGGATCAACAAAAGCAGTGAGGAGCCCTTCACTCCGAATGGATAAAACACGTTAGCTTTTCAAAATCGTTGTCATGATTTTTAAGGAATATTTTCGCCAGAATGTGGTTATCAAGTTTTTGTTTCTTAATTTTTAAAAATTGAACTTCTGGAAATTGATTAATAGTTTTCAGAAACTTCTCGTAGTGCAGTAGCAGCAGCAGCAGCAGCAGCAGCAACATCAACTGTCATGGAGCAATCGCTCGGGATGATGAAGGCAGCTGTCCGTTTACTTTCCGACACGATGGATTTTACGGATGTTGTTGCGGTTTGTTGATTATTATCATTGCTAAAGGAAAGGATGAGGAATATAAGGTAGATTGTTCTCACAAATCACAAATCCAGGAATGAAAAAAAAATTTCTCAATCTTTGCAGATTTTCAAAATTGCATATTTAATCTGTTCCTTACTTGTTACTTGTCAACTAAAAATACAAATTTTACTTGTCAACTACAAATACAGGATTACTTGTCAACTACAAATACAAATTTTACTGTCATTGGTATTATTGGTCCACAAGGTTCGGGTAAATCAACACTTCTTAGCATGATAGCCGGTAATGATCACATGGATATGTACAGGTCCGTAATTTTCATTATTCGGAAAAAAAAAATTTCCTGGATATTTTAAAGCTTCTTCAGGTAGATATAAAATCATTTTCAACCCAAATGGTGAGTGCAAATAAATCTAAGTCACTTGTCCTATGGATCATTTTATATGGTTAATACTTGGTTATCCATTATTTTCAAGCGACACATTAAATAAATGAAGAGTGTATAGTGCTTTCAAATGTCATATTCTATGTATTAACAAAACTCTTGATATTTTGAAAATTTTCTCTGATTTTCTTTTTTTACTAAGTTTTTTTCCACCAAAAATCGCCAAAAAATTATATGCCACTCTTATATGCTATTTCAATAATTTCACATACTTCGCTACTTTAGGCATTATGCTTTTCGTCCAGCATCTCGTGAAGCAGTTGAATGTTGTCGTTATCAATCTCAAAAAATTAGCGTTTATGTAACCAAATCAAGGATGGTTTTATTAGATTGTCAGGTAAATTTCTTCATGTTTCTAATAGATTCTTCTGATAGAACTAGTAGTTTGTTCATTTTAGATTTTAGATAACTAATAATATCGTTTTGTATACATGTCTACTTTCAGCAAGAGATATTAAAAATATTTTGAATAAAGAAACTGCGCTGAATAATTAACTGAGTAGTGTTACTACTTCATCTGTTGTAGGCTATCGGTTCTGCTTCGATTCTTAATCACCTGTTAGCTACATCATCATTAGATGGAAATCGATCGGGAGGTGTAAAAGCAGTGGATCTTTGTCGAGGATTTACAGCGCTATCAGGAGAAATTGAAGTATAACCAAATAATTTGCATGTGACATTTACAAATCTTATCCAGCTTTTTTGTATTAATAAGAAATTAAATTTCTTATCAAATTCAGTTTTTTTTTCTCATAGTTTTTGAATTTTAAATCTTTAATTGAAAATTTTTTCAGAGCTTGCATTTAACCGCATTTCTTTTGCAAGTATGTCATACCGTAATACTTTCTGTCGATTGGTTTGTTGATATCGATATAATTCGGCATGTACGGACAGCAGAAATGCTTCGCGTAACACCAACTCATTATTCACCAGAAACAATGAAGTATAAGCCAAATCGTAAAATTAATTTTGGTAATTTTATATTTTTTACTAATTGTAATTTATTTTTATTAATTAATAATTATAAGGTAATGAAGTTGTTTATATGTTTATTGGCAAAAGCGATAGTTTTTTACAAAGGCATTTCATGATGATGATGCAGTGACTACGTAAACCTCACAGATTACTGGAATGAAACGATTATTTGCATGTAATGTACATTCTTATTACAAAAATTCTAATCTTGAACATTGAATAATTGATAAAAATTGATATTTTCCAGTGTTGGCCCATCAGAGAGCCAAATCAGAAGACTTTCAACCTAGGAATGTGAAAAATCGGGCCAAGATTTTGGAATGTTTATTCAACGATTCACAATTAGATATCAAAGGTGGCATATCATTAGGCAATTTAGGATGTAAACCGTATGGTGAAATTGCATCGGATGTAAATTATATATTGCTATCAGAAATGAAACCACGACCAAAAACGGAAGCATCAGCACCTGGCAAGTTTATCTTTCATTTCTCATTTCATATTTATTCTAAAAATTTGTTAAAGGAAAATTGAAGGACAAAAAATTACTTTTTTTAAGTGATTTTTTTAAAAGTCTTCTGTTAATAATTGAAATACCATATTTGTGATTTGTAATTTAATTATGTTGACGTATGGAGATTTTAACTTTTCTTGTAATTAATAGGTTTGAAACTGTGTTTTTCATAAATAACAACTTTGTTAAAAATTTAAATTTCAAAACGTACATCTTATTTATTAACAGAATTTGCTTTTTTTCTTATGAAAATTGGTGTCTATTCTAGTGACAAATATTTTTTGTTTAAGTTTCACCATATATGACAATGGATCTTACTCCTTTACGAGCAGTTATTGATTATGAAGAAGTTGTACGTCCGTTACGAATTCGGCTATTGTCATTACCAAAAGAGCCATTTATTCTTGGAAATCAGCCTTTTACAGAAATTCAGTGGTAATGATTTCTTTGTTATCATCCATTTCTTTTTTTTTGGGAGAGTTTATTCGAAAATAATAAAAAATATTTAACAGATTTTTTCAAATTGAAGAACACAATGTTGATTTTTGATTATAGTTACAAATTAGCACTGATTTCGAATGATTCGAATGCTTAGATCTTTCCAAAGTATCATTTGTTTACAGGTATGAATTTGCTACACGAACCTGGCGAGCAACATATGGAAGTGTGGAGATTGCTAAATATGCATCAGCGATAACAAAAATTTTTGATGAATGATATGTCACTGGGAATACCAATAGTATTATTAAATATAAAATATTTGAAATAAGGTTTTTAGAGCTTTCAATTACTAGATATTTGTTGGTGTAAAAATTTCTTCTAAGATAATGCCTACAATATTAAACTAAATGTCTTTCTGATTTTTTTTTTGTTTTTTTGTTTTTTTTTTTATCATAGTTGTAGTTCAGATTCTGATTCATAAGTGGAGAATTAAGTCTATGTTTGTCCAAAAAAAGAACTTTTCGGATTTAAGTAAGTTTTTCACTTTTGGAGTTTTTGATTCTTTTCAACTGAACTTGAATTTTTTCAAAGGGGCAAAGAAATGTGCATGATTTTCTCTTTTTCGAGTTGTTCAAAGCAATTATTCCGTAATTTTGAATAAGATACAATACGATTAGGTTGTAGGTCCTTATTAAATTCATTATTATTGGTTCTTGATTTAAGTCATCGATCTTTATTATCCAAAAACTTTTTGATTATCTGGAATCTAATTTAGCACATATATTTTATGTTTTGTTATAATTCATCTTTAGAAATTACATATCCGGTAAAAAACATTAATAAATATCTTAATTGATCCTATATTCTTCCTCTTATAGTCTGATTTGTTCTTTAATGATTTTTTTGTGTTTCCAATTTTCCTAATACTTAAATACTACATTTTTAGCTAGGTAAAAATCCTAATTCTACTCCATTAATATTTATTTGAATGTTTGAATTAGAACAGAAAACTAGTGTTTAAAATTCTAAACGAAGCTCGAATATTTTCTCTTCAAGTGCTTAATTCTTCATTCACTCTCAATCAATTATATAAGATTGAAATTGTTAATCTCTTATATCTTTTTTTATATCTATATCTAAATTTATTTTTATGTTTCTTTTATATTTGCTCTTGATCTTAAGTTTACCCCCTTTCTCATCACACATTCAAAATTATGCGGGAAATATTAGACAGTATAACTTTCCAATTGTTTCTTGAGAACTTCTATCATTTTAAAGCAAAACTCTTTAAGGTCTTTTTTTTTAAGGCCATATCGGTCGTTATACTATGTACACTTTGAGCAAATGTCGGAATGTTTTTATGTTATATATTCGCATTATTACGAAAGAAATAGTTTGCACATTTTCGTTGGTTGTTTTAAATTTTTAGAATTAATAAAAATTAATTTCTGATCGCTAGATATGTCAGGCACCGGTTATCAGCAAATGTAGTACAACATATTTATGTTTTACAATGGTAATTCCATTTTGTTCATACGTTTTTTTTCGTAGTAAACAGTGAATTTTCATGGATAATTTAGAGAAATGATAGTTTACTTGATAGATTTCTTGTGGTAAGAAAAACAAGAAAAGAATATCAAGATTCTTTGTTAATTTGAGAATATATCGTTTTTACTGTGGGTAAAATTTTATCTCATTTCATTCATTCATTCACTATATATTGTATATTGTATGTAAAATGTAAAACATTAAATTTTATCACTTCAAATACATTGAGAAATTTTTCGTAAAATAATAATGAGGAGAAATAATTCATTTTAGGTTTAAGTTTTTCATTGCTTAGTTAAAGTTTAAATTTTTTTTTTTTTTTAATAAATCAAAGGTTAAACATTTTATAGCATTTTCATTGCTAATTTATGTATAATTTATTATCAAAAAGAAGAAGAAAATATATAATAACAAAACATGCCATTTTATAAGTCCTCGTACTTACAAAAATTTGTTAAATGATTCAAATGAAATGTCAAGTTTTCGTTTAAAAGTTCAAAGCCAATTTTTTGTGGAATGCTTTTTCATTTGTCTAAGCAATAAAAGGATACATTTTTCTGTACTAGAATTCAAATATTCAGGATATTCTGTCACATATGCTTTTTTTTTTCTTTTTCTTTTCTTTTTTTTTTTTTTTTTTTGTTTCTGTTTTTTAAAAGCTTTGGCACCAATAATTTTTGCAATTATATAAATAATCTATCATTATGTCGTCTATATTTTGCATATTTTGATAATATAGCACTAACATTGTGAATATAACCAATTTTATAATTTCAAATTTTGATATATTCCAGCATATGCTTCTTAACATTTAAGAAATTTTGTTATTTGTTTTTTTTTTTTGACTTTTTCCAACAATGAACTGCTAATATTGCTAAAAATTTTGACATTAAAGACATCTCAAATACGATTATATAATCGTATTGTTAGTTAAATTTAATAAATTGATAACTTGTCCTGACCTGGTTTTGTTGTTTATTTTTTTTTTTTTTTTTTTAATCAGTTGACATAAATTGATAAGAATAGAGTAATGATAACAGGAAATCAATGAATTTATTTAGCATAAAATTAGGTAAATGAAATTGTTTAATTAAATCAATTATAGGAAAAAATACTTTTCTTTTTTTTTTAAATAAAAATTTAATGATTTGTAACCGTAACTAAATAAGTGAACTGTTATTATTATTATTATTTTTTTTTTTTGATTTTTGCTTATTAAATACTATAGATGAGATATGCTTGTCTTCTTTTTACTATTTACAAAATAAGTTTAAACAGCTGCGAAAAAAAAAAAAAAAAAAAAGTGAACGAATATTATTAATAATTTAATTAAAGCAATTGAGGAAAATTTATTTATATTACACTTGTTTGATCAATAATTTTTTAACTCTAAAATAAATCGACAAAACTTGTTTTGTAATAAAGATTTTTTAATGCAAAAATGAAAAAAAAAAAAAAATAAATAAAAAAATACCACTAGAATTTGATTAATATATGATTCAAATCTTTTATTACTTTCTCATGCCTACTTTTTTTTTTTTGTTTTGACGATGAACTTCCATTTTCATCCTTTTTTTTTTTTTTTTTTCTCTTTATTTATTTATTTTTTTGATTGACATTTATAAAGAAATTGATATAATTTGATTCTTTTTTATCTTTTACTTTTTTTTTGCTCAATTTAAATTTCAAAATTGTAAAATGTGAAAAAATTTTAATTTATTCAAATATTAGCAGCAGTAATTTTTATCAAATATCTCTCAACATATTTCATTTATTCTTTTTATTAATCGAAATAATTTATTCGTCATATTATTCTCTATGAATATTATTGTAAATATATCTATAATTTATGTTAATTTTCATATTTTATTCTATTTCCTAATTGATTTCTTCATTTCTTCTTTTAATCTATCAATTTCTCAAAATGCCTGTTTCTACCAATCATTTTACTTTCACGTGCGGTTGTCTCGTAAAAAAAAAAAAAAAAAAAAAAAAAAAAAACTTTTGATATTCATTATCATATGACTAAACAAACATTCCTGTTCAAATATTTCTCGACAAACAATTCCTTTTCAATGCTTTCCGGAAATAGTCTATGCTATTATCATACCGGTTTTGTTATAATTCCCTCAAAAAGGTTGATGAAGTATGTTCGTATCATAGAATGCGGTTGTTTCACTTCGAAATTATTTGATTTTTTTTTTTATACATTCATTTATTTTAGAATTGTTTTACTACTTTAAAAAAAAAAAAAAATAATAATTTTGTCCTTAACAGTTACTTTTCCTTCTTCATTTATACTCTTTAAAAAAAAAAAAAAAAAAATACTGATAACATATTCTAAGTTGATATTCCGAGATAACATATTAATTAATGAGTTTTTTCTTTATGTATTTTTATTTATTTATTTGCTTGTTTAAATCACACTAAATTATTTCGTTTATACTTATCAATGATTATTTATAATGATAAATTTGCCTAACAAATTAAACAGACATAATTGATAACATTTTAATGGCTGATTTAGATACGATTCTCGAAAGCTTAATGTCATCAAAACAAGCAATATGAATAAATTTTCTACATTAAGTAATTTTACATTACAAGTTACTGTGATCTTTATTGCTTGGTATTTTGTTAGTTCAGCATCTAGTATTGTCAATAAAATTACATTACAGGTTATTCTTGTTTTTCTTTTTTTTAAAAAATAAATAAATAAATAAAAAAGAAATTACGACAATTTTAAATTAGTCTATTAAAATAAAATTTATTAAATTTAACAATCATAATTTTTTCTTTTGAGAATTTTTATAAAAAATATTCATTGATATTTAAATATTAGAAATTTTTTAAATGTTCATTTTAATTAATACTAAAAATATACTTTTATTATTATTATTATTAATTTGTAATTATTCATTTCCAGAATTATCCATATCCTATGACAGTTGCTTTGGTGTCACTTTGTTACGTTGAACTTTGTTCCGTTCCAGTACTTCGACTATGGCATATCAAACAACCTTCTATATCCAATTATTATCTTATATATTATATCATTCCAATATCATTTGGTAAAGTAATTGCTGTTGTTAGTGCATATATAAGCGTTTGGAAAGTTTCAGTTTCATACGTACAAACAGGTAAATAATTATTTTATTTATTAATTTTTTTTTTTTTTTTTAAATAATTAAATAGCATATTTTGAGATAATATTCATAACTTTCCTCTGTAAACAAAGATTTATAAATGAAATAATCTATCCATGTTTACTTTAAATACTATTCATTGATCATTAAAATAACTAATAAATTCTGTAAATAAATAAATTTTATTTGTACAAAATATAAATTAAAGGTTACATTGTATGATATTATTGAGATGTACTTATTAATACATTACCTTTTGTCCATAAGATTGATTCCATTTGTATTCTCAGAAATAGTGATAGTATTATGGATAGCTTATCTTTGTATCTCTTAATTAGAGGTTAAAGGTCATCACTGATATGTATGTCCTAGGCTAAAAGATTGTGTCTAAGGTATATTTATTGTGATAGAGAATGATGATTTCAGCGAAGAGTACAGTTTTTAGAGAACGATAATTTTCCATCTTGAAAAGTTAACCTGTAATATGGCTGATTCATGGCAGTATTAGTTACCTGGTCAGTGTAGTGGATAATTAGAATGAGTCAGTCAGGTGATATGATGGATGACTCATGACTCATGATTCAGATCTATACAAAACAATGATTGAACTGTATGATAGCTCTAATCTTAAGTGTTTATTCTTCCATATTTTTTTTAATGAAATTTCTCGAATGTTTTATATATCTTTACCAGTCTATTGTTAATTACTCTTTAATCTTAGTGCTTTTGAGAAATTGATTCTTACAAAATAAGGTAAACTGCTGAAAATAAGGTAAACTGTAATGTTAATATAAGGTAAACTGTATTTGAGTTTATGATGATATGAGAAGAATGATAAATTACCTATGATGTGGATTGATATAAACAATTTAGCAACTTATACTTTCATTTCGTTGAGTTCTTTCTGAAACTTTCTACATCGTTTATCAGTTATCTTATAATTGTTTTCTATTTTAATATAACTTTAAATTCTATCTAGCGTTTTTTCACTTCTTTAAATTTCAAAAAAGCTCTGCAGCTTCTACAAAACAAGAAATTATGCACTTCTGTATGAGGTGACAAAGGTGACAAAGAGTAGTTTTCTCGTACAATATGATGTAGAATTTTAATATTTGTCTTTAATTACCTGAGGTTGAATATAATATCGAATAGAAATATCATTTTCTTCATTTGAAATCTATCGTAACTCTTCGAGATATCATACTAAAGAATAATATGAATAGGTTGGTACGAGAATTCAACCTTGTTTTCACATCTTTGATTATTAAAAAGCTTTCCGAGAGTAGGTTGCTGAATGTACAAGACTTTTATTTCCTCTCTCTCTCGAGAAGCCAAAGTGGCTTACCTGTTTCTCTCGAGTTAATCTCGAGAAGCCAAAGTGCTGAACCATTTACATGCACGGTTTGGCTTACCTGTTTCGTTTCTCACCTATCACTATAGGATTTTTTAAAAGTAGATGTATTTTTCCAGGTATTTAGGCAAAACTGGTCTTATCCTTGAACTTAAGGTTTATCTACCATACCTAGCAGGTTTAAACGATGATAGCAAAATTCTTAGTTCATAGACATACAATTTTGCAAGACTAACGGACTCCATCTATCCGGATCCGGAATCGAAGTTGTCCCCTCCTAGGATGATTGCCCTACCTTGAGGCTAATGAACCTATCCTATCATTAGACATACTTTATCTGACTTTTCAGTTGAAACTCTTCTGGTCGGTGTCATCACTAGAGTACAGCTTACAACTTCAACAAAGAGATGTCCACAGAGAATGACTCTGAAATAAATTGCTTAATCAAATTAAAAAAAAAAAAACAAAAAAAAAAAACAATTCGACTAATTTTTAAAATTCAACACTAATTTAAATTACTATCTTTTTCATTTTCATAGTTGTTGTATTTAATTTCAGGTGAAATTCTTACTTTATACATCATATACATACATTTTTTTTTTTTTTCGACTACTATTTTTTACCGAATTATGCATTTGATATTTATGTTTATTATATATTTATAGTAAAAGCAACAATGCCATTATTTGCTGTCTTTTCTGCTCGAATTGTTTTGAAAGAGCGACAAAGCAAGCATGTTTATCTATCATTAATACCGATTATAATTGGTGTAGCTATTGCAACATTTACCGAATTATCATTTGATTTAAGTGGTTTACTAAGTGCTTTATTATCTACCGGTATTTATTCGGTGTTAAATGTTTTTGTCAAAAAGGTTAAATTTTTTTTTTCTTTTTTTTTTTGTCTTAAATTCATAAATTTAGCAATTATTTTTCTTTTTGCAAACTGTAGATGTCACTAGATGTCACAGTATAATATAATTTATGGGTTGTTAAGATTTTTTTTTTTTTTATAAGTAAATAAAACAGTAATAGAAATTACACAGCCAGTAAATGTTCATCAGTAGTGTATATTTTGTTGATGAAGGTTGGTTTGATTTGAGCAATCTGATAGATTTTTAATTAGTAAATAAATTAAGCTAAAGTATTGATTAAAAAATTAATTTCAATGATTTGTAACAAAGAGTTAATGTTTTTATATGTTGTAGCGAAAAGGTAATTTGAAATAAATAAGCGATTATTTTGATATAACAAATATGGAAATTCTATCATAATTTTATGTTAGGATAATTTTTATTTATTTATTTATTATTTATTTCAGGTATTGGAAGGTGCTGATATTCATCCATTATATTTGTTAGCATTAAATTCTCGTATTGCTGCAATCTTACTGTTTCCGGTTTGGTGTCTTCGTGATGGCTTATTATTATGGCGTGGTGTTGAGTTAACTGTATGTTTATTTCTTTTTTATTTTCATTTATCCAACCAATTTTTTTTTTTTTTTTTTTTGTGATTTTATTTGTCTTTCATGTAATTTTAATTAATAAGTTTTTTTTTTTAATAAGTAATTAACAAATTTTATTTGTTTTTCATGTAATTTTAATTATATAATTAATTTAATTAATAATAATTTTAATCATATTAAATTTTCTCGTAATATTTTATGGAATATATTTTTCTTCCATTTCAAATATTTTAAAATTTATGCATAAGCTATTAGCTTTTTTTTAAATAGAAGAATCAACCATCACCACATGAAGCGAATTTCGTCGTTTTTTTATTGCTTTCTGGTATACTTTCATTCCTGCAGAATTTATGTGCTTTCATATTAATTCATCGTTTATCTGCGCTTTCATACGCTGTAGCAAATGCAGCAAAACGTATTACTGTAATATCAGCGTCATTACTTACTTTACGTAATCCGGTAACTCCGGCCAATATTTTTGGCATGTTTTTATCCATATTTGGTGTTTTTCTCTATAATCGGGTAAACATTTAACTTTTATTTATCATTAATTTAAGTAAAATAATATAAGATGATTAAGAAAAAAAAATAATAATTAATTTGCATAAAATGTTTTCAAATCTATTAAACAAATTTCATACTTATGAGTAAAGTTTTTTCCATTTTAATTCGATACTCATATTTGTAAAAATTTTTGAAATTATTCAAGATAAATAAAGTTGATATCAATTATTAATTTTAGGCTAAACAACGCGAAAAAGAATATCGTGTTTTACCGAAATCGCAAACAGATTTAGCAATATCTGATACTTCATCGGTTTTCCTGAATGGTTCAGTGATCTATAATGACGGATTTACTGGACAGCTATCATCAGTTGATTTCATTCAAATGATTTGCTGGTTTCCGAAATTTTTCCTTCGTTGGGCAGTTGTTGGTATTTTTATTGCCATTTTAATTTGTTTATTTGCAGGACATTCAGATATTCGGTAAATTTTGATTAATTCTATGACATTCAGATATCCGGTAAATTTTGATTAATTCTATGACATTCAGATATCCGGTAATTCTAATAAGCTTCTGTGATATTAAAATGACAATTGCTACTTCTCAATATAACTGAGAGCATTTACATTTTTATTTGTTTGCATTGAAATGCACTGTTATTCACTTCAAACATTCATTCCCAATGTCAGTCAGAATATTGTTAAGGTTATATTTATCATATCAATGTGATAAGTTTTTTTTTTTTTTTTTTACTTTTTTCTAATTTTTATTTTATTTTTCTTTTTCATTTTGATTTTAGTTTATTCAAAATGCAGCAAGATGACAAAACCAATTTCTATTTGAGCGCTTTATTAATATTTATATCAAATTTGCATTAGTATTAAATAATGACCCATTTATATGTCAAAAGTTGTTCGCATCACTTTTTTTTTTTTTTTATAGTATGTATGGATGGAACTTTTTTTAAATATGTAATATTAAATTATGATTTTCATATTAAAATTATGTATTTTATGATGCTAAATCTTAATTAGGTTTTATTATATCATATTGTATTGTTGCTGTTTTTTTTTTTTTTTTTTTTTTTTTTTATGATTTATTTAGTGTGTTTAAAATTTTTATTGTTGATTTACATTGTTATTTTTATATAATTTAATTACTCGAATAACTTATATTGTTATTTTCATATCATTTAATTACCCGAATAACTTACATTGTTATTTTCATATCATTTAATTACCCGAATAACTTATATTGTTATTTTCATATCATTTAATTACCCGAATAACTTGGCAAATTGATATTTGGAAAGTAATCATAATAGAATATTTATTTATCATTTCCAAAAAAAAAAAAAAAAAAAGAAATTATACTAGCTGTTAAAAATTATTCCATTTATCATCTGATATTGAACATTTCATATAATTTACCTTTGTCACATTGCCTTTCTAACTAATTTAAAAAAGTCTTTCGTAAACAATTCGTTGTGATAATTTGAAAACTACCTGTGACATAGTTATGCTAATAATTCCAACTTTTTTTTTTTTCTGAATTCCATTATTTATTATTTCACTTGCATATTATAAATGATTTTGTATAGTTTTTTGCTTAATTTAAAAAGCATTTTTTTATGCTTTTTAAAAGGAAAAGTTTCTTTCTTTTATTTATATGCTCAATTTTATTGATTTCTAATACGTTTACTTCTAATATATTATATTATTCACTTCGTAAAAGTGCTGTTCAATTTTTTCCTTTTTTCTTTTTATTATCTTTTCCAAAAACATTCATTGTTTAATTTTTGATATAATTAAATATAAATTATTATATGATATAAAAGGGAAAATATTGATATAAAAAATTATTATATAATATTATATGATGGCAATTATTTTCCATCATATATTAATTATCTCTCCCTTTTTTTTTTTAAAATTTGTAAAATTTCGTTTTTTAAAATTAAAATTTGTTTGGGAATAGTTTTGATTATATTGTTGTGGTTATGCATATTTCTATTTTCAAATGATAATAAATTAGTGAAAATTTTTGATACATTGAAACCGTTGTATTATTATCTCCAAAAATTACTCATATACTCTTTTAAATTCTTAGATAAATTGGAATTTTAGTCTTGAATTAACTTACAAAATTTGATTAACTTACAGAGATTAACTTATTAATTAATCAAACTAAATAACTCCTAGAAGTATCAATTTCTAAATCATTTCACAAAAATATCTGACAGTTTATGCATAGTATTTAAATGAAGTTAATTGTTAATTTCACATGTATTTGAAGGAAAAAATGAAAAAATTTCAAAATCAACATTAACTACTAAGATAGCTATATCAAATATAATTAGATAATAAATCCTCTCTTATAATACTTATGAAATTTAAAGAAAAGAAAAAAAAAATATTTTACCAATAAATTCTAAATTTATCATACTTATTATATGACTATAACCGAATAACTTTTAGCCTAAAAAATTTACTTAAATATATAGCAAAAAAAAGAGAGCTAAATACAAAATAAAAAATAGTATAAAGAAAACCAAGAAATAAGTTACTAATTAGCTAAATTTAAGATTTAATTTGAATTAAAATTTGATAATTTGCTAATAATAAATAAGCATATATCATTCATATTTTTATCACATTGCAATTTTTTTATCAGTAAAGAGAGAAATGTTATCTTAGAAATCTGAAAAATATTTTACAGTAATTTCTTTCAATTCATAAATTTAAATGTAAAATTGATTATTTCAACGAATGCTTTACATTAAGTAAAATTAATGAACAATCGAGCAGACTTATCGAATGGAAAATCGAAACAATATAATTCTTTTTTCGTTTAAAATTACAAAGATAAGAAAGGAATTTTTTGAGATACATTTTTTTTTTTTTTTTTTCTTTTTCTATTAAATATTTTTCTAACTTTTCCATCAAAGTAAGTTCTATGATTAATTCTAAATTTTAATACATTATGGAGTTTATCTTATAATTTTTCAATTCCTATAAAAAATATCATCTACTAAAGTACTAACCTTCAAAAAAAAGAGAACGAAAAAAAAAAAAAATCTAACTTTTAACTTTTTTTTTTTTCAAAATCAAAGCTTTTATAGTCTGAAAAAAAAAAATTTTTTTTTTTTTTGAAAAAAGATATTATTTTAGAGAAAATAAATTTTACAAATCAGTGAAAAAATCAGAAAAAGAAGTTAGTCATAAATAATTAATAAAAATGTCGTTTTTTCTTTCTCTTTTTTTTTTCAATTATTTATTCGAAATGAAAATTATTTATTTATTTTTTTTTTTTTTAAAAGCAAAATAAAATACAATTTCGAATTTATATTTTTTCTTTTTGTAAAAACTAATGTGTTTTCTAAGAAATGAAAATGCATCTTCTAGCAAAATACAACGCTATTAGCGTGTTAATCATTTCTTCTTAAAATAATAATAATAATAATAGTAATAATAATAATGATAATAATAATGATATTAATAATAATAACAATAATAGTAATAATAATAGCAATAATAATAATAATAATAATAACAATAATAATAATAATAGCTAAGTGATAATATCATTATTAAATATTAAATCGGAATAATAAATTAGTGATAACAAATAATTATTTTCATTCCAGTTTTAAGTTAATTAACTTTTATCAGACATAAATAATATCTCTCTATGGATTATCATCAATAATGACCACTAGATTTGACCAATGATATTATAATTTTATCTATTGTTTACACTTTATAAAACTAACATTATAGTTGAATAAAATAAAATAAAAAAAAATTCATTTTTGAAAAATTTACAGTTTTTCGTCTTTTAATCAATGAAATATCAATTTGTTTGCTTGGAAAAGATAAGAAAAAAATAAACTAAAAAATATATACATACAACTTTAAATTTTACATATAACTTTACTTAATAAACTAAAAATATACATACAACTTTAAATTTTACATATAACTTTACTTAATAAACTAAAAATATACATACAACTTTAAATTTTACATATAACTTTACTTAATAAACTAAAAATATACATACAACTTTAAATTTTGCATATAACTTTACTTAATAAACTAAAAATATACATACAACTTTAAATTTTGCATATAACTTTACTTAATAAACTAAAAAATTGAAATAATAGTGCTATAATTGATAAAAAACCAATGATATATTTAATATTTCAAAATTGTTTAAATATACTACATTCTAGGAACTTTTTTTTAGCCTCAACAATAGCCAAATAAAATATAGGGTAAAAAAAAATTACGAGGAAATAAAAAAAAAAAGAAAAAAAGAAAGAAAAAACATATAAATTGAATAAAATTAAATTAGAATTAAAAATTCATTAAATAACATTTAATATTTTTCTTATAATTATAACAAAAAGATAAAAAAGAAAAAGAAAAAAAAAAAGGAAAATAAACGAAAAGAAAAGAAAAATGAAAAAATGCAACGCGTAAGATTGCAATCAGAAATTTTTTTAAACAGTATAAAAGATCAAACAAACTTTGAAAATTTTCAAATGAAATTTTTTGAAAACTAAAAATTTTTATTTTATCTATTTTCCTTCTCAGTTTTTCTACTAATTGAAAAAGTAAAAATGTAACATTAATGTCATTTTCTTCATCGAAAATAATAATATTACAATGTGTTTTTTGATAATGAAATGAGAAATATTTCAGATTGAATGAATTAACTGATAATATAAAACAAAATGAGTAATTTTATCATTTTTGTTATCAATCATTTTAAACTTTTATCTCCAACTATAAAATTAGCTATTTTGAAACAAAAAGATTAAAAGTTTCTCTCTAGCACTGCATAAATAATAAGATAAGAAGAATCATTTTATACTGTAAAAATATACGTTAAAAATGATACGTACGTGTACGTTTGAAAATTGTAACATTTTTATACATAACAATGAATCATATTGCTTGGATATTATTTATTTTATTGAAGAGAATGAAACAAAATTAAAAGATTTATGAAATAATTCAATTAATATTGGTTACTTTCAAATTCAATATTTTCTCAATTTCAGTATAAAGTTTATGATAATTCTTTTATTTATAAGTTTTCTCAATATTAACTTAATTGTAATGAAAATTAAATTCCTACTTACATTCTTTAATTTTGCTATGAAATGAAACTTTTCATTTTAGGAAAGATAAAAGTATTGAAAAAAAAAAAATGGTAAGTAATATCTTATTTTACTGTAAATCAGAAAAAGAAATTGATTCGGGAAATACTGTTAATTCGGGAATTAATTCGGGAAATACTATCACATGTAACACAATCAAAAATAATATCAATTTTCAGATTTTCATCTTCTCACTGCTATTTTCTTTTTCGAAATCATTCAAATCAATAATATTTATCAATAGTTAAACGATTAATTATTAAATTATGAATGTAAAAAATAAAAATACAATAAAAAAGAAGTCAAGGAATTATATTAAAATTTGTAAAAATTCAATTAAATATGAAGTAGCACACAGTAATGTGATAAAATTAACGAACCACTGATTGTTGTTCGAAAGCAATTATATGCTTATGTCTCTTTTTATGAATATTAAATGTAAGAATATTTCCAACATTTCAATAATTTACAAATTAAAAATTACATAACATAATTTGTTCAATTACTAAAAATTAATTAGTTTATTGCAAATGAAATAAAACTAACCGATCAAATAAGTACAGAAATCATATATATGTATTATAAGGAAGAAGATAATGTATTTATTATTATTATTTAACGATTGTAGTTTGGTTATTTTTCACAAAGCGAACATCAAAGTGTATTACATTGTGGTTCTGGTTTTGTTCATTGTGATGTTCGTAGTACGTTGTTATGATGTTTTCTATTAGTTGAATGGTTCACTGTGGTTTGTTGCTTATTTTATTAGGTTGGGGAAGGTTGTGATACTCTTGTCATATGGTTTAATTTTTTAGAGATTTGAAATTTTATCATGAGTGCGAATGCAATAGCTGTGTTACGTGGCGATAATGTTAATGGGATTATTCGATTTAAACAGGTAAATTAAAAGAGACCTTTTAATTGGACGATAGAAATTTGTAAATAAAAATGTTGGCTTTCTATTAAGCCAATATTTAAATTATTTTTTACAAAAGTTTATTCCTATGTAATGTACATCTCAAAAATATTGTTTAGAATAAGGAAAAATAGATTGGTATAGTTATCAGCGTAACTTATGGATGTGTTTATTCTATTTTCTCAATAGTGCCGTGACACTGTTGTTGAATTGTGGGTATTTTATTATGCAATAAACATTAACCGTTAAATCAGCATTTTTAAAGGAGAAAGAAGGATCGCCAACAACTATTAGTGGTGAAATCAAAGGTTTAACTCCCGGTTTGCATGGTTTTCATGTACATCAATACGGTGATACTACAAACGGATGTATTTCTGCTGGTCCACATTTCAATCCTTACAATAAAACACATGGCGGTCCAACCGTTAGTTTTATTCTATCTCCAAGGGAAAGAGGAATTACGTTAAATATACGTTAGTTTTATTGGTTTAATTTCAGGAACAATACCTGGTTCTAAATGTTTGTAATATGACATAAATCGAGAAGTTCTTTTTTTTTTTTTTTTTTTTTAATTTGGGCAGAGGTATATTTTCAATAATCAAAAACATTTATGCAACATTGCAACAACGGTATTGACATTGATAAGAGTGATATAGAATGAATAGTTTAGTTGCTCAATATCAATTTCAGTTTCAAGGTCTTTATAAAATTATGTCCTTTAAATTATTTAAATTTTTTCCTTTAAATTAATTATAAGACTTATATCCCTTAAATTAAAAATTATAAGACTTATGTTTATAAACAAATTTTAATTTTAATGGGAGATCGGCATTTCTTTTATTTTTGCTAATTCACAAGTGATGTTTAGGATGAAATGAGACATGTTGGTGATCTTGGAAATATTGTGGCTGGAGCTGATGGCACTGCTCACATTGATATTTCTGATAAGCATGTACAGGTATACCAAAATTACGTCAGACTAACACAATCATTGTTGCATATTTCTCGACATCTATTCAAATCTTATATTTCTGTTATAATTCTTATATTTTCCTATTCTCGCATTTCCAGTTACTCGGTCCCAATTCAATAATTGGCCGTTCAATTGTTGTGCATGCTGATCAAGACGATCTCGGGAAAGGAGTTGGTGACAAGAAGGACGAAAGTCTTAAAACCGGTAATGCTGGTGCCCGTGTTGCATGTGGTATTGTTGCCGTTGGTGCTGCTTCTTGAATTGATTTTTTGTTTTTTTGTGAACTTCTGTCCAAGACGATGAGATTTGAACACTCTAATAATGATTTGTCAGATGTCATTCCTTCTTGCTTCCAGTGTTTCTGTCTCCTATTAAATTTCCTTGTGCAAAAAAAAAAAAAAAAAAAAAAAAAAAAATGTCTGTTCTACTGAAAAAGGGATGTGCATCTCATTTCAACTCCATTTTTTCATTGCTAATTTCTTCATTACCATTAGACTCAAACACTTTTTGTATTGTTAAATTTCGTAGTTCTCGCATTTTCAATAGAATATCAAGTAAAAAGTAATTAAAAGGTAAGGAAAAAAATTCATTGGTTTCTCGATGCCTTTAGTATTACATTTTATAGCAGATTTCGGTACTTTTATTAATATATTTTGTGTATGTTTTAATAAATTTTAATGTTACAATGTTCAAGAAAATTCAACAATGAAAATTCCATTTCTTTTTAAATAAGCAAAGTATGGGAAGTATGCAAAATACCTGAACCAATTTGAAGTTTATTATATTAAAAAAAGTTTTGAAGTTTCGAAGTTCGAAGTCATTTTGGATTCCAGTTTTCTTAATTGCAGTGATTGTGGTAGGTAACCGTAATGCCGAATATATATGTTTTTAATGACTAAATACAGTAGCAAAAAAACAAAAACTAAACAATCATGCATTAACCAACAAAATTTACCAAAAAAAAAAAGGACTGGCATACGCACATTCCAAAGAAAGACCGGAAGTTCGTCGGTATTTTTTCGGTTTAAACAAAACTTTACTCTCGAATTGATAGATTTTGATTACCTGGGTAATAATCCAATGCAAAAACAAATTCTAAGTATTTATTTAAAAAAAAATAAAATAAGACGAAGTAGGGATAACAATGAAAGTAAGAATAATCATTGATTGCCTTCAATAGCAAAGACTTTTTCCCACAAATAGTTCTTTTTCCTACAATCAGAAATCGATTTTTGTTGTGACGGTGAATTTATATGATCTAACTATTAAAATAATGGAACAAGTCATAGGTATGTATGGTCGTTTGTTTGAGTATAAATATTTAAAAATTTTGTACTTTCTAATTATGAGTGTCTTTTTTTTTTTTTCACTTAAAAATGTTTATTTCTAGATATATCTGCTATCGATTATTGGATCAATATTAGTTACAGGTAAAAGATTCAACATAATCATTAAAATATGAAACAGAATTCGCTATATTATTTGATTTCCTATTTTATGAAGCCATTAACAGTACTATTATTGTTTCTGCTTGTAAACAAATGATTAATTAATTGATAAATTCCAAAAATATGATTAAATTTTGCCAACAATTATTAGCTATCAAATCAAAGGCTAGCTTCATTTTTAGCCTTTTCAATAAAACTCATGATGGTCCTACCGCTAGTTTCAATATATCTAAAAAAGGAAAATAAAAAACAATTTCTGCTAATTGTTATATCTCATTTCATTTCGCCATTTTTTAAAGTCTTATTTCTCGAAATAATGTTTAATTTGAAGCAATTTTCCGATAAAATAGCTTATTTGATAAGAACTTAACGAGAATTATATTTCTTATAAGGCATAAGGTAGGTTATTTTTACCAATAAATAATTTTAATTCGATTTTTAGGATTTAAATGAGATAAATCGGTTGTCTTGGAAACGTTAAAATTGGAAATGATGGTATTGCTCATATTAATATCATCAGTAATTATCAAGATAAGCAGTTAGCTTAAAAATATCTTCATAAAAGTTGATTTTTAATTTTCTAAGATTTTTCTCAACTTGACATTTTTAGTTATCAGGTTTCATTTGAATAAGTGAATTTAAATCCGTTTCATTTTAAATCCGTTCACTTGTGCATGCTAATCCGGATGATATGATAAGATGAATGAAAGTTTAAAAATTATTAGTATTGCTGTTTTTACTTAAAATCATTAGTTTTAAAATTAAAATTTATAGTGTAACAATAATTTCATTCGCATTCATTTCATTACTATTTTTAACAATATTATTATTTATTTCTCAGCAGTGTTTATATATATATATTCATTTACAATTTGAAATTTTGATAAACATAAATTTGCATCGTGTAAGCATATTATCATATTGATCATCCTTATATGTACGTTATAATTTCACTTACAAATTTATTTAGTAAGCATAAGTAGGTTAACAAAAATAAGATCAATTAATATTTTAATACATCTTTTATTCTTTCTAAAAAGATGCATGAAAATATTTCAGACTTTAATTTTGGCAAAATTATCAAAAGGATGAATAATAATATTTGATATTAAAAATTAAGAAAGAAAAATTATTAATGAATACCATTAATGTTTGTTATAATCAAAAATAGAGTTTTTTTTTTTTTTTAATTTTAATTTCAAATCTCATTTCTTTTCATACACACACAAAAAAAAAAAAAAGAAAAAAGAAAATTCACTTCAAGCACTGATGGCAACAATACCACATGCAACACGGCCACCAGCATTACCGGTTTTAAGACTTTCGTCCTTCTTGTTACCAACTCCTTTCCCGAGATCGTCTTGATCAGCATGCACAACAATTGAACGGCCAATTATTGAATTGGGACCGAGTAACTGGAAATGCGAGAATAGGAAAATATAAGAATTATAACAGAAATATAAGATTTGAATAGATGTCGAGAAATATGCAACAATGATTGTGTTAGTCTGACGTAATTTTGGTATACCTGTACATGCTTATCAGAAATATCAATGTGAGCAGTGCCATCAGCTCCAGCCACAATATTTCCAAGATCACCAACATGTCTCATTTCATCCTAAACATCACTTGTGAATTAGCAAAAATAAAAGAATTGCCGATCTCCCATTAAAATTAAAATTTATTTATAAACATAATTTATTTATAAACATATTTATAAACACTATACCCTTTGCCCAAATTTAAAAAAAAAAAAAAGAGATTTACATCATTTAGAATCAGGTATTGTTCCTGAAATCCTCTTTCTCTTGGAGATAGATTAAAACTAACGGTTGGATCGCCATGTGTTTTATTGTAGGGATTGAAATGTGGACCAGCAGAAATGCATCCGTTTGTAGTATCACCGTATTGATGTACATGAAAACCATGCAAACCGGGAGTTAAACCTTTGATTTCACCACTAATAGTTGTCGAATTTTTGCCCTATAAAATTAAAAATTATTTCTGAAATTTACCAATGAATTAATCACTTCTTTACAAGTAGAAACAATGATAGTATTGTTAATAGTTGAATAAAATACGAAATCAAAATAAGATAGTAAATTGCATTTCATTTTTTTGATGTTTTATCTGTAAAATAACTTATCGAAAGATCACACTGTAGTATTGGTGCAATAATCGATGATAGATAAATTGGAGGAATGTTTGGTGATAGCATATATTAAGCTTTATTTATCATAAATTAAGCATAAATCAAAAAATTGTTGCTAACAGAAGCACATACCTATCATAAGTTTAGCATAAATCAGAAAGCAATTACGTTGAGAGCTGTGTTAGCTGTTCTATAACTATTGAAAGCATCAAAAAAAAAAAAAATATTTAATTAAATTTAATTTAATTTAATCATTAAGAAATGAGAAAAGACAGAATATTAAAAAAAAAAGTTGTATAAATTGTTTTAAAATAAAAATAAATTTCATTAACTGTAAATTTTAATACATTTAAATAGAATTACCTGTTGAAAATGAATAGTTCCATTAACATTGCCATTATCACTATGTAATATTGCTATTGCTGTTGCTGTTGTTGTTATTGTTCTTCTTATTGTTATTGTCGTATTATTTTGCATATTTGGCTGAAAATTTTACAGTTTAATAATAGTTTTAATTTTAGGTTTAAATAGTTTTTAAAAAAAAAAAGTAAAATTATTAATTATAAGATGGTTATATGAATTAATTTAGAAAAAAAAAAAAACATTCAATTAATTATGGTACAGCAAAAAAAATTTAGCATTTGCATTTTTTTTGTTCATTTAAAAGAATAAAAATTTCGATACTTTAAAATATCGTTGATTTGATGTTGCATAAGTGATAAAAATGATATGTGATAAGAAGATAACAAATGATGCAGTCATTATTATCTGAAATTTATTGATAACATTGAGCAAACATTCAATATAATAATTTTAAATCAAAAATAACAAATTAATAACTAATACCATCTTTACGTATAAGTTATACGTTTATTAAAACGTGTGAAACGTTTGTCTTCATTACAAAATAAAATTAAAATAACAAGAAAAAAAACAATGAAATAACAATTGAAGCAACAATTAAACAATCACGGATGCATATGTATTAGCATTTAAGTATAAATTAAAAAAATATAAACGTTTGACACGTGACGTGACACATTTGAACGTGTATTTAACGTATGCGTTTACATGCACTGAAATGAAAAAAAAAAATGAAACAACAGATATTAATATATATATATAAAAAAAGAAAAACTGATTTCTTTAAAACGAAGTAAACAAGTTTGTTTACTTCTAATCCATTAATATTTTAATGCGCGATTAAAGTTCAAACAATTTTAAAATTGTGTAAAATCAATGAATCAGCACAACCAATACACATATTAAAGATGAAATGTGATTGTTTATCATTATCAGTGATTATTATCATTGTATAAGCTGAAAATGCGTCCATCATTCATTGCATGATTTTAGGTTTATATGCAATTAAATTAATCATTGAAAATTATTATTATTGCATATTTATTTTTAATTTTCCTGCAAAATTTTATTTATATTTTGATTAAATTTGTATAATAAAAAATTCAAATTTTCTTCGCTTTTATTTTTTTTTTTTTCATTTTATAATCAGTTCAAATTGAATAAAATTAATCCATTTATATTTTAAATTAAATTAACTTCTTATTTCAATGATTAAAAGCTTTTATATTATTGTGATTTGGAAGAAAAAATGATTTTGAAAGGAAGAATTTTAACATTTCAAATTGCTATGTCTGTTCCTGGCACCGTTTGTTGTTTGAACTAATCAAATAGTACTTAAGATTTCATTTTAAAGAAACTATTCGTATTGGTTCAGCTACCTCAAAGCATTTATATCATTTTGATGAGTAATTAAAAGAGTTATTTAATTTTTTGCATCATTGAATGAAATGCAAGAACTGAATAAATTCTTTGGAAATTATTACAAATAATTTAGCAAAAAATAAAATTTTAATTTTAGTAAAATTTTAAAATTATATGTATAATTAAAATAAAATAATAAATGAATTGAACAAAAATTTTTATAAATAATAAAAATTATTTGAAAAGGAACAAAAGAAGAACGAAGTAAAGAAAGTAATGGTAAAATTGTTATTTGCTGATTTTCATTGTGCTTTTCTAAAAGAAAAAAATAATTTCTGCTAGTATAACTCTTTTCTTTCTACATTTAACAATGAAAATTTCTCTCTTGTTAAAACATAAATTAGTGATTCATCTATTTTAATTCCAAATTTGTTCTTTTTTTTTTTTTTTTTTTTTTATTTGAAATTTTTCTAAAAATAAATTTGGATACATTTACACAAATAAAATTGTTTTTAAAGCTATTTTGAAGTGAACTGCAGTTGATAAACAAGTAATTGTTTATTAATCACTCTAACTTTTTAATTAAAAAAAAATTAACAAAGTTCCAAATCAGTTTACTTTAGAAATTATGAAAAAAAAAGTAGGTGATAGTAAGCTTAATTTTGAAAAAAAAAAAAAAAAAAAAAACGATTATATAATTTTGTGTATTTTTTGTATTTCAGTTTAAAGAATAATTTAAATTCTAGAATTGTATTAAAAATTATTCATATCATCCAATTTTCCTTATTCTTCCTTTTTTTTTTTTTCTAAGTTACAGTAAACATAAATTGAAAAAATATAACAATGATTTTGCAAACAATTATCATTTGCTAATTAAATGACAATTTTTATTTTAATTCAAAAAAAAAAAAAAAAAAAACTTAATGAATCATAAATTAATTTTATCATAATAATTTTATCGATAATAATTAATGACATAGCTAATATATTCTTTTAAATTAATTCCATTTTATTTTAATTTTTTTTTTCCTATTACACTATAATTTTTAAAATTTATCCAAAATCAAATTACCGATTGCATTTTAATAACAAAAGAAACAGTGTAATTACTTATGTATTACTTATAAGATAATTAGAAGAAACAAAACTGATCAAAATTTTTACTTATTCATTTTTATTTTTAATATATTTTATGTTTTACTTATTTTAATATATACAAAATTTACTTATTTATTTTATATTTTAGTCTGATCTTTCTTTTTCTTGTTTCATTTCTGTTTTATGCATAAATCCTAAAGCATATGGGTAAATTAATACTTATTTGAAATAAATTCAAAAAAAAAAAAAAAAATTAAGACGAAGAAAAAGAGTGAAACAGGTCAAAATCAAGTTTTTTTTTTTTTTTAAATTTTCCTAAAGGTTATTATTAGCATTTTGTTGTACATATGCATTCTTTAAGTAAATTAAATGAATTAAGTAAGTAAATGAACTGAAGTAAGTAAGTAATGCAAAACTAGCTAGTAGCAAACAGAATGTTAATCCATTGCTTTAACAAAAAACGAGTAAAAATGCAAATGATAAAAATATATTTTACTACTGAAGGAAAAAATTTTATTAGCATTGTAAATATTATTGTTACAATACAATTGGATAAATTGTTGGGTAAAAAGTTAGGAATAGGAAGAAAGAATTGGGTAAAAGGAGTGGAAGAGTCGGAAAGAATTGAATGAAAAGTTAGAAATGAAAACTGGAATTTTCATTTCAAATTTCTTTCTGTTACAAAATTTCATCCAGTTTTTTGGTAAAAAAAATAACTATGTAAGCGGTAAAAAAACAAAAGATAGAAAAGAATTGAAAATGAGAAAGTTTTACTCTTTCAAAATTTTACATGAAAAAAAAAAAGAACAAAAGGAAAAGGAGAACAAATAGAAATGAAAATGAAAATGTTTTGTAAATTTTTGGAGAATTTTTTTTTTTTTGAAAGTAAAAAAAAAAATTAATAAATGAAATAATTTCAAATTATATTATCAATTGAAAAAAAAAAAAATTTTTTTTTTTTCACAATCACTACTATTTCATTAATTCATTCAGAAATTATCAGACTTGCTTCTCTTTTTTTTTTTTTTTTTTGAAGAAAAAAAAATTTAAAGAGCAAGTAAATATTTTGTTAGAAATTAACTTCCATTGTTGTTTTTATATATATTTTTTTTTCAAAACATTTTACAATTATTTAATTTATTGTCTAAAAAAAAATTTTTTTTTTTTTTTTATTCTACTTACTTTTTTATTCTACTGTTGAAAATTATTTTCGAGCTTGTCATTTCATTTGTTCTAGCAATTGAAATTAAATTTAGCTTACGATAATACAATCATGATTGGATTTATTTGTATACTTTATATGAGTGAGTCTATAGTTTTGTTTGTCAATGAGACAAATCTATGTGTCGAAGTGTCACATCAAAGTTTCCTGAAAAAAAAAAAAAAAAAAAGAAAGAAAAAATCAAATACTTTTCAATTATTTGTCCAGGAGTAAAAGCTGCTAGAGGAATGCAAGGAAAGGTAAGCAGATGGAAGGATTATTAGAAAAGGAAAGAGAAATTGGTGCCATTAAAGATCACCGGTGTACCAGCACCTCCTGAAACCGGATAGATAGACAGATATTTGATAATAGGTTGAACATACAAGCGCAACCCGGCACAATATATAAAGGTGAAATGAATTAAAAAAACTTCCTGGTGAAGTTAAAAAGCGGTACTCTTCAATTATTAAGTAGCATAAATTTCGAAATTCAATTGATTCCTTAAAACATTTCCTTTTTTCTTTCTTCTTTTTTGGGTGAAACAAAACAAAAACAAAAACAAAAAAATGTCAAAGCTTCTAAGTAGTGCTTTGCTAATTGCATCATTGCTTCTTCCCGAGCTTATTCATTCTGCTGAGGTATGCTTTATTCTTTGCTTTTTTTTTTTTTTTTTTTTCATTTTAAAAATTTTATTTTGTATTATTAAATTTCACCTATTAGTTCGAGAGGGAGAGAGAAAGAAAAAAAAGAAAGAAGGAAAGGAAAAAAGTGAAATGAGAGTGAATTATATAAAAATATGTATTTATGTAATCAAAACAGAAGAATTTAATAATAAAATAAATCAAAAATTTGATTGTTTCTTCATTTATTTTATAATTATGTTTGCCTGAATATTTAAAATTTTTTTATTTTAAAATTTAAAAATTTGTTTTAATTTTTTGTTTTAAACGAATAAGTTCAACAGATATTAATTAAGTTTGAGGTATATTCTTAAATGATAATTAATGTCAATATTACTTCTTTTTTTATACTAAAATAATTCAAGTAAGAATTTAAAAGAAAAAAAAAAGATTATAATAGAATGATTATATACATATATTTTTGAGATAGAGGGTATTTTTTATTGAAAGATTTTAAGCCAATAAAACATTGCTAGTAATATACCTTATTTTTATGATGTTTTTTGCAATACAAATTATTTCATTTTAAAATCAAAATTCGTAGAGTGCTTTCAAATTAAATGAGAAGATAAGTGAAATGAGAATCATTTATTTTTAACTGTACATTACTGTTACTACTATTATTATTATTATTGTTATGATTATTATTATTGTGACTACAATACTGATAATTTCAATAATTACTAATTATTATAATAACTTACTTGTTAGTATGAATTTAAATGGATGGTATCCATCTATTAGATAAAGAAAATGGGTAAAAGCAAAAATTGAAATGAAATTTCAATGAAATTTAAAACAAAAAATAAGCTAACTACACACATAAGAAATTTTCAATTATTAACACGGAAAATTTTGGTTACTGTACATTTACAATTACATTACTGTAATAGCAGTGAAAGCATCATTTTTACAGCACCCATTACGGTATCTCACATACCGTAATCCAATGGTTTATTTTAGTTATATTGAAGTTATATGAATTTTTAGTTATATGAATTTTAGTTGTACCGTTTACACTGAAATTTTCAAATAACTAAATTACAACAAATTTTTAACATCATTGATGATAATAACATTTTATTATCATTTCCATTAATTTACATACAATTTCAAATGATCAATCAATATTGCTATCTTTCAACACTTATATTTATATTGCATATAAAAATTACGAATTAAAGAAATTATTTATTATCTTTTAATTTTTCTTTTTGTATGCTTTTTGTATGCACTAATTTTTTTCTTTTTATATTAAAAAAAAAAAAAAAAAATCATAAAAATTTTTATAAACTTTCATTTGTAATTGATTTTTATTTTTCTGGAAGCAACACAGTAAACAAAAAAAAACTAATTAATAATTTTATTTCGAATAAAACATATTTATAATTTTTTGTTAAATTAAATTAAATTTGTGATTGAATATGAATATTTCTGAAATATATCTTTTTCGAAATAGCAAAGAGACAAAAAGATAAAGAGTTAAAAAAACAAATTTATTAAATTTTTCAACAAAAAATAATTAAGAATAAACAATGCTGCAAATAATCAGTTTGACTAAAATTTTGTAATTAAAATTAAAATATTTCAAATATTTAAATTAACTTCCTAAATTAATTTTAATTATCAAACACAAAAATTTCTATGCTTCGTTTATCTTTCTTTATTTCTTCTCCTTCATTCATTCATTTGCATTTACGACTAATTCATCATCATTTCATATTTTGTTTACTTTCTAACTTCCCACTGTTTAAATGCTGTCAACCGATCCAACAATCTATCCCTCTTCCTGTTATATTTTTAACACTCAGCAGACACATCAAAAATGATATTTAATCTTTTTGCTTCAAAATCCATTTGTAAACAAAGAATTACTTTTCCTTTTTTTTTTTTTTTATTTTTGAAGAAATTAGAAAAAAAAATTTTTTTTTTGAGGATAAAAATATTTTCTTAATGAAACTTATTTTAGAAAAAAAAAAAAAAAATAAAATAATATCTAGATTAAAAATCTTAGGTAATATTTGATTGGAAAAAAAATAGATATTAATTACTCTCATGGATAATTTCCTTTATTTTTTTTTTATTTGTTAGATCAAATAGGAATAAAAATATAATATTCAAAAATGCAATTTGTATTAAGAAAAAAAGCAAAATTTTTTTTTTTTTTTTGAAAATTTATTTTTTCAAATATTATGAATTTGTGTAAAAAAATCATTTTCTTCATATAGAAAGCCTTTTAATAAAGTTATTCATTTATTATCAATAAAATTACTGGAGAAAAAATAATATCAAAATGGACTAGTTTAGCTTTACTTCAGTTGATTGATCAAATAATAAATAAATAAATAAACTAGAAATTTACTTGTAAACTAGATAAAAAAAGTATTATTAAAATAGTAACAGTAGTATGTATCAACGACAACTACAATCATAGAAAAACATTAAAGGTTTATTTGAGTAAATAAAATCTGAGCAGCGATAAATAAACAAAATAAAATATAACAAGAAAGAGAGAGAAAAGAAAAAATTAAATTGATATTGTAACTTTGCGGTTACTATTTGAAATAAATTAAACAAATTATTTACTAAATATTTTTTTTTTAAATCGAATAAAATTTTACCGTTTTATTAAATTGAATTGTTAGATTGAATTAAAAATGCAATATTTGAACTAATTCGAAGGTTTGAAAAAAAAAAAAGGAAAGTATGCTCGATGGTTTAGAATTTCCGAAACTAATTATTATTATTTTTTTTTACAATTTTAAATGTTAAGTAAATAAAAAAGTGGCCTTATTTTGGATGAAATTGGAAAAAAAAAATAAAAATGATCTGTAGAATGTTATATACATTATTAACATATTACCAATTTTTTTCAATTAAAAAACTTTTTTCAAAAGAAAAAAAAAATGTTTTTTTTTAAAATCATTTTCAAAATGATTGTATTTCTAGACACAGCTACGTACTCGTGCAAGACGTTGCGTTTGTATTTCGATTAGTTGCGGATGTTATCAACCAACCGGTCCAGTTTACCGACAGCCATTACCGTCTTCATATCGGCAACCAGTTTATCGACAACAACCGGATACAGCACCATGCGTTACAAATTGTATGCAAGGTTGTATGCAAAAGCAACAAAATACATGTCAACAATCATGTCAAAATTTATGGTTTGTTTAAAATTATATTTTTATTAAAGTTAAAATTATATTTTTTTTATTAAATTTTTATTAAAGTTGAAGTTGAAAAAAAAAAAAAATATTTGCACGAAAAGATTTTTTCTTTTTGATAAAAATACAAATTTGCAAAATTAATTCATATATAATTTATATTTATTACATATATTAAAGATAAATTATTTCCTTTAAGCAATGATAACTTATCACTTATTTTTTTTCTATCATTAGCATAATTTACAGCAGCACACAACAAACTTATCAGCAATCAAAAGGATATGCACCAGTATCTTATCAGTATGAACCATCAACCTCTGATATAGCTACTGGTCAACAAAGCGCTACTGGTCAGCAAAGCGCTACTGGAACATGCTTACATGTTTGCATGCCTAGCTGCGAATCACAATGCATTCAACGATCAACACCAGCACCTGCAATATCACAGCACAATAATCCTGTACCTGTAGTAAAAAGCCAGGTAGCCATTCATCATTATTTCATTTAACTTTTTCTTTTCTCCTAATTAAAATTATTTCATAAATTTTAATTATATTGTAAAAAAAAAATCCAGTTCAAATTTTTTCTAAAAAAAATTTTAAATAATTTTTTTTTTTTGAAATTTATTATAGACACCGTCTTATTATCCAGTACAGCAATATGAACCTGCAATGCAACAATATGCTAATAGTGATAATACAGTTTGCGTTCATCTTTGCATGCCATCCTGTGAAAGACAATGCATTGAACGAACAATTCCTGCAATTCCGTCTCATCCGGAACGAACGGAACAGCCAAATGGTATCTATTATCCAAAACCAACACCGGATTCATCAGTATCCTATCAAAATTTCATTCCAGCTAATCAAACATCGATTATCATTCGACCACTTCCAAATAGTGGTACGGCAACAATTTGCTTACCTATTTGTACAGCACCATGTCCAACAGAATGTACCGAAAGTCAAAAACAAAGTGGTGCAGGAGATGAATACACAAATGGTGGTACCACTCAGGAACCAATAACACCTACCCAAACTGATTTACTACCACGTGAAATTTCGATTAGCCTACCGCAATCAATTCAACAATCACCGGATTGCATGAATTTATGTCATGAAACATGCATGCAACAATGTATTGAACAAAGTAATACTCTATTAATTAATTAATTAATTTTTTTTATATTCATAAAAATTAAAATTATTTTACATAAAATTTGAATTGAAAATAAAAAAGAGTTTTTTTTTTAACGATTAAAAATTAAATTAGTTAAAGAGAAAAAAAAAAACTAAATAACATTTTTTTAAGATCAACCGGCTGATCAATGTCAACCATCTTGCTCATATACATGTCATGAAAGTTGCGCTCATTCACCAGTTAATACCGCCACAATCAGTTCCATTCAACAACCACAAATAGAAACGGAAATTTACGAAACGGTTGCACCAATTCCGGATAATTCCATGAATTCACCACTTTTCAAAACTTTCCTCCTTCGATCACCACCATATTATCGTCAAAATGAACCGCAAGTTATCAACTGTCTTTTCGGTTCAGCAAGAAGTGGCCAATGTAAATGTCCATCCGGTTATGTTGTATGCTTATCAACACAATCACGTATCAGTAAACAGCAATGTTGTAGGAGACGATGATAAGAAGAAATGAATGATAATTCATTTGTATGATTACAATATTCTTGCAAAAATTTTTAAATTTCTCAGTTCATTTTTTTTAAAAAAAAAAATTTTTTTTCTTTTACTTCTTTCATTTGAAGTAAAGAAAAATTTCTATTATTATTTTGTATGCACTGATGATACTCGTAAAAAAAAATTTGCTTTTGTTTTTTTTTGCATAAATTTTCAAATAATTTGTACTGCCTTATCTGAATGTAGCATTTGTCAACAATGTTTTTGTAAAATTTTTTCATTTCATTGAATAAAAATTTATTCGTAGAAAATTTAAAACTTTTTAGTATCAAAAAAAAAAAAAAAAGGAAACACAAAAAAATGTTTATTTGTGTGATTTTATAAACAAATGTTATACGTAAACATTACTGATTCTATGTAAGCAAATTACATTAACAAAAAAAAAAAGAGAAAAAAAAGATTGCATTTATTGCTTTGCAAAAACTTTACAGTACATATAACTTGAACAAAATTTCAACTTAAAATATTAAAAAAAGAAATTCGCATAATTCTATGCAATTAATTCTTCTTGCCCATAATACTTTTACTATCATATTTTAATTTCAACAAAACACTTTCATGGATTTTTTTAAAAATTTAAAAATATGATTTAGTCTTTTTCCATCTTCATTACAATCATAAAGAATGAAATTTTATCATCAACTATTAAATCATAAATTTATCAACTTTTTTTTTTGAAATTAATTTTTTTTTTAAAAAAAGCGACAAAAAAAAAATACAAGGAAAAACTAAAGCATGCGCACTGATGAAAATATCAAAACAGTTAAATCATTTAGATTGTATCATACTACACACTTTGAACTTTTCCATTATCACTTGAATTTGGTTATCACTGAATTTGATCATCACCATCATCACTTAAACATGATTTTCATCTGAATTTGATCATCATCATTATCATTTGAACCTGATTATCATCTGGATTTATCATTATCATTATCACTTCAACTTGATTATCACCCGAATTTAATCATCACCACTATCACTTGAACTTGATTATCACCTGAATTTGATCACCACCATTATCACTTAAACTTGATTATCATCCGAATTTAATCATCATTATCACTTGAACTTGATTATCACCTGAATTTGATCACCATCATTATCACTTGAACTTGATTATCACCCGAATTTAATCACTATCATTATCACTTGAATTTGGTCATCGCACTATCAACTTGAATCGTTTGAATACATTCGGTCACTCAGTCATTTGTGCGACTTCATTTTTTTCTTTTTCTTTTTTTTGCATTCAAACATATTATCAATCAAATGATTCAAAACAATTCAGAAAAAAAAAAAAAAAAAACGATCTATGTTATATATAGCATAAGTTTAAGATTAGAGATTAGAGATTGAAGGTTAAAGGTTAAAGGTTCGATTTCTATCAAAGCATTAGCAAAGATTAAAAGTTCGAAAAAAAAGGAATTATTTTATTGATTTAGATAAAGCTTGAAAATGAAAGTGTTGCATTGTGTGAGCACGGATGGCCGAGTGGTCTAAGGCGCCAGACTCAAGCAATAATGTTTATGCTTCACACGAGAATCTCAAAGTGTGTTTGGGGTGTTCTGGTATCGTTATCGATGCGTGGGTTCGAATCCCACTCCGTGCACTAGTACTTTTGCATCTCTCTCTCTTTTTCGTATTAAATTTTAAAATTAAATTTAATTGTATAAAATAAGATTTAAAAAAAAAAAAGAAAATAGTGAACAAATTGTTGAAATATTAAATAAATTTCAAATTTTTTATTTAATTAATTAACTAATTAATTAATTAATATCAATGAATAATGTGAATGTGAACAAAATCATATTAACTTAAATTTGGTGGGGAGCAGAAAGAAGTAAATCTCAGACAAATTTGCTAATTTATATGTTTAATAAAATCAGAATAAGTCAGCATTATAGAGAATATTGCATTTCTGAGTGAACTAGAAGCATTCTAATTAGAAAAACATGGCAAAATATTTCAATATTTATTTTATTAATGCAAGTAAACTATTATGTTCGAGAAATAATGAAATTTAGTTAATTTAATAAAGTGAAAAGAAAGTCCATGGAATATTTTTCACTCCCGAAGTATTTGATTAACTGTTATCATCTACTATTAATATCTTATAATCAATAATTTCAGATAATTATTGCGGAAATCGATAAATCTTTCACTAAAATCATATGGTGAAAATTATAAAATGCTTTTACAGTTCTTTTCTATTTCGTACAATGAATAATTGCTTAATTTTTTTTTTTTTTTCTTTTCTACTCCTTTAAAATTAATAAAATCATTTTGATCCTAAACCATTTTTTTTTTTTTAATTTATAAAAATTACGATTTTTACAAAATAATTCATTGTTTTGTCAGTGAAATTAGGTGAACGGACATCCAGAAGTTATGTCAGCTCTTGAACCACGAAATGTTATATATACGTATGTCAGTAGTAGTATTTCACTTATTTCATTTCTCATTCATTTAAATTGATTTCAGAGTTGATAGTTATTAAATTTAAATTTTTAATTTCATCCCTTATCAATAATCTATATTACTGATCAAAATATTTTACCTTTTAATTTTGTTTCTTTCCCTTTTTTTTTTTCTTTCTAGAAAAAATGAATAATTTACTCTTTTGTTTGTTTGTTTGTTTTTTTTTTTAAATCTGAAATTCTATACCGTCAAATTTGAAATTAAAATTTTTCAATGATATTGGAAATTTTTTTACACCAATCTATTTACATTATTAATTAATTTCATTTTTCTTTTTCTTTTTGGAAAAAAAAAATGAATACTTTATTCTATTATTCTTTAAATCTGAAATTTTATACTGTAAAATTTGAAATTAAAAAATTTTTAGACTGGAATTGGAAATTTCTTTACACCATTTGTTATATTCTTTGTCATTGGAACAGTTGTATCATTTGGGTTGACAATGTTACATATACCGATGACAAATATGATTATTGATTACGTACGACAACGTGAACTGACAAAGGAAGAAAAGAAGGAAGCAAAAAGGAAAGAGAAAGAAATGGAAGAGGAAGAAGAAAGAAAGGAATCAAATAGGAAAAAGTAGTATAGAAGTGACAAATGTGATAATGATAGATGTAGTGATAAGGATAAATATTAATGAGATGGATAATTTTAGTGATAAAGACAAATATTAATGAGAGTGATAATTCTAGTATTAAAGATGACACAAAAAATGGAATGATAAGATGAGTAGAAATAAATAAGAGAAATGATATTAAAATCAATGAATGAAAAAGAAATGATGGTAAAAATGATTTACAAAAAATAAATAAATAAATAAAAATCATTTAAAATCAAATCATTTAAAAAAGTGAAATAAGAATTTGAAATATTATAATTAACAAAATTAAAGAATTAAAATTGATTTTTTGTTAGTATAGCTATTAATAAGATTCATTTCTGATTTTTTATAACACATGAAAATATTTTGATCAATTATCATTCATTGTAATTACATTTGATTACTTCATTTGAATGAGAGACATTCTGCATAGAGTTAAAATTTCACCTGAAAACCTGTAAATAATTTACATCTATAATTAGATTAATTAGTTCTACCATTAATTCTATTTATCTCTCGCAAATTTTAAGAAACTATTAAAACATTTATCACACATAATTTAAGCTATCATAACTAATTTATTTAATCACTATATCATTAACTTTTTCTATTATATTTCGCTAATTTTCTATTTATATTAATTAATCATTATTTTACAATGATTGAAAATTCTCAACTAAAACTTCTCAAAATACATAAAACTAAAGGATAAAAATATTGACTGATGAATTTTGCATACAACGAAATATGTAAATTTTAAGTCGTTTACAAATGTTAACTTTGTAAATAACAAAAACAATTGTAAATTAGCAATGATTAAAAGGCTTTAGAAAAATACTTCAGAAAGTTATCATTAATTTATTTTTAAACATTTTTTTAAAAAAATTTTTCTCACTTTTAATGTTCACTATTAAGCAGGAAAAAATACACTAAATACTGTGATTTGCTATTTCATCAAGTGCTACTCGAAGAATTATTTGAAATACTGTCATTGAGTATGTCACTCTATCTGTCACAAATGGCAAATAAAATAGTATCAATTAAGTGACAGAAGTGATCGTTTTGTAATTGCGTATTCTTACAATAATTGAATACGCTAATAATTCTTGTAATTTTGCATAATCACAAATGAAAAAACTTCAATTTATAAAACTTAAGAAAATGTTACAATTTCAAAACACATTAATAGCGATAGATGCAAAATAAAAAATAAAAAACTGGAAATATAAAGTAATCGATACGACTATTTTATTTTACAACTTTAATTAATCTAGCTTTTATATGTTATTAATATTTTATATTATAATTTTGGATAATTTTAAAAGCTTCCAAAATATATTGACAAATTAAAAGGAGAATTGATTTTAATAACTGTATCCTCTTTTGCACATTGCTAAATGTTTTTGATCAACATAAATTTGAACTTATTTGTGATTTTCCCCGGCGCTATATTAATATCATAAATTATTTGAAATATCAATTTAAAATGATAATTTTTGAGATATTGATTTTATTATTGAAATACTGATTTTAAAATATTCGAGTAATGTCATAAGAAAAAGAATCATTAGGAAGTGATCCCCAATTCTCGGGTAGTTGAAACATTTTCCTGGGACTATAGTATTAAGCAAATCAGTTCGTAGCCTTTTACTCATTAAACTTGTCACAAATCGTAACCGACAATAGAACAGAACAGAAAAAGAAAAGATCTCTTATAAAAACATTTTCGTTTTGATTTGAGACCTGGATTTTACCGCAAAAGTTCATGCTAGATTTATCGAAATTAAATTTTGTGCTGATTAACTGACGAAAGGTTGTAACTGTCAATCAACTGACATTTAAAATCTAAAATTTCCATAATGTGCAAATAATTCAGTAGCAATATTTTTTTAAGAAACGCAATTAGGATTATTCAATACTGTATAGATTAAACATTTTATCACCTACTGATATTTGATTCCAACTATTCATCAATTTCCATTCATGCATTTTGATTTTGTGCAATTACTTCTATCACTTGCTTGAAAACTTCTTTACCTTACTGATTCATTATTTGAGTTGCTGAATTAATTTGAAGAAAGGCAGAGATTAAAATGAAAAGAATGGTGTTTTAAACTTCTGGTTAGTTAGAATCATTATTAATTACCACTGCTTTGACCATCACCCATCCACACTAAAGTTTTCACATATTTCCTATCAATTCATTGTGTGTTACTTTCCATTTCTGACCGATCTGACCGAGGATTATGTCTACTACAGTTCGATCGATTGTGAATTATTGCATATGTTGAGATAGAATTGGATATGATCAATTAAAATATGAGTAAGATGGTAAACAATAGTTAAGAATAAACATCGGAAGTAAACCAATATATTTCCAGTTGTCAGTTAATTGATGACACCATCAATATTTTATGTACCACTCAATATACAATATTTCATTAAACAAAGTAGACAGGATTATTGAATATTGCACAGATTAAATATTTCAATGACATTTAATTCCAGCTATTCACCAGCTTCCCTTATGCAAATGTAACTCCATTTTATCAAACACACTATTAAAATTTGTCCCATCCTTTCAAACACCAAACACCGTTTCAGCTTATGTTGAAATTCTTTCTCATAATAGCAGGAACAGTGTGTGAAATGTATCTCAAAAACCAATAATTATCAAATTTAAAGTGATGCGTCTATCCGATGAAATTCTATCAGTGATATTATTAGTGGTATGTATAACAAACCATTTTAAATGCATCAGAATACCATTTTTTGCGGTGTCACCCAGTGTACATGTATTACTGAAATGGTAGAACACGCTACTGCAGCGCTTCCATCGAGTTTCAAAAGAACATTTACAGACTTCATAAACTACCAATGGTGGAGAAGAAAGCGAGAATGAAAGGGAAAAAATATTAAAACAACTGTTTCACCTTTGGTCTTTAATTCCAAGCAATCTGAAATAAAAAGCTTCCATTTGAGCATTTCTGTCATCTCACAAAATTGTGTTTCACCATGTTCTTCAATAAATTTATGACACCCATCACTTGGTTCAATCTTCTACTATGCATCGCTTCTGATAATGAAACTTCCAATCTACCTAATTTCGACCCTTTTTCTGGCATCTCAGATAGCCTTGATATCTTCGATTACAACAATTTTGAGCCATTGTTTAGCTCAGAATTTCCGTTGGATCCTTCGCAGTTCATTGATTTCGCTCAGTTGAGTGAAACTGAGAATATAAGAAGTGAAGAATCGAAATCTGGAACTAATCAGATCACAAATTCTCCTCATCCTGGTTTCTCCGATATCTATGGCCACACTAATTTGGAGTTATCAGATATGGGCTCATACAGGAATCTGTGGAGAGATGCTAATGAAGAATTAAAAACGAGTGATGATAACGTGCGATATCCTTCCATTAGAAGTGAGACTTTTGTTTTAGATACATTTAAAAATAAATAAACTTCTTCTAATTTGAGTTATTTAGATGCTCAGAATGAAGTTTCTTCCTCACTTAATCTCAACAGCGATGATATTATCACATATATGCACTTACCTGGCTCACAACAAAATGCCGTTCCGATTTATTTTCACCAGCTTACTCTTTCCTCAGATGACACTTCCAGTCAAAGTGCAACTGCTGAACAGAGCAACATCGACAATAAGTACTCAGATTACTTGAATATCCTCGATTACAAGGAAAATACCTATAAAGAATCAGGAACAGGTAATGACACATTGCATAACAACTTTTCGTTCTAATAGTTCTTTGCTTTCATTATTCGCATGAAATTGAAGAGGTGACATTCAAACTATGACTTTGGCTTCAAAATATGAGAAGGTAAGTAAAGAACTACTTTCTACCTAAGTTATTCAAAATGCAATGTGATATTTTTATGTCAATGACATTTTTATGATTTCTCACATTATTTAAGTACCAAATGGTGTAATGGACTACTAATTGCAAAATGCTTTGACAAGAATTTTTCAGATAAGAAAAATTATACTTGTCATTACCTTGGGTGTACTGTGACCACGAAAAATTACAAAGAATATCTAACACATAAGAAAATGCACAGTCAACCTTTCACTTATGAATGCAAAGTGTCCGGTTGTGGGCGAACATTTGACCGTGAATCATCATTTTACAATCACATACAGACGCATGAACCTCGTCCTCAGTGCAAGGATTGTGGCAAATTCCTCGTCAATAGGAATGCACTGCGAAAACATGAGTGGCTCTGCCAAAAAAAATCTCGTTAGTTTGTAAATTTAACAGAACACATATATCAACCTGAAATGGAATACGCTTAAAATGTGCTATGATTTGTGAGCGATGAGACAAACGAAAAACTTACAAAACAAACGAAAAACTTACAATTACACTTTTTGTTCAATTATAAGTGAAGGTAATTGTACAGCTTTTTGTGATCTAAATTATTTGAAACGAGATGTGCTAACATTATTTCATAGCAACGATGTTTTTATGGTTTATCAGAATACTTAATTAGCTGCTAAACTCCATAATAAAATATCAATTCAGACGAACGAAGGTATGAATGCCTTTACCCCGGATGTGCTATGGTCACGAAAAGTCGTAACGAATATCTAACACATAGGAAAACACACGGTCAACCTTTCATCTATGAATGCAGAGTGCCTGGTTGTGGGCGGACATTCGACCATGATTCAACACTTTATTATCATAAGCAAACGCATAAACCTCACCCTCAGTGCGAGCGTTGCGGCAAATTCTTCAGTAGCATGAATGTACTATTTAGACATAGGAAACTCTGCCAAATAAAATCTCGTTAGTTTGAAAATTTAACAGAATTTTAGAAGTATATGACAGTTTAAAATAGAATGCATGTACAAGAAAAAATACACAGAAAATTTGTAGAAAAAATAGCTTCTAGTGATGTAAATTATTTGAAATGAGATGTGCTAAGGAGTGATAATCAGATTACATAATTAGTTGCCAAACATTGTAACAGAATGGCAATTGCAAAAACAAATATTATAAGAGTTTTTTAGGCGGAAAAAGCTACGAATGCCTCTATCCCGGGTGTGCTGTGATCTCAACAAGTCACAACGAATATGTGACACATAGAAAAACACACGGTTTGCCCTACATTTATGAGTGCAGAGCGCCCGGTTGTGGACGAATATTTGACCATGATTCATCATTTTACAAACACAAGCAAACGCATGAACCTCATCCTCAGTGCGAGGATTGTGGCAAATTCTTCACCACCAGGAATGGACTGCATCAACATAAGAAGATACAGCATACAGCTAAATAAATTCTCGTTAGTTTGCATATTTAGCAGAATTTTAACACATATGTCAGTCCGAAATAGAATGCATGTGAAATCAGTTGCGAAGCACTTGTGACCACAGAATCACAATGCAAAATTCATTTGACGCGCTCGTTAGATGCTGCATATTTTCTTTCATAACACTTACTTAATGTGTAGTAACTGCCCATGACCTAAGAACCAACTGCTTAAAAAGGTATTGACTGTCGTAGAAGCAAATTTTTGTCATGGAAGATTTGATAGTTAAATTATAAATTTTAGGTGAGGTTTTTGATTGCAGAGAGATTCGTTGGATGTAGGTGTAAATATGTGGGGTAACAGAGAAATACACAATTCCTTTATTAGCTGAAGTAATAGTACAATACGTTGATAGAGAACAATTGAAATTGAACTCGTTTGATTCTTGATAAAAAATACACAAAATCTTTCAACAAAAGTGACCCTTATATAGCAATTATATCTTACATTATATGTGTTAAGATGTGGGAGTGGTTCATAATCAGACATTTTTGTACAAAGGATAAACTGTCTAGACATGATAATGAGTTAATTTAACAACAAGTTACAATGCATATCACAAAGAAAGTGCAATGGTTTGTCTAGGCATTATGATGGATGGCTACTATAATGGTTTACAATAGACCATTAAATGATAGACGCCCATAGTATGTGAATTGATATAAAATCAAAGGTCATTTAAACGATTACGATAAATTGTAAAAGACATCAATGGATTGCTATATTAAGCATTGTTAACATTTATTTAGTGCTTCGCGAAATTAAAATTCACGATAATTGACAGTGGTGACAGTGAGACTTTATTATACATTAACAAACATTGAAAATATTGGAATAGAATGCATGTGAAATGCGTTGCGAAGCACTTGTGACCACAGAGTCACAGTACAAAATTCATTTGACGCGCTCGTTAGATGTCGCATATTTTCTTTTATAACGCTTACTCGATGTGTAGTAATTGCCCATGATCTAAGAACCAAATGCTTAAAAAGGTGTTGACGGTGGTGACAGTGATGCTTCAATATAGATCAACGAACATTGAAAATATCAACAGAGAAACGAATGCTCCATTCGCTCTTCACCAAATTACTTTGTTTTTCTAATTCGTGGAAAGTATGCAGAAAAGCATATCATTTCATCCACAAAACCAAGCTGCGATGAACTGCTAATCATTTCTTTTGGCGTTACAAAACAAGTAAAAATTTTCATTTCAGAAAATGTGACAGAATTTGAACATTCTTTGCAAGCATAAGAAAAGGAGTGTAGCAATCGGACGTTTTCGAGACATCAGAATGCAGCTACCAATTTATAATTTCATTTTGTTATTGGATATTTAATATTTTATCGTCATTTATTATCTCATGAATATCATAAAAATGCATAAACATATAATTGACAATGAAATCTAAAATTTGAAGGCAAGCAATTAAATGCAACGCTCAATAAAGGATTTATCATGCAAAAAGGTAACAAAAAAAAAAAAAAAAAATAATTGATAGAGTATTTTTTTAATAATAGTTTTTAACAAAAGTGGGTAACACGAGAAGATTTTAAGCAAAAAAAATGGTTTTATAAGAAAAAAAAGTAAGCTAGTTGCAATTTAGTCTAAATCTTGATGTGCAAAATAAATGGTAGATAGTGTAATGAAAGAACTTCCATCACATCACTGTTTCATCATAGCTTTTATTACTTGCAAAAGTTAACATTTGTAAACAGTTTAAAATTTATTTCGTTGAGTGCAAAACTTGTTGAACATTCATAAACATTAATTTAGCATTACGTATTTTAAAAAATTTGGAATGAAAAAAATTCAAATGAAAATAATGTTCAAATATATAAGAAATTGAAGTGATATAGTCTTCAGAGAATTTAATCATGATAGCTTAAAAATAATGCGTATTAAATGTCTTGATAGCTTCTTGAAATTTGTTTGGGAAGAATAGATTTAATGGAAGAAATAATTAACCTAATTACAAGTGTAAACAATTTTAAAATTTGCAGGTGAGATTTTAACTCTATCCAGAATGTCTCGCAATTAAATGAGGTAATCAAATTAAAATTATTGAAATATTGATTTAAAAATTTTTTATCACAAATCCAGCTATGAATTAAAAAAGTTTTGTAAGTCGCTATTACAGAATTGAATTTTAATATCAATTTTAGCTTTAGTACCTTGCAAAATAATTTGATGATATCATATTCAGCTAATTTCAGTAGTTTTTATTAAAAATACAAAATTTAAAGTGTTGGAAAGTTTGCCATACTGAAATTTTAAAGAATTATAACATTAATTTGAACTTATTTAGGAACTTCCCTGGCGCCATGTCTTCGATAGATATTTTGGTGGCAAAATTCTTCCCCTAATAATACCATAAATTATTTGAAACATCAATTTAAAATGATAAATTAATATTGAGATGCGAAATTGAAATTTTTTAAAAACAAATCGTAGATCAACAAAATTCTGCGACTCGCTAATACAGAATTAAATTTTTATATCAATTTTAGCTTTAGTACCTTGCAAACTCTTAATGTGAAAAAGAATTTCATATTTATGTAGAATAATGCATAAATATTAAAAAAAGTAAGGAAATGATTGGTAAATTTTTGAATCAAATAATCCAATAAAATATTAGTAGCAATATTGCCAATAGACAATACTCATGGAGGCAGTAAACAGGCTAATATATTTCCAGTTGTTAGTTAATTGATGTCACCAAAATTTAAAACCTAAAATTTTTACAATAGTGCAAATAATTCATTCAATATTTTATTTACCACTCAACATACAATACTTTATTAAACAAAGTAGACAGGATTATTGAATATTGCACAGATTAAATATTTCAATGACATTTAATTCCAGCTATTCACCAGTTTCCTTTATGCAAATGTTACTCCATTTTATCAACCAAACTTTTTTTTTTTTTTGAAATATTGAAATTTTTTTTATAATAGTAGGAATAGTTATGGATGTATGTCAATAAGCAATATTTATCAAATTTCAAGTGATCCAATGAAGTTCTATCAGTGATATTATTAGTGGTATGTATTTTATTAAATGCATCAAAATCCCATATCTCACGATGTCACCCAGTGTACATGTATTACTGAAATGGTAGAACACGCTACTGCAGCGCTTCCTTCGAGTTTCAAAAGAGCATTTATAAACTTTATAAACCACAAATGGTGGAGAGGAAAGCAGAATGAAAGAGAAAAAATATTAAAAACAATGAGGATTTGAAACTGTTTCACATTTGGTGTTTAACTTTTCACAACGATTAAAAACCTTTGATCTTTAAATCCAAGCAATCTGAAATAAAAAGCTTCCATTTGAGCATTTCTGTCATCTCACAAAATTGTGTGCTTCACCATGTTCTTCAATATATTTATGACACCCATCATTTGGTTCAATCTTCTACTATGCATCGCTTCTGATAATGAAACTTTCCATCTACCTAATTTCGACACTGCTAATGAAGTTATTACAAATAATACTTATTCTGGCATCTCAGATACCTTTGGATTTCTCGATTACCTCAATTTCGAGCCAATGTTTAGCTCAGAATTTCCATCCGATCCTTCACAGTTCATTGATTTCGCTCAGTTTAGTGAAACTGAGGATGTAGGAAGTGAAGAATCGAAATCTGAAACTAATCAGATCACAAATTCTCCTCATCCTGGTTTCTCCGATATCTATGATCCCTTCGGCCACACTAATTTTGAGTTATCACTTAGCTCAGATATGGACTCATACAGGAATCTGTGGAGAGATGCTAACGAAGAATTAAAAACGAGTGATGATAACGTGCGATATCCTTCCATTAGAGGTGAGAGTTTTGTTTTAGATACATTTAAAGATAAATACAACTTCTTGTAATTTGAGTTATTTAGATGCTCAGAATGAAACTTCTTCCTCACTTAATCTCAACAGCGATGATATTATCACATATATGCACTTAGTCCATGGTCCACAACAAAGTGCCGTTCCAACCCATTTTCATCAACTTACTCTTCCCTCAGGCGACACATCTGGTCAACATGGAAATGCTGAACAGTGTAACATCAACAATAAGCACTTCTCGGATAACTTGAATATCCTCAATTATAGGAAAAATGCCTATAAAGGATTGGAAACAGGTAATGACAAATTGCATAACAAAGTTCCGTTCTAATAATTCCTTACTTCATTAATAACGTGATATTGAAGAAAGAAGTAATAACGAATCGAAAATAATTTCATCACAGCAGAAAATTCACAATTACCTGCTAAGTGAGACCTTTTTAGGGAAGATATTAAAAGTAATTTTTGCTACAAATATGTGCGAAGATAAATAAACAACTACTAATTATCTAAGCCATTTAAAATGCCATGTGATATTATTTTATAGCGCTGAAATCTTTATGATTTCTCTCATTACTTAAGTACCTTATGGTATAATAGACTACTGTTGGCAAAAATAAATGCTTTGACAAGAATTTTTCAGATAAGAAAAATTATACTTGTTATTACCCGGGATGTACTATGATCACGAAAAATCACAAAGAATATCTAACACATAGGAAAACACACAGTCAGCCCTTCATCTATGAATGCAAAGTGCCCGATTGTGGGCGAATATTTGACCATGAATCATCATTTTACAATCACATACAGAAGCATGAACCTCGTCTTCAGTGCAAAGATTGTGGTAAATTCCTCGCCAACAGGAATGCACTGCGAAAACACAAATGGCTCTGCGGAACAAAATCTTTCAGTATGTAAATTTAGCAGAATTTCAAACATATATATCAACCTGAAATGGAATTCGTGTGAAATGTGCTACGAAACATTCGTGAGGACTGAGTGACAACACAACGGAAAATTTACAACTATTCTTTTTGTTGCAACTGTATTCGAAAATAGTTAAGCAACTTCTTGTGATCTAAATTATTTGAAATGGAATATGATAAGATTATTTCATGAGAGTGATATTTTATGGTTTATTAGACTACTCAATTAGCTACCAAAAACCATAATGAAATATCATTTAAAATATACAAGTGTAAGAGTTTTTTAGGAAAAAGCTATGAATGTCTGTATCCCGGGTGTGCTGTAATCGCGACAAGTTGCAATGAATATGTGACGCATATGAAAACACATGGTCAACCTTTCATCTATGAATGTAGAGCACCCGGTTGTGGGCGATTATTCGGCCATAAATCAACACTTCGCGGTCACCAGCAAATGCATGAATCTAATCCTCTATGCGAGTGCTGCGGCAAATTCTTCAGTAGCATGAATGTACTATATAGACATAAGAAATTCTGCCAAATAAAATCTCGTTAGTTTGAAAATTTAACAGAATTTTAGAAGTATATGCCAGTTTAAAACAGAATGTATGTGAAAGAAAACATATATGGAAAATTTGTAGAAAACATAGCTTCTAGTGATGTAAATTATTTGAAATGAGATGTGCTAAGGAGTGATGTTTTTATAAATAATCAGATTACATAATTAGTTGCCAAACATTGTAACAGAATGGCAATTGCAAAAATAAATATTATAAGAGTTTTTTAGCTGGAAAAAGCTACGAATGTCTTTATCCCGGGTGTGCTGTGATCCCGAAAAGTCGCAAAGAATATCTAACACATAGGAAAGCACACGGTCAACCCTTCATCTTTCAATGCAAAGTGACTGGTTGTGAGCGAATATTCAACAGTGAATCGTCATTTCAGAAACACAAGCAAACGCATGAACCTCATCCCCAGTGCGAGGATTGTGGCAAATTCTTCACCACCAGGAGTGGACTGCAAAAACATAAAAAGATCTGCCAAACAAAATCTCGTTAGTTTATAAATTTAGCAGAATTTTAATAGATATGTTAGCCTGAAATAGAATGCATGTAAAATGTGTTTCACATGCATTCTATTTCGCGAAGCACTTGTGACCACAGAGTCACAGTACAAAATTCATTTGACGCGCTCGTTAGATGTCGCATATTTTCTTTTATAACGCTTACTCGATGTGTAGTAATTGCCCATGATCTAAGAACCAAATGCTTAAAAAGGTGTTGACGGTGGTGACAGTGATGCTTCAATATAGATCAACGAACATTGAAAATATCAACAGAGAAACGAATGCTCCATTCGCTCTTCACCAAATTACTTTGTTTTTCTAATTCGTGGAAAGTATGCAGAAAAGCATATCATTTCATCCACAAAACCAAGCTGCGATGAACTGCTAATCATTTCTTTTGGCGTTACAAAACAAGTAAAAATTTTCATTTCAGAAAATGTGACAGAATTTGAACATTCTTTGCAAGCATAAGAAAAGGAGTGTAGCAATCGGACGTTTTCGAGACATCAGAATGCAGCTACCAATTTATAATTTCATTTTGTTATTGGATATTTAATATTTTATCGTCATTTATTATCTCATGAATATCATAAAAATGCATAAACATATAATTGACAATGAAATCTAAAATTTGAAGGCAAGCAATTAAATGCAACGCTCAATAAAGGATTTATCATGCAAAAAGGTAACAAAAAAAAAAAAAAAAAAATAATTGATAGAGTATTTTTTTAATAATAGTTTTTAACAAAAGTGGGTAACACGAGAAGATTTTAAGCAAAAAAAATGGTTTTATAAGAAAAAAAAGTAAGCTAGTTGCAATTTAGTCTAAATCTTGATGTGCAAAATAAATGGTAGATAGTGTAATGAAAGAACTTCCATCACATCACTGTTTCATCATAGCTTTTATTACTTGCAAAAGTTAACATTTGTAAACAGTTTAAAATTTATTTCGTTGAGTGCAAAACTTGTTGAACATTCATAAACATTAATTTAGCATTACGTATTTTAAAAAATTTGGAATGAAAAAAATTCAAATGAAAATAATGTTCAAATATATAAGAAATTGAAGTGATATAGTCTTCAGAGAATTTAATCATGATAGCTTAAAAATAATGCGTATTAAATGTCTTGATAGCTTCTTGAAATTTGTTTGGGAAGAATAGATTTAATGGAAGAAATAATTAACCTAATTACAAGTGTAAACAATTTTAAAATTTGCAGGTGAGATTTTAACTCTATCCAGAATGTCTCGCAATTAAATGAGGTAATCAAATTAAAATTATTGAAATATTGATTTAAAAATTTTTTATCACAAATCCAGCTATGAATTAAAAAAGTTTTGTAAGTCGCTATTACAGAATTGAATTTTAATATCAATTTTAGCTTTAGTACCTTGCAAAATAATTTGATGATATCATATTCAGCTAATTTCAGTAGTTTTTATTAAAAATACAAAATTTAAAGTGTTGGAAAGTTTGCCATACTGAAATTTTAAAGAATTATAACATTAATTTGAACTTATTTAGGAACTTCCCTGGCGCCATGTCTTCGATAGATATTTTGGTGGCAAAATTCTTCCCCTAATAATACCATAAATTATTTGAAACATCAATTTAAAATGATAAATTAATATTGAGATGCGAAATTGAAATTTTTTAAAAACAAATCGTAGATCAACAAAATTCTGCGACTCGCTAATACAGAATTAAATTTTTATATCAATTTTAGCTTTAGTACCTTGCAAACTCTTAATGTGAAAAAGAATTTCATATTTATGTAGAATAATGCATAAATATTAAAAAAAGTAAGGAAATGATTGGTAAATTTTTGAATCAAATAATCCAATAAAATATTAGTAGCAATATTGCCAATAGACAATACTCATGGAGGCAGTAAACAGGCTAATATATTTCCAGTTGTTAGTTAATTGATGTCACCAAAATTTAAAACCTAAAATTTTTACAATAGTGCAAATAATTCATTCAATATTTTATTTACCACTCAACATACAATACTTTATTAAACAAAGTAGACAGGATTATTGAATATTGCACAGATTAAATATTTCAATGACATTTAATTCCAGCTATTCACCAGTTTCCTTTATGCAAATGTTACTCCATTTTATCAACCAAACTTTTTTTTTTTTTTGAAATATTGAAATTTTTTTTATAATAGTAGGAATAGTTATGGATGTATGTCAATAAGCAATATTTATCAAATTTCAAGTGATCCAATGAAGTTCTATCAGTGATATTATTAGTGGTATGTATTTTATTAAATGCATCAAAATCCCATATCTCACGATGTCACCCAGTGTACATGTATTACTGAAATGGTAGAACACGCTACTGCAGCGCTTCCTTCGAGTTTCAAAAGAGCATTTATAAACTTTATAAACCACAAATGGTGGAGAGGAAAGCAGAATGAAAGAGAAAAAATATTAAAAACAATGAGGATTTGAAACTGTTTCACATTTGGTGTTTAACTTTTCACAACGATTAAAAACCTTTGATCTTTAAATCCAAGCAATCTGAAATAAAAAGCTTCCATTTGAGCATTTCTGTCATCTCACAAAATTGTGTGCTTCACCATGTTCTTCAATATATTTATGACACCCATCATTTGGTTCAATCTTCTACTATGCATCGCTTCTGATAATGAAACTTTCCATCTACCTAATTTCGACACTGCTAATGAAGTTATTACAAATAATACTTATTCTGGCATCTCAGATACCTTTGGATTTCTCGATTACCTCAATTTCGAGCCAATGTTTAGCTCAGAATTTCCATCCGATCCTTCACAGTTCATTGATTTCGCTCAGTTTAGTGAAACTGAGGATGTAGGAAGTGAAGAATCGAAATCTGAAACTAATCAGATCACAAATTCTCCTCATCCTGGTTTCTCCGATATCTATGATCCCTTCGGCCACACTAATTTTGAGTTATCACTTAGCTCAGATATGGACTCATACAGGAATCTGTGGAGAGATGCTAACGAAGAATTAAAAACGAGTGATGATAACGTGCGATATCCTTCCATTAGAGGTGAGAGTTTTGTTTTAGATACATTTAAAGATAAATACAACTTCTTGTAATTTGAGTTATTTAGATGCTCAGAATGAAACTTCTTCCTCACTTAATCTCAACAGCGATGATATTATCACATATATGCACTTAGTCCATGGTCCACAACAAAGTGCCGTTCCAACCCATTTTCATCAACTTACTCTTCCCTCAGGCGACACATCTGGTCAACATGGAAATGCTGAACAGTGTAACATCAACAATAAGCACTTCTCGGATAACTTGAATATCCTCAATTATAGGAAAATGCCTATAAAGGATTGGAAACAGGTAATGACAAATTGCATAACAAAGTTCCGTTCTAATAATTCCTTACTTCATTAATAACGTGATATTGAAGAAAGAAGTAATAACGAATCGAAAATAATTTCATCACAGCAGAAAATTCACAATTACCTGCTAAGTGAGACCTTTTTAGGGAAGATATTAAAAGTAATTTTTGCTACAAATATGTGCGAAGATAAATAAACAACTACTAATTATCTAAGCCATTTAAAATGCCATGTGATATTATTTTATAGCGCTGAAATCTTTATGATTTCTCTCATTACTTAAGTACCTTATGGTATAATAGACTACTGTTGGCAAAAATAAATGCTTTGACAAGAATTTTTCAGATAAGAAAAATTATACTTGTTATTACCCGGGATGTACTATGATCACGAAAAATCACAAAGAATATCTAACACATAGGAAAACACACAGTCAGCCCTTCATCTATGAATGCAAAGTGCCCGATTGTGGGCGAATATTTGACCATGAATCATCATTTTACAATCACATACAGAAGCATGAACCTCGTCTTCAGTGCAAAGATTGTGGTAAATTCCTCGCCAACAGGAATGCACTGCGAAAACACAAATGGCTCTGCGGAACAAAATCTTTCAGTATGTAAATTTAGCAGAATTTCAAACATATATATCAACCTGAAATGGAATTCGTGTGAAATGTGCTACGAAACATTCGTGAGGACTGAGTGACAACACAACGGAAAATTTACAACTATTCTTTTTGTTGCAACTGTATTCGAAAATAGTTAAGCAACTTCTTGTGATCTAAATTATTTGAAATGGAATATGATAAGATTATTTCATGAGAGTGATATTTTATGGTTTATTAGACTACTCAATTAGCTACCAAAAACCATAATGAAATATCATTTAAAATATACAAGTGTAAGAGTTTTTTAGGAAAAAGCTATGAATGTCTGTATCCCGGGTGTGCTGTAATCGCGACAAGTTGCAATGAATATGTGACGCATATGAAAACACATGGTCAACCTTTCATCTATGAATGTAGAGCACCCGGTTGTGGGCGATTATTCGGCCATAAATCAACACTTCGCGGTCACCAGCAAATGCATGAATCTAATCCTCTATGCGAGTGCTGCGGCAAATTCTTCAGTAGCATGAATGTACTATATAGACATAAGAAATTCTGCCAAATAAAATCTCGTTAGTTTGAAAATTTAACAGAATTTTAGAAGTATATGCCAGTTTAAAACAGAATGTATGTGAAAGAAAACATATATGGAAAATTTGTAGAAAACATAGCTTCTAGTGATGTAAATTATTTGAAATGAGATGTGCTAAGGAGTGATGTTTTTATAAATAATCAGATTACATAATTAGTTGCCAAACATTGTAACAGAATGGCAATTGCAAAAATAAATATTATAAGAGTTTTTTAGCTGGAAAAAGCTACGAATGTCTTTATCCCGGGTGTGCTGTGATCCCGAAAAGTCGCAAAGAATATCTAACACATAGGAAAGCACACGGTCAACCCTTCATCTTTCAATGCAAAGTGACTGGTTGTGAGCGAATATTCAACAATGAATCGTCATTTCAGAAACACAAGCAAACGCATGAACCTCATCCCCAGTGCGAGGATTGTGGCAAATTCTTCACCACCAGGAATGGACTGCAAAAACATAAAAAGATCTGCCAAACAAAATCTCGTTAGTTTATAAATTTAGCAGAATTTTAATAGATATGTTAGCCTGAAATAGAATGCATGTAAAATGTGTTTCACATGCATTCTATTTCGCGAAGCACTTGTGACCACAGAGTCACAGTACAAAATTCATTTGACGCGCTCGTTAGATGTCGCATATTTTCTTTTATAACGCTTACTCGATGTGTAGTAATTGCCCATGATCTAAGAACCAAATGCTTAAAAAGGTGTTGACGGTGGTGACAGTGATGCTTCAATATAGATCAACGAACATTGAAAATATCAACAGAGAAACGAATGCTCCATTCGCTCTTCACCAAATTACTTTGTTTTTCTAATTCGTGGAAAGTATGCAGAAAAGCATATCATTTCATCCACAAAACCAAGCTGCGATGAACTGCTAATCATTTCTTTTGGCGTTACAAAACAAGTAAAAATTTTCATTTCAGAAAATGTGACAGAATTTGAACATTCTTTGCAAGCATAAGAAAAGGAGTGTAGCAATCGGACGTTTTCGAGACATCAGAATGCAGCTACCAATTTATAATTTCATTTTGTTATTGGATATTTAATATTTTATCGTCATTTATTATCTCATGAATATCATAAAAATGCATAAACATATAATTGACAATGAAATCTAAAATTTGAAGGCAAGCAATTAAATGCAACGCTCAATAAAGGATTTATCATGCAAAAAGGTAACAAAAAAAAAAAAAAAAAAATAATTGATAGAGTATTTTTTTAATAATAGTTTTTAACAAAAGTGGGTAACACGAGAAGATTTTAAGCAAAAAAAATGGTTTTATAAGAAAAAAAAGTAAGCTAGTTGCAATTTAGTCTAAATCTTGATGTGCAAAATAAATGGTAGATAGTGTAATGAAAGAACTTCCATCACATCACTGTTTCATCATAGCTTTTATTACTTGCAAAAGTTAACATTTGTAAACAGTTTAAAATTTATTTCGTTGAGTGCAAAACTTGTTGAACATTCATAAACATTAATTTAGCATTACGTATTTTAAAAAATTTGGAATGAAAAAAATTCAAATGAAAATAATGTTCAAATATATAAGAAATTGAAGTGATATAGTCTTCAGAGAATTTAATCATGATAGCTTAAAAATAATGCGTATTAAATGTCTTGATAGCTTCTTGAAATTTGTTTGGGAAGAATAGATTTAATGGAAGAAATAATTAACCTAATTACAAGTGTAAACAATTTTAAAATTTGCAGGTGAGATTTTAACTCTATCCAGAATGTCTCGCAATTAAATGAGGTAATCAAATTAAAATTATTGAAATATTGATTTAAAAATTTTTTATCACAAATCCAGCTATGAATTAAAAAAGTTTTGTAAGTCGCTATTACAGAATTGAATTTTAATATCAATTTTAGCTTTAGTACCTTGCAAAATAATTTGATGATATCATATTCAGCTAATTTCAGTAGTTTTTATTAAAAATACAAAATTTAAAGTGTTGGAAAGTTTGCCATACTGAAATTTTAAAGAATTATAACATTAATTTGAACTTATTTAGGAACTTCCCTGGCGCCATGTCTTCGATAGATATTTTGGTGGCAAAATTCTTCCCCTAATAATACCATAAATTATTTGAAACATCAATTTAAAATGATAAATTAATATTGAGATGCGAAATTGAAATTTTTTAAAAACAAATCGTAGATCAACAAAATTCTGCGACTCGCTAATACAGAATTAAATTTTTATATCAATTTTAGCTTTAGTACCTTGCAAACTCTTAATGTGAAAAAGAATTTCATATTTATGTAGAATAATGCATAAATATTAAAAAAAGTAAGGAAATGATTGGTAAATTTTTGAATCAAATAATCCAATAAAATATTAGTAGCAATATTGCCAATAGACAATACTCATGGAGGCAGTAAACAGGCTAATATATTTCCAGTTGTTAGTTAATTGATGTCACCAAAATTTAAAACCTAAAATTTTTACAATAGTGCAAATAATTCATTCAATATTTTATTTACCACTCAACATACAATACTTTATTAAACAAAGTAGACAGGATTATTGAATATTGCACAGATTAAATATTTCAATGACATTTAATTCCAGCTATTCACCAGTTTCCTTTATGCAAATGTTACTCCATTTTATCAACCAAACTTTTTTTTTTTTTTGAAATATTGAAATTTTTTTTATAATAGTAGGAATAGTTATGGATGTATGTCAATAAGCAATATTTATCAAATTTCAAGTGATCCAATGAAGTTCTATCAGTGATATTATTAGTGGTATGTATTTTATTAAATGCATCAAAATCCCATATCTCACGATGTCACCCAGTGTACATGTATTACTGAAATGGTAGAACACGCTACTGCAGCGCTTCCTTCGAGTTTCAAAAGAGCATTTATAAACTTTATAAACCACAAATGGTGGAGAGGAAAGCAGAATGAAAGAGAAAAAATATTAAAAACAATGAGGATTTGAAACTGTTTCACATTTGGTGTTTAACTTTTCACAACGATTAAAAACCTTTGATCTTTAAATCCAAGCAATCTGAAATAAAAAGCTTCCATTTGAGCATTTCTGTCATCTCACAAAATTGTGTGCTTCACCATGTTCTTCAATATATTTATGACACCCATCATTTGGTTCAATCTTCTACTATGCATCGCTTCTGATAATGAAACTTTCCATCTACCTAATTTCGACACTGCTAATGAAGTTATTACAAATAATACTTATTCTGGCATCTCAGATACCTTTGGATTTCTCGATTACCTCAATTTCGAGCCAATGTTTAGCTCAGAATTTCCATCCGATCCTTCACAGTTCATTGATTTCGCTCAGTTTAGTGAAACTGAGGATGTAGGAAGTGAAGAATCGAAATCTGAAACTAATCAGATCACAAATTCTCCTCATCCTGGTTTCTCCGATATCTATGATCCCTTCGGCCACACTAATTTTGAGTTATCACTTAGCTCAGATATGGACTCATACAGGAATCTGTGGAGAGATGCTAACGAAGAATTAAAAACGAGTGATGATAACGTGCGATATCCTTCCATTAGAGGTGAGAGTTTTGTTTTAGATACATTTAAAGATAAATACAACTTCTTGTAATTTGAGTTATTTAGATGCTCAGAATGAAACTTCTTCCTCACTTAATCTCAACAGCGATGATATTATCACATATATGCACTTAGTCCATGGTCCACAACAAAGTGCCGTTCCAACCCATTTTCATCAACTTACTCTTCCCTCAGGCGACACATCTGGTCAACATGGAAATGCTGAACAGTGTAACATCAACAATAAGCACTTCTCGGATAACTTGAATATCCTCAATTATAGGAAAATGCCTATAAAGGATTGGAAACAGGTAATGACAAATTGCATAACAAAGTTCCGTTCTAATAATTCCTTACTTCATTAATAACGTGATATTGAAGAAAGAAGTAATAACGAATCGAAAATAATTTCATCACAGCAGAAAATTCACAATTACCTGCTAAGTGAGACCTTTTTAGGGAAGATATTAAAAGTAATTTTTGCTACAAATATGTGCGAAGATAAATAAACAACTACTAATTATCTAAGCCATTTAAAATGCCATGTGATATTATTTTATAGCGCTGAAATCTTTATGATTTCTCTCATTACTTAAGTACTGAATAGTGTAATAGACTACTGTTGGCAAAAATAAATGCTTTGACAAGAATTTTTCAGATAAGAAAATTATACTTGTTATTACCCGGGATGTACTATGATCACGAAAAATCACAAAGAATATCTAACACATAGGAAAACACACAGTCAGCCCTTCATCTATGAATGCAAAGTGCCCGATTGTGGGCGAATATTTGACCATGAATCATCATTTTACAATCACATACAGAAGCATGAACCTCGTCTTCAGTGCAAAGATTGTGGTAAATTTCCTCGCCAACAGGAATGCACTGCGAAAACACAAATGGCTCTGCGAAACAAAATCTTTCAGTATGTAAATTTAGCAGAATTTCAAACATATATATCAACCTGAAATGGAATTCGTGTGAAATGTGCTACGAAACATTCGTGAGGACTGAGTGACAACACAACGGAAAATTTACAACTATTCTTTTTGTTGCAACTGTATTCGAAAATAGTTAAGCAACTTTCTTGTGATCTAAATTATTTGAAATGGAAATATGATAAGATTATTTCATTGAGAGTGATATTTTATGGTTTATTAGACTACTCAATTAGCTACCAAAAACCATAATGAAATATCATTTAAAATATACAAGTGTAAAGATTTTTTAGGAAAAAAGCTATGAATGTCTGTATCCCGGGTGTGCTGTAATCGCGACAAGTTGCAATGAATATGTGACGCATAATGAAAACACACGGTCAACCTTTCATCTATGAATGTAGAGCACCCGGTTGTGGGCGATTATTCGGCCATGAATCAACACTTTCAGCGTCACCAGCAAATGCATGAATCCTAATCCTCTATGCGAGTGCTGCGGCAAATTCTTCAGTAGCATGAATGTACTATATAGACATAAGAAATTCTGCCAAATAAAATCTCGTTAGTTTGCAAAATTTAACAGAATTTTAGAAGTATATGCCAGTTTGAAAACAGGAATGTATGTGAAAGAAAAACAATATATGGAAAATTTGTAGAAAACATTAGCCTTCTAGTGATGTAAATTATTTGAAATGAGATGTGCTAATGAGAGTGATATTTTTATAATAATCAGATTACATAATTAGTTACCAAACATCTGTAATAAAATATCAATTGCAAAAACAAATATAAGAGTTTTTCAGATGAACGATGCTACGAATGCTGTTATCTCGGATGTACTATGATCACGAACAGTTACAAGGAATATATAACACATAAGAAAACACACGGTCAGCCCTTCATCTATGAATGCAGAGTGCCTGGTTGTGGGCGGACATTCAACCATGATTCAGCACTTTATTATCATAAGCAAACGCATGAACCTCATCCTCAGTGCGAGTGCTGCTGCAAATCGTTCAACACCAGGAAGGGACTGCATCAACATAAGAAGATACAGCATACAGCTAAATAAATTCTCGTTAGTTTGCATATTTAGCAGAATTTTAACACATATGTCAGTCCGAAATTGAATGCATGTGAAATGTGTTGCGAAGCACTTGTGACCACAGAGTGACAATACAAAATTCATCTGACGCGCTCATTAGATGCTGCATTTTTTTTTTTTATGACGCTTACTCAATGTGTAGTAACTGTCCATGACCTAAGAACCAAATGCTTAAAAAGGTGTTGACAGTGGTGACAGTGATGCTTCAGCACACATCAACAAACACTGAAAATATTAGCAAAGTAATGAATACTTCATCCACCCTTGGCGAAATTGGCTTTGTTTTTCTAATTCGTGGAAAGTATGCAGAAAAGCATATCATTTCATCCACAAAACCAAGCTGCGATGAACTGCTAATCATTTCTTTTGGCGTTACAAAACAAGTAAAAATTTTCATTTCAGAAAATGTGACAGAATTTGAACATTCTTTGCAAGCATAAGAAAAGGAGTGTAGCAATCGGACGTTTTCGAGACATCAGAATGCAGCTACCAATTTATAATTTCATTTTGTTATTGGATATTTAATATTTTATCGTCATTTATTATCTCATGAATATCATAAAAATGCATAAACATATAATTGACAATGAAATCTAAAATTTGAAGGCAAGCAATTAAATGCAACGCTCAATAAAGGATTTATCATGCAAAAAGGTAACAAAAAAAAAAAAAAAAAAATAATTGATAGAGTATTTTTTTAATAATAGTTTTTAACAAAAGTGGGTAACACGAGAAGATTTTAAGCAAAAAAAATGGTTTTATAAGAAAAAAAAGTAAGCTAGTTGCAATTTAGTCTAAATCTTGATGTGCAAAATAAATGGTAGATAGTGTAATGAAAGAACTTCCATCACATCACTGTTTCATCATAGCTTTTATTACTTGCAAAAGTTAACATTTGTAAACAGTTTAAAATTTATTTCGTTGAGTGCAAAACTTGTTGAACATTCATAAACATTAATTTAGCATTACGTATTTTAAAAAATTTGGAATGAAAAAAATTCAAATGAAAATAATGTTCAAATATATAAGAAATTGAAGTGATATAGTCTTCAGAGAATTTAATCATGATAGCTTAAAAATAATGCGTATTAAATGTCTTGATAGCTTCTTGAAATTTGTTTGGGAAGAATAGATTTAATGGAAGAAATAATTAACCTAATTACAAGTGTAAACAATTTTAAAATTTGCAGGTGAGATTTTAACTCTATCCAGAATGTCTCGCAATTAAATGAGGTAATCAAATTAAAATTATTGAAATATTGATTTAAAAATTTTTTATCACAAATCCAGCTATGAATTAAAAAAGTTTTGTAAGTCGCTATTACAGAATTGAATTTTAATATCAATTTTAGCTTTAGTACCTTGCAAAATAATTTGATGATATCATATTCAGCTAATTTCAGTAGTTTTTATTAAAAATACAAAATTTAAAGTGTTGGAAAGTTTGCCATACTGAAATTTTAAAGAATTATAACATTAATTTGAACTTATTTAGGAACTTCCCTGGCGCCATGTCTTCGATAGATATTTTGGTGGCAAAATTCTTCCCCTAATAATACCATAAATTATTTGAAACATCAATTTAAAATGATAAATTAATATTGAGATGCGAAATTGAAATTTTTTAAAAACAAATCGTAGATCAACAAAATTCTGCGACTCGCTAATACAGAATTAAATTTTTATATCAATTTTAGCTTTAGTACCTTGCAAACTCTTAATGTGAAAAAGAATTTCATATTTATGTAGAATAATGCATAAATATTAAAAAAAGTAAGGAAATGATTGGTAAATTTTTGAATCAAATAATCCAATAAAATATTAGTAGCAATATTGCCAATAGACAATACTCATGGAGGCAGTAAACAGGCTAATATATTTCCAGTTGTTAGTTAATTGATGTCACCAAAATTTAAAACCTAAAATTTTTACAATAGTGCAAATAATTCATTCAATATTTTATTTACCACTCAACATACAATACTTTATTAAACAAAGTAGACAGGATTATTGAATATTGCACAGATTAAATATTTCAATGACATTTAATTCCAGCTATTCACCAGTTTCCTTTATGCAAATGTTACTCCATTTTATCAACCAAACTTTTTTTTTTTTTTGAAATATTGAAATTTTTTTTATAATAGTAGGAATAGTTATGGATGTATGTCAATAAGCAATATTTATCAAATTTCAAGTGATCCAATGAAGTTCTATCAGTGATATTATTAGTGGTATGTATTTTATTAAATGCATCAAAATCCCATATCTCACGATGTCACCCAGTGTACATGTATTACTGAAATGGTAGAACACGCTACTGCAGCGCTTCCTTCGAGTTTCAAAAGAGCATTTATAAACTTTATAAACCACAAATGGTGGAGAGGAAAGCAGAATGAAAGAGAAAAAATATTAAAAACAATGAGGATTTGAAACTGTTTCACATTTGGTGTTTAACTTTTCACAACGATTAAAAACCTTTGATCTTTAAATCCAAGCAATCTGAAATAAAAAGCTTCCATTTGAGCATTTCTGTCATCTCACAAAATTGTGTGCTTCACCATGTTCTTCAATATATTTATGACACCCATCATTTGGTTCAATCTTCTACTATGCATCGCTTCTGATAATGAAACTTTCCATCTACCTAATTTCGACACTGCTAATGAAGTTATTACAAATAATACTTATTCTGGCATCTCAGATACCTTTGGATTTCTCGATTACCTCAATTTCGAGCCAATGTTTAGCTCAGAATTTCCATCCGATCCTTCACAGTTCATTGATTTCGCTCAGTTTAGTGAAACTGAGGATGTAGGAAGTGAAGAATCGAAATCTGAAACTAATCAGATCACAAATTCTCCTCATCCTGGTTTCTCCGATATCTATGATCCCTTCGGCCACACTAATTTTGAGTTATCACTTAGCTCAGATATGGACTCATACAGGAATCTGTGGAGAGATGCTAACGAAGAATTAAAAACGAGTGATGATAACGTGCGATATCCTTCCATTAGAGGTGAGAGTTTTGTTTTAGATACATTTAAAGATAAATACAACTTCTTGTAATTTGAGTTATTTAGATGCTCAGAATGAAACTTCTTCCTCACTTAATCTCAACAGCGATGATATTATCACATATATGCACTTAGTCCATGGTCCACAACAAAGTGCCGTTCCAACCCATTTTCATCAACTTACTCTTCCCTCAGGCGACACATCTGGTCAACATGGAAATGCTGAACAGTGTAACATCAACAATAAGCACTTCTCGGATAACTTGAATATCCTCAATTATAGGGAAAATGCCTATAAAGGATTGGAAACAGGTAATGACAAATTGCATAACAAAGTTCCGTTCTAATAATTCCTTACTTCATTAATAACGTGATATTGAAGAAAGAAGTAATAACGAATCGAAAATAATTTCATCACAGCAGAAAATTCACAATTACCTGCTAAGTGAGACCTTTTTAGGGAAGATATTAAAAGTAATTTTTGCTACAAATATGTGCGAAGATAAATAAACAACTACTAATTATCTAAGCCATTTAAAATGCCATGTGATATTATTTTATAGCGCTGAAATCTTTATGATTTCTCTCATTACTTAAGTACCTTATGGTATAATAGACTACTGTTGGCAAAAATAAATGCTTTGACAAGAATTTTTCAGATAAGAAAAATTATACTTGTCGTTACCCGGGATGTACAGTGATCACGAAAGCTCGCAAAGAATATCTAACACACAGGAAAACCCACGGTCAACCCTTCATCTATGAATGCAAAGTGCCCGGTTGTGGGCGAACATTCGACCATAGATCATCATTTTATACCCACATAGAAACGCATGAACTTCGTCCTCAGTGCGAGGATTGTGGCAAATTCGTCGTCAACAGGAAGGCACTGCGAAAACACAAGAGACTCTGCCAAAAAAAATCTTTCAGTATGTAAATTTAACAGAATTTCAAACACATGCATCATCCTGAAATGGAATGCGTGTGAAATGTGCTACGAAACATTTGTGAGTGCTGAGTGACAACACAACGAAAAATTCACAATTACTGCTTTTGTTGTAACTATACTCAGAAATAATTAAACAATTTCTTGTGATCTAGATTATTTGAAATGGAACCTGGTAAGTAAGTTATTTCATGGGAATGATATCTTTATGGTTTATCGCATAAGAAAATATCAATTCAGACGAACGAAGGTATGAATGCCTTTATCCCGGATGTGCTATGGTCACGAAAAGTCGTAACGAATATATAACACATCGGAAAACACACGGTCAGCCCTTCATCTATGAATGCAGAGTGCCTAGTTGTGGGCGGACATTCGACCATGAATCAACATTTTACAATCACATACAGACGCATGAACCTCGTCCTCAGTGCGAGGATTGTGGCAAATTCTTCACCACCAGGAATATGCTGCAGTATCATAAGAAGCGCTGCGAAAAAAATCTCGTTAGTTTATAAATTTAGCAGAATTTTAACTGAAATAGAATGCAATTTGTTGCGAAGCATTTGTGACCGCAGAGTGACCTAAGAACCAACTGCTTAAAAAGGTGTTGACAGTGGTGACAGTGACGTTTCCATATACATCAACAAACACTGAAAATATTAGCAATGTAATGAATATTCCATCCACTCTTGGCCAAATTAGCTTTGTTTTTCTAATTCGTGGAAAGTATGCAGAAAAACATATCATTTCATCTATAAAGCCAAGCTGCCATGAACTGCTAATCATTTCTTTTGGCGTTACAAAACAAGTAAAAATTTTCATTCCAGAAAATGAGACACAATTTGGGCATTCTTCGCAAACAATAAGAAAAGGAGCGTAGCAATTTGATGTTTTTGAGGTATCAGAATGCAGCTACCAATTTATAATTTCATTTTATCATTGGAATTTTTCCTATTTTATCTTTATTTGTTATTCCATGAACTAGTAAAAAATGATTAGCAAATGGGTTCACAACTAAAATGAACTAAAATGAACAATTTATGATACAAAGAGCTAATATTAAAAAGCATCCCAAGTGAGAACAAAAGTATTCACCTAATAATTTATAACAAAAGTTGACATCACAAAGTTGTTTTAAACAAGGAAATGCTGTTATAAGGAAGAGAGATGATGCATTTTTAACTTATTTATCATAATTGTTCATTATTAATTTATTTAAATTCAATATGCAAAAAGTTGTTTTCCACTTATCATAAGAAAGCAGCTCTAATCTTTAACATGTTGAACAAATTTTTCTTTTCTCGAATACTAATTATAATGAAACAGAGATCCATTTGATGTTCTTCATATCAATAGACAATCATATTTTTTAATTCATTACTAAATAAATCTATGTTCTACAAAATACACATGTAGATAAAAAATGGCGCAATTGTCCCTTTTATTGACTGAAAAGCGATCAATATAATTAGGTGGAGAATAAATAGTATTTATCTGTTGATTAATGTTCAAATAAATGATCTGCTTTTGTCTCTTCACATGCGGATTCCTAAGGCCATATATGTCGTGGAAATTACTCAGTTTACTCTCTGCAAATTAATAAAAAAGGCACATGGACAAAATTCATTTTCAATTAACAATCCAAAAAAAAAAAAAAAAAAATTGATCTTCATCAGTACTGATAATGTGATTATGTCATTTAGTAAAAAATTTCAGAGATTGTATGTAAGCCAAAGATCAGCCATATTTCATTAATAATTTCTAATTTTTACATTCACTGATCATGAAAGATCGATCGCATAAACAACTAAATTTTTGTAACAACGAAATGAAGAAAATAGCAAATTTTGCTAATAATTATTGCTACAACTATTGTTATACCAATTACATATTATACTGCAAGTTGACAAACATGTTTAAAATTTTGATAAATTTAAGAAAATCATGAGGTGATTTCCCGTAATACTTCGTGTTTTCACCATGTCTCTTAGTTTGGACTATTGGTAGTAGTCAATATACCTTCATAATATTCAATTTAACTATTAACATTTTTTTTTTCTGATTTCAGAATTTCTTTCTGAATAATTTCTAAATATTCCATTAATTTACGATCGACATCTTCACTTATTTGTAACAAATATGTATTTCAGTTCAGATGTTCTTTGCTTCTTATATAAGAAAGCAGAAGAATAATTCTTATAAATATAAGAAGATAAATAATGAGCTGAATAGCTGAGTAAATGAAAATCGATTTGTAGCATTCGACTTGTAGCTACTCTTTTTAGAAATTCTAAACTATGTCTAGCTGTTTGATTAGTTCAATTGTGAAGTATTAATAATTAGTACGCTTTCATAAATAACAACATTCTTACTAGAAGTATCACTTTTAGGAAATATTTATATTTTTTTTGCCATGCTTCACTATATGGATATTTTTTGTTCCTTATTGTGTGATGAAGTGACTTCTATAATTTATAATCATATTTTTCAATTACAATTTAATTTGTGAAAGTGAAATATTCTGTGCTTTAGAAATATCAGTATCATAGAAGAAATATGAATAAATAGTGTTAAAATATTATGATTTAATTATCTTCGATTCCACTGAAAGAATATACCTCAAAAATTGATTGGATAAAAAGGATTTATGAACATGCAGAAGCTAATTAGCAGAAGAATTTGGCAGTTAAATGGATATGATCAACATTGTGACATAGTTGACAACATTATGACAAAGTTGACAACATTGTGACATAGTTGACATAGCAATCAATCCTGTCATATCTTGTGTTACAATATGTTTTTTTTTTTTCTTATATTATATATAATATTAACATGTATTTCTGTGATTCTATCTCAAGCATAATCTTTTTCAAAGAATATTTGATCAAAAATGAGTAGAAGCAAAAAAGCATTTATATTACTGACTAATGCCATCAGAAGTTTTATGATTTGCATTAATTATTTGCAGTGACATTTGAGCATGTCACTGATACTAGAAATAAATCTTGCAATTTACGCAAATTCATTTTGATTATCTAATTAATATACATGATATCGTATTTTGATTTATCACGACTGTTTGATTATCATTTGCTTTTCTGCTTCGTTAAAATCTGCAATAAATATAAAGTTAAGCAAGAGATTTTTTTTGCCATCTGTTTTTCACGACATATCTTTCGTTCATTAAAATGAGATATATCAGTTGAGTATTTATTTCAACTTTATTTATGACATAAAATTAGCACGACAAGAATTGAAATAAAATGTTAGTCGAATTGAAATGAAATCTCTTATAGTATTTAAAATAAAGGAAATGCTTTTAATTTAAAAAAATTACTAATTAAAAATAAGCAGCATGCATTACCAATCATGAATTTCTAGAAATGGCCATCTTCTTTCGGATGAAGGTAACATGAATTTGAAATCATATTCTGGTACTTCCTCAGATTGTTGTGTTCCACTTATACTCAACAAATCTTCAACATGTTTCATAAAATACTCAACAAAATCAGTATTCTAAAACATTATACAATTTTCCTTTTTTTTTTTTTTTTCGAAAACAAAATCAGCAATGGTTAGTTAAACATTGCTGATTAATATACGCTATTCATACTTTATTAAAATTTTTTAATTGCTTAAAATTAAACTACTCAAATGACACATCTTATCATCATTTCACAACTGTTTGATTTATCACCTGTATGTAACATTCTGATCTTATCATCAGTTGTTAACTATTTATTTTTACAAACGTACAATTTTCACTTATCAATATATTGAGAAATTTGGGATATTGAAGTGCAGCAATCCTATACAATTCATGCAAATTTTCTTCAGTTATAGAATCCAATTCAGCAAAGAAATCTTCCTCAAAAGGAAAGTTGTGTTCACCAATTCGATATTCCTGGAAATTTCATTCATTTCTTTAACTAACAAATTATATGAACAAAAAAAGTAACAGTAAGTTTACATCAAATAACTCTTGAATTTATATTTTATTATCAACTTGCTATCCATCTTTTCATCTTATTATAGAAAAACTGAAAAATTAAAAGTTGTTCGTTCTGTCTGATATAATTTAGTGATTAATAACAACAAACTCGCATTATCATGTAGTAATCAAAATGTGAAAGACATCGTTGCCACTTGAAAATCGCTTCTGATACACCTTCCATAAATTTCATACATGACCAGCATTGTGGCATAGTTGGATCAACCGGATCAAGTGGATAAAGATGTCTAAGAGTTTTATTTACATCATATAAACATACAGCATGGAAATATAGCTCGATGAATTATATTCTGATATTTAAATAAAATAATTAGATGATACTAAAATGATGAGTGTAAGCATCACATACCTTATTTCCTCAAAATTTGCACTCAAATCTTCTCTCAAATGCTCCAAATTTCCCTTTGTAGAATGATACACTACATGACCTGTCAAAAGTTTTGTTGTGTCATCAAAATCAAGCAATAAAATAGCTGCGACATAATACTCGTCACCAGCTGCAGGTGATGAATGTACCGTATAACAAAGACCATTAAATACCTTTACAAAACCACTCTGTAATAGTTAAGAAAAGATTATTGGCTTCTTCATTTCATACTATACATGAAAAAATTTATTTACATTTTTTTTTTGTTAGATAATACTATATCCATTCTTTATATTCAGTAAAAAAAAAATTCAGTAAGAAATTAGCATTAAAAATTATAATATATGCTATTAGCAATGATATGAGTCAATCATTTACAAGAAATCACACAAAAAAAAAAAAAAAAAAGCTCTGAAAAAGAAGAAATCATTATTTGAAGTGATTAATGACGAATTAATGAAAAATTTCAAATTATTGTTTTCATACTGTTTCACAGTAATTTATATAATATTATAATTACCATTAAACTTACTGTATTAGCTTCATGACCACGTATGAGAGCTCGACAATTTAATTCTCGTAGTTTCTCTTTCAGTGCTCTTCGATTGAAGAAATATGATGCACCACGTTCAGAAGGTGAATATTTTGATCTAAACACTGAAAATTGTTTTGAGCAATAGTGATAGTGAGATCCGATTGAGAATGTTATGCTAATGCAAAAGAGCTTTTCAAGTTATGAACAAAGAATGTAAACAAATATAAGTTAGTTTATATCGAACTTTTTCAAACTTATACTGAATATTTTATTCCACTGAACTTCTAGCATCTTATTTCTAAATCTTGAAAATTTGAATGCTTCGAATAGTGAAATTATTGAATGCTATTAAAATTTAAAGAAAAAACAAACGTTATTTGTTTAGATGGATCAGCCCATAGAATATCTGTCATAATGCTTATATGAAAAACATTTGTTTCTGGTGCAAGCCATGTTAATGGACGTGGTATTTGAGCAATATCTTCTCTCGATTTAATAAACTGCGAGATACCACCATGACAAAGTAATATTTGATCTGCAATGATTTCTACAATTCAACTGATATCATCTTCTTGTTAACTTTTTTTTTTTTTTTTTCTCTCTTTTTGGAAGGAAAATATTGTTAATATTGAGAAAATATTTTAATTAATTATTAGTAATAAGTAACATTTATCACTTATACCAATAAGAGTTTTTTTTTTTTTTTGTTATAGAAAATTTCAGTGTAAATTTAAGCAAAATTTCTTCAAAATTTACCATTCACTTCTCTAATTCTTAAATGTTATCTGCTCTATCAGAATGAAAACTTTTCAATACATTAGAATTCAACACTACTAATTGTGCTCACCTGATAAAATAGCAGCAAGTGGTAAATGATCAAAAACAAAATTGATATTATATAGTATCAAATTCCTATCAGCATTCGGATAACAGCGCTCAATCTGTAAAGACAAATCTTTTTGCATTTTTGTTAATTTAAGCTACAAAAATGTAAGAAATGATAAAATTCAAAATACAAACAATTCAATACTTCCCAATACATTGTGAATATCCGACGGATAGATGCTTTATAGAGGAATGTCAAGAGGAACTGATAAAAGTAGCATAAACCAGTAGTAATTAGGTTTAAATTATAAAATGAAAAACACACACACACACATACATACATACGTACACATGCATGCACATGCATACACATACATACATTTCGAATTAATCCATTTTCCTCATCCTCATTTGCATAACATTGACTCATTGTTTCATGATTACCACGCAGCATGTACATTCGTTTTGGATAGCGTAATTTCAATAAGAAAAGTAATAAAACCATCTCGAGAGAATGCTTCCCGCGATCAATGTAATCTCCTGTCGAATTCTTATATTAATATTTTTATATTAAAATGGTAAGATTGAAGGAAGCAATGTAAGATTCACTTTAATGAAATATAATTAATTGAAAAATGATTTTCAAATTCATTAAATATTTAAATGATAGCAATGTTATAGTATGCTTCATCAACTAACCAAGAAAAATTAATGTTCTTTCGGTGGGCCAACCGGCATCCTTTATTCCTCTAAATAAATCGTATAAACTACCATGCAGATCACCAAATATAGCAACGCCATCCGGATCATGAATGTACTCTAATGTGCCACATTCTCGTAACAGATCAACTGTTTTGTGACAAATCTGCAATGGACGACATTTGCGCATATCCTCCTGAATAGTTTGTCATTGTTGTTGTCCAGATGATCGATGCAAGAAGTAATTTCAAAGGCAATTGGAAATGATATGAATTATCAAATTTGATAAGATCAATGAAGTCTATTGAGTGATTCATTTCTGTGATCAGAGCTAATCAAAGCAAACTTTTTCAAAAGCTACAATTTATATTTATTTTATCCACTTTCTCTTTCTCTTTCTTCCTCCTACTTTCAACTTTAAAATAAAATAGTGATTGGTACAAAAAAAAGTTTTTCCAAAGTGATCAATTCACTGAGTGGACATTCTCCACCACAATTATTCAACATCCCATGAATAAGCTGATCAATTTCCTCCTGCTGCAGTGGTGGACATGGCAAGCTATGCTGAATTACCAAATTTCGAGACATTATGTTTAGTACTGAAATTTTGTATGATTTTCTGCTTACATTTTAAAAGCTAGAAAAATTCAGGATAATTCAAGTTTAAAAAATTTTGTTTTACTTGTCTTTTATTTTGACTAGTACTTCTATTTAGCAATTTTTATTACCATCTTTGATCGTACAATTTATTTAGTGTTTATTTTATCAATGTATAATAATATTTTTCAAATTTCAAATTATGATCTGTTTCTTCGGTCTCCAAATGTAACAGATGAATTGATTTTAAATTAACAGATGATAAGAACTAATTAGACTGAAAGTATCAGAAGTATGCTCACACTAATTCATCATCAAACATTCATTTGTTTATTAATAAAACAATTTATTATTATCAAAACAATTCATTTGCAGGAAGGTCAAATGATAAATTCAAAAAATTTTTTTAACACCTTTTAAATTGCTATTAGAATTTAACCGCTTAGTATGACAAACAACCACTACAAATAATTCATTTCATTGAATTACTTCTCTTCATAAATCTAAAATTAAATCATTAAAAATTTGAATAATATTCGATTAAATCATTAAATATTTGAATAATATTCGATTAAATCATTAAATATTTGAATAATATTCGATTAAATCATTAAATATTTGAATAATATTCGATTAAATCATTAAATATTTGAATAATATTCGATTAAATCATTAAATATTTGAATAATATTCGATTAAATCATTAAATATTTGAATAATATTCGATTAAAGCAATTTATTAGCAATCGAAAAATTTAATCCTCACTTTATAAATTATTCACAAAACTCTTCAATTTAATCTAAATTTGATGAGAGGAAAAGAAATAAATGTATTTTCTATTAATGCAATTTCACAGTAAATTCTTTTCCACGTTGGCTTCAGAACGACCGATATTTCGCGGTTAGCCGCGAAGAATTGAATTTTATCATTTTTTGATTGTTATCTGATTGTAGTTGATAATTCTTTTGCAGTGATTTCTTCAGCAATTTTTTCTGTTCCATACAAATTAGTAATTCATCTTATTTGCTGTAACTTACGTAAATATTTAGTAAAAGCGGCGTACGTGAACCAAATGAGAATAGTACGTTATCATATGACTGTTACAGCACAATGGTATTATCTGTATTATAACCTGAGACATTACGTTTGAGAATTTCGACGTCATTTGCATATGTCGTTCTCAGTATCATTATTGGGTAAATTACTTATTGCCGTTTACGTTACTTATGATACAGCGTTAGTACGTCACGTTTCCATTTTCTATACACGTACTTCTCAGGTATACGGTTAAGATACTTTACTCACTGTACAGTTAAGATACTTCAAGTTATCAAATAGCACAGCTGAATATATCTTTTCAGCAGTAGTATTACATTTTATTTCTTTGAATTCACTTGCATTTTAGAAATTTAAATGTAAAGTAAGAGATAGTTTTATCACCTTATAATTCGTAGATTTTTACCGATTTAGGGACATCTTTACTGTCACTGCTTCTGGCTGGTTATTTGGCTCGAAAATATGGACTACCTCCTCCAGCACCTAAAATTGCTGCTATCGATTTGGGCACAACATTTTCATCAATAGGCATATATCAAGCTGTCACTGGGATAACAGATATAGTCGCTGATGAGACGGGACGGCAAAGTATACCAAGTGTTGTTGCATTTTTGTAAGTTATTATTATTAGCATTCATTTGTGATTTTTTCCAACTGTTAATAATGTTCTGTCTTTTTCTATTTCCAATATTATTTTTAAATATCACAGGCCAAATGGTACAGTAATAGTGGGTTCAAAAGCTGTTGAACAACAAGAGCACAATCCTCTACGAACAATATATGATGCCAAACGTTTCATTGGCAGAAAGTTATCTGAAGACGACCCACAATTTCAGGTGTTACTTTTATGTTTGTAAAGCCATTATGAATAATCTGTTTTTGGTTAGTTTTATAAGCGCATTTAGCTTTTTTAATTTTTTTCGATGCGTACATTCCATGTCAGCACTGCATATAGTGCAGAAAGAAGTGCAAACCAAAGTGGATTTGATTTCTAATCAAGAAATCTGTTGGGAAACATTTAAAGTTTTACGACTATGTTGTGATTATTTTCCATATGAAAATTCTCGAATCATACTTGTTAGTGTTCTGATTTTCAGAGGTTTTTTTTTTTTTTTTTTTTTTTGCAGGTTGATAGGAAGCGATATCCGTTTAAAATTGAGTTAGACATGGAAGGGCGAGTGCTTTTTGTCATACCACTGCAAAATAATGTTATTAAGTAAGTTTACGTAGGTGAAATTTCTTTTAATCCACATCTGTGATATAAAATGAGTCGCTGCTTTGAAAAAACTGGTTTTTTTCATAAAGTTCATATTTGTTCTTTCAGAATTAAAAAACTTTCATGGCTTGCTAACCCAGATGTTTTATTTTTTTACAGGAAAATAAGACCGGAAGAAGTTGGTGCAATAATAATAAATTATCTTCGAAAAGCAGCCGAGAAGAAATATGGGACAGAAATTATTTGGGCAGTTATTTCTGTTCCAGCTGAATTTGATGAAGAGCAACGGAATGCTACTTCATTAGCTGTTGAAAAAGCCGGTTTGTTCTTAATTGCAAGAAAAAAAAAATTACTGTCTTAAATTTTATTTGAAATTCATTTCTATGAGGTCAGCATTTTTTCATGCAGATATTTTTTGTTAATACATGCTTTTAGGAATGGAAAGTCGTCGTGTAATTAGTGAGCCAACTGCAGCTGCCCTTGCTTATGGTTTACATAAGAAAAAAGACGTTCAGTACATTGTTGTAGTTGATTTAGGTCAGTTTTATTTATTTATATATTTTTAATGTGTGGTTCTTGGAATAAAGTCGAAGAGTGCTGTATAATATGTTGCACTTTAGGTATTTGTTTCATTATACTTCTTTCTTTTTTTGATTCATTGTTTTGTTTTACTATTTTTTTTTGTAACTAACAGTTCATTTAAGGCGGAGGTACATTAGATGTTTCGATATTATGGTTGCAAGGAGGCATATTTATGACAGTGGCAATGGCTGGCAACAATAGGCTTGGTGGCCAAGATTTTAATAATCGTGTCCAAAGTGATTTGATGCAGGTTAATATTTTTGCATATTTTTCTTTATAGTTGTATTCCTAATTCTGATAAATTCAAAATTGAAATGTATATGGCGTTTTATATACAACTGAGCATTTAAAGTCTGAAATATTCAACTTATCGCATGTTTATCCAAGTTTAAGTCTTATTGGTGTTTAATTGAAATATTGCTTCCAAATGTTTTGGAACTTACACAGCTAATTCTGATTGTATCTTAGATGTATCTTAGATGAGTTACCTCTGCCTTGTTCATTTACAGTACATAGAAGAGAAGTACGGCAAGGCGCTTGATGACCAAGAAGATATCCAACAGTTGCGCCTTGCAATTGAAGCTGCAAAAATTCAACTTACTACACTTCCTGCCACAAATATCGATTTAAATTTACGGTCAATTGGAAAGATGATTTATAGAGTAATGATTATAAGGTTTTGAAATTATTTAGAGATTCAACTTCTGAAGATTTTTAATAAAAAAAAATGTACATATCTTTAGTCTTCATTTTCAGCTTACTCGTGACAATTTCGAATTTTTGAATGAAGATTTGTTTGAAAGTATCACAGAACCAATAGAAGCAGCTTTAAATGACGCTGAAATAAAGGCATCCGATATCGATGAAATTGTACTGGTGGGTGGTTCAACTCGCATACCACGTGTTCGTTCCGTTGTTGGTCGTTACTTTGGGTAAATTTCTTAATTTTTTTATTGGTGGACTGAACGAGCGAAATTAGTACAAGCGAAGAACAATCTAAGCATAGATTATCATCTCAGTAATAATAATAAAAATAAACTGAGCAATGGATGGTTTAGGTTGTACTATGTAGATTGATATATATCAAGTTGAACCATGCTTAGCTTTTTTTTTTTCATTCTGAATCAGTCATTTGAAATTCAAGACGTTGGTCTCTACATTTGATTATTTTTAGAAAGGCAGCAAATCATGGTGTTGATCCGGAATTAGCGGTTGTGACTGGTGCCGCCGTACAAGCCGGTGTTATCGGTGGTGGTTGGCCTCTTCAGGTTTGTTTTAAACCTGGCAATATGCTTTCGAATTAGCTTTGACAAACTTACACTTAATTTTACAAATCCAATTTTCGACTTTTTGTTAGTGAAAGAAGCGGTAGGTATGTATTTTTAAACACAATATGCAAATCGAGATCGAGCAGTTAAAATTAGATTTCAGTCAGGATTATTCATGAAAATTTGTGAGTATCATGCAAATCTCAATATTTAGGTATCTGCTATAGAATTACCAGTTAAACGCAGGAAGCATCATATTTTCACAGGACAGAAGAAATCAATCCGTTAAGTATTCTCAAAAATGGAGACTTTTGGTATTAGGAGCACATATTCTGCTCAGAATGTTAGACGCATTATTTTTTAACTTTTCGAAATTGCGCAATTTCTGTATATTAGGCGTTGGTGGGTCTGTATGTAAGCGTTGTGTGAATTTTTGTTCTATTGGAATATGCTATTAAAGTTCTAATAATGTTTTTGTTAAAATAGACCATTATAAAGTTTAATGCATATTTAATGAAAAATCGTAAACTGTTTAGTAGTTTCATCAAGTTTAATATAACTTTGATATATTTCATAAGAGATTTATAAAATTTGTGGCACTAAGGTTGTTTGCTTAACATGTGGAGAATCAAGCATGTTATGGTCTTGTTGTTTGTTACTGATGATAGCAATCATTCCGTCTGATTCCTTCTGTTTTTAAATTCCTTGATTTTTCCTGTGACTCTTTGTTTGATAGTTTCTTATGATCATAATTTTAATCTTATTAATGGAATAAGTGCCTAATCTGCTTTTCCTTTCTAGGTGGTAGCTTGGTGGTAGTATTTAGAGAATTTGGTATGTGGTGTAGATGTGGATTTCATCATTCGCTTTACAGATTAATTTGTACAACTTAATTATTTCTCTAATTCTTTGTTCGACAATATGCTTTGTTAAAGTTTTCGTTATTTTTGCTCTAGATTCTTTCTAAAACTGCTGGTAAGTAATTTAATTTTTATGAAATACAATATAAAAATTAGATTTTAGAAAAGAGAGGAATAACTGTTGTTAATATTGAGAAGTTAACTTAAAATGGTTGATTTTAGTACGAGTAATTTTAGCAATCTTACTGAACTATGTTAAGTAATCAGAGATTTGGTGCAGTAGGAATTGTATAGCTCATTTCATCTTTTTGTTTGAAAGTGATTGTCTGTGATATTTTTACAGTTGTTATGCTGCTTATAAAATAAATGTGAATCTTAACTGTGCAGATCAAATGTACATAAGTTTGATGCGCATATTTAGATTAAACAATGAATTATTCTTATTGGTTTCAACTAACCGATTAAAACTTAATTGAAGCATCGATATGAGCGTGTAGCATATAGAAATTGTGCCTTATTAATTTAAATTATAGCTTATTCTTGCTACATTCATTTTACCAAGCTTGATTAAAGTAATATTTTGTTTACTGAAAGTTAGGTATGTATGCTTTTGGCTAATTAATATTTTCGTTAATAGTGAACCAATTCTTATGACAATTCCGCATTTTTCTTTTGCAGCCGTGTTAAATTTGTAAGGTTTTCACGAGGCGCATATGTCGTTGAATATAATTTTGTGTTTCACTTATCGTTTACTTTTATTCCTTTAATGCAAATATGATATAGATTAGTGAGGAACAGTTAGTAGCGTTTCTAACTTTTTTATTTACTGGTTAAAATAAAACCCCTTTAATAATTTAAGAAAATTGGGTGTGATTGTTAGCTAGACATGGTTAGCACAGAAAATAAAATTGGATTGTTTAAAAATAAGGACGATGATATAGATGGTGAAGAAATGCGAGAATTGCCGCAGAAAAAGTTCTACCGACAAAGGGCTCATGCAAATCCGATTAGTGACCATGAATTCGATTACCCGGTTTTCCCCGAGCAGTAAGTGAACTGTTAATTATTTATGAATTCAACTGATTCATTAAACTTACAATGGAGCATCGATACGAATGTACAGCATACAGAGATTGTGTCGATTCATAAATGTATTTAAGGTGTGAGCTGCAATCAGTAACCAGTTTATTTCTAATTAGTTTGTCTATTATTTGTTAAAATTGTATCTGAACAGATTTCGTTGATGCTCCATTGTAAGTTTCATATTGTCACATATTGTTCACAAAAAATGATAAACTATATTTTGAACTTACTAGTACACTTTCTACTCGCACACTCACTTTTTTAACTTTCACCTCATGTAAGATAAATCTTGTATAAATGAACTGAATTAGTATTATATTGGAAAAATTGCTGTGTGATTATTACTTATAACAGAATGAATAATACCAATATAGTTAAGGATGGACTGGAAGAAATATTTCGGGGATTTCAGTGAAGGACGTCAGGTAGAGTTTGCTGATGTTGGTTGTGGCTATGGTGGTTTGCTGATTAAACTTTCTACTTTATATCCAGAAGCTCTGATGGTTGGATTGGAGATTCGAGTGAAGGTATATAAGTTATTCAAATATGATAGTAAATAAACTGTTCTCCTTGAGTTAGCTGAACAACACTGAGCCATAGTTTTTATAATTTAGTTAACTTTTATCAAGGAGTTAGTTAAAATAGTACTAAAAATTCACGATCCTTGAAAACTGAAATGTTTATAAAAAGTATAAAAATGGTAGGGGCAAAAGGGCAATGACTTGATTAGTTTTTAAGGGAACTTTGCTATTTTTATTGATTCCAACAAAAACAAGGAAGTAAAGTGTTTTACACGGAGTAAATGAGGTGAAATGATTTTATATTTATTGATTTCGTAATGACTGCATTTTTTCAAAAGCAGAAATAATGTTTTCGTTAAAACCACTTTAATTCATAGGTTAGTGACTATGTGCAAGACAAAATTCATGCGCTACGTTTGCGAGAACCAGGGAATTACCGAAATGTCGCATGTCTCCGAACTAATGCAATGAAATATTTACCAAATTATTTCCGTCGACATCAGCTCACAAAGATGTTTTTCTTGTATCCAGATCCACATTTTAAGAAAGCGAAACATAAGTGGCGAATCATTACACCAACTCTACTAGCTGAATATGCTTATGTTTTAAAACCAGGAGGTAACAGCTTCTATACTGAAATTGCGAATGATTATTTTGATTAACTTGTTAATGTGACTTATATGACATGTGACTGCATCCGTTTACTACTTTAAAACACTACATTTGATAATTTACTCAACTTTATTCTACATTTAATATGTTCTGAATGAAGATAGTCCTAACTTAGTGTAGTTCTTATCGATTTGCTCAATTTGCTAATTAATGTTCTCTAATACCTCATAAATCTGGAATAAGAACATGCTAAAATTGCATTTGGTGAAACTCTTAATTTTGTGAGATCGATAACTATAAGTTCATTATTCAGTGACTTTAATTTCATTTAGCAAAACTATTTGTAGTTTGGACTATTGCTAAAAAGTGAAGTTTATTTTTGAGGACTGGTTTACACGATAACGGATGTTGAAGAATTGCACATTTGGATGGTGAGGCATCTCTCTGCTCATCCTTTATTTGAGCGTTTAACAGATTTGGAAATGAAAATGGATCCAGTTGTGGAAATGCTTTATGATAGCACAGAGGAAGGACAAAAAGTAGCGCGTAACGAAGGATCTAAATGGTCTGCTGTATTTAGGCGGTTACCTAACCCTGTCCTGTCGTCATAACAATAATTATTATGTTTGTAAGATGTGTTTTACAATGTATTTCATTTGTGTTAATACGTAATTAATTCTTGAATTGAATTGGCTGATGTTCTATATCTAAAGGAAAGTTATCGGCGCTATGAGTATTTGTGATATTGGTGTGTATTTCTGCGTACAACTCTTTTCTCTTTTACATCCTTGGTAACTTGTTGGATAAATTAGAGATAAGTCGTGGAATATGAAATTGGATTCATAAAACACACTTTAATTTCATATTCTATTGCTGTTACTATAGGTTTCAACTAATTAAAATGACATATCGATGTTGTGATTTTGAAACCTTGACATAAAGATAATTTCACGAAATGAATTTTATCTTCAGTGGTTGAAATATGCTGCACTTCGGTTTACATTTTATATATGCCTCATTTCTCGAAAATGTTAAAAGTTGTTTCTGAATTTATTTTTTGTTGCTAGTTTACAGAATTAATGGACGGAGCTTCTGGATCTATGGGTTACAGTCCCATTCAACAAGCTGGTATGTTTCGTAGTTTCTGATAAGATTTAAAAAAGAAGTCTTTTAGTGCTGATTTGCTAAAGCTGTACAATTTCAATTATATATTCATTTTCCCAAAAATATTTAACTAAAAGTAAATGGTGAATGTTTTGTTTGTTAACAGAGTGCTGCACAGCGAGAAATTGGCTAATTGGGATTGGTACGTTGATTGGGTCTGCGTTGTTTGGATATTATGTTGGTGTGCATCTATCAAAAAAGAAAGCTCGTCTTAACAGTAAAATCAAACTTTTCACTGATAAAGTAATTTCTATGCCCGCATTTTTTTTAAATCAAGTTGTTACAAAATGCAACTGGAATACCAAATAGAACTATTAATGGCTTAACTAGCGAGTGCATTAAAATTGAACAGTTCGAGATAGTAGTATTGATAGCTTCTAAGTTTTTAAAGAAGGATTGCTTATTATGTGGTAGCGTCACGAACGAAGTGACGTAGTCTTTGTGACATGCCATCTAATTTTGATACAAATATAAAATATAAAAAAAAAAAAATACAAAAATGTTCCTATTTAAGGTGGCCGAAACGGTTGATTTAGAAGATATTGGTGAGAAAAAAGTTTTCTGTCGGTGCTGGAAAAGCAACAATGTTAGTTTGCAGTCGATAACTTTTGCTGAATTGAGCATTTAAGCATGGTATATTCACTCCCTGATCACATCATTTAGATAGTAGTGTCCGTCTCAAACTAATTCCATAATTTAACGATGATTTATGAAAAAAAAAAAAAAAAATCACTCCTTGACCTATGATATTTTGGTTATTAGATCGTCTCCGTTTGGAATACAATATATAACATAATTTCTCAAATATTTAGTGATAGTTTCGAACTTCCATCTCAATTTTAATGTGCTCTAATGTTTTCTTTATATAACGGTAAGAAAGGATAGCTTAAAAGAAACTATCACTAAAAAGGACAGTTTTTTTTAAGTGAAATTTGTCTCCTAAAATTTCATAAAAAAATGATCAAATTATTTGTACACTAAGCATACAAAGCATTTTGTGCCATAAATTTTACATGAATAAAAGGTCTTTTTTTAAAAGTACAGTAACGGTTATAGGACTTCATTTTTCATCAGTGACATAAGTTTGTTTTGAAATTTAAAAGGAAAAACGGTTTTTTTAAGGAAGATGGTCTGGTTTCTGTTAATTTCGGCTACCTATCATTAATAACTCCTTAAATTTAATAGTTGCTCCTTTGCTTAATATCAGTGATCCTTTGATTGCTAGTTTATGTTACATATAGCATATAGACTCGATAATCATTTGTTGCATATAGCATTTTTGATGGATGCTTTCTTATAGTGGCCTTACTGTGATGGAAGCCATAACAAACATAATGAAATCACTGGTGATAATGTTGGACCGCTCATTGTGAAGAAGGCCCAAGCATAAGGAAATCCTCAATAATTTCACATTGTTTCAACATATTTCATTCATTATAATTTGTTGTATACACGTTTAGTAATTATTATTAGTAGTAATGTGCATAAAAACGAAATGTTAACTTTTTGCTCTTCAATATTTTGACATCTCTGAAACTAAAGTTCGACTAGATATACATGAAGTGCTACTCATACAATCTCGTACCTTACACACGATACACACATCCAGGTTACGCAAAAATTACATTACGCACCTTTACGTACTTACCACTTGCGCTGGAGTGGCTTGTTATCGATATACGTGCGTTCACGTATCCACAAACTAACCTGAAATGGCTTCAGGACACAACTCGTTTCATAACGACTCCAGAGAAAAGCGCCAAGTGAATGATCAAATTTAAATGATTCGCCTGGGATTGTGAGGGTAGAGAGGGGAAGCGTATCTGTTTACGGTTAGACTCATGGGAATGTACACGTAGTGGAAGTACACGTAAGTAGTACAGAGGGGATGATCGCGTAACATTTGCTATGTGAATCCCAAAAATTGTTTTGCTGAATGTGACTCGATTAAGCTACTGCACTGTTTACATATGATTCTATATGCTGTACTCTTATGATTGCTCTATAATTTGTCTTTGTTCTTCAAAAGGGTATTTTTGCGCTTCCTCGAAATTTTGAAAATATCCTGGTTCTGAGATTCATGAGGATGTTTATGTGACTACCGTTTATTACTTTTTCCTCAGGATTTGGTAATTAAATTAGGTGTCTTTGTATCGAAATTTGGATGGCTCATAATTTCAAATTTTGATGCAAAATTTAGGTCAATCATGAATAGATTGGTAATTTCACGTTTAAATTTATTCGCGCAATACTTTTTGTAATAGCATATAATGGCTCTTAGTGTATTAGTGATGGGTTTAACTATATTCTTTGGGTAGGCCTACTCTCGAGCTTATCATCGCATTCCTCTGTAACTCTTTGTAATGTATTCCGTCAGTTCTGAGGGATTTTCAGTAAGTACAAGATATCAGTTTCCGTTTTGTTATACTTGTTACCTAATCGTGGGTTATTTGACTTTTAATGCTTTTTTGCAGGATTTGATATATACATGAGTGAAGTGAGATTTCAATAAAACTGTTTAATGTAATTGTGCTCATGAAACATGTAGACAATGTTTAAAATACATTGATTGATAAGTGAGGTAATAATGTAATGAGAGTTTGTTGAGGCCTTGTTTCTGTCTGTTTGTTCTTCAGTGCTTTTTTTTTTTTTGAAATAAGTAGAAGGATGTTGAGTTGTTATTGTATGGTTAGTAATCTGTACAGTTTTCAGAAATAAAAATTATTTACTTTTCACGTCTCTTGCAATATAAAGAATGGACTCCGGAGAAATTAGCGCTTTGCAAAATTATAGTCGAGTTGAGAAGATTGGCGAAGGTATTTCTCTAAAATTTCTCATCATAAAATCACTGGAAATGTCCAAATTGATGGAGATTTAGCTACCAGATTTCGGAAAAATTTTCTTTTAAATAATTAACCATATCTACTGTGACAGATGTTGTGGATCGAACGGCATGTTGGTAGCTGTATTGTTTAACTTCTGATTTGTCTGAACTTCTACTTCATTGAATTAGTGCCACTCACTGCAGCTTCTTGCCCTATTAATTTATTTATAGTATATGAAAAATATAAAATTCTTTTCAGTCATGAATCATTCTATGAAAGCAAATCTCTGCAAAGATACGAAGTATTTTTTTGTATTTTCAGGAACATATGGAGTGGTTTACAAAGGCATCGATAAACGATCAGGAAAGATGGTTGCAATGAAGAAGATTCGTTTGGAAAATGAAGATGAAGGAGTTCCAGCAACAGCAATTCGAGAAATTTCATTGCTTCGAGAATTAACTCATCCAAACATTGTTGCGTTGGTTTTTCATTAAGACATATTCTTTGGTCGCTTTGTTTGAAAACTCAGCGAAAAAAGTGAGGAATTAAGTTATATATTTTAACGAATTTATGAATAGGAAGTAATTGTTTCAATACCAGAAATTTACCGGACTCATTATCCGAATATAGTTGAAGTCGATCGAAACTTCGTGTTTTCAGTCTTGAAGAAATCATACTTGAAGAGAATCGGTTATACTTGATTTTTGAATTTCTCTATATGGATTTGAAGAAATACATTGATACAGTTCCTGACAGTGAGTTGATGAACAAAGAATTGGTCAGTGATCTTTTTCCATAAGTGGAAATTCTATGAAGAGGAAGAAAAGTATTTTTTGTAGCAGTGTTTGTGAAATATTTAATAAACTGAACGAGGATAAATCAATTTAATCTAATCAATTTAATTGTTACAGCAAAAATCTTACTTATATCAAATATTGCAAGCTATTTGTTTCTGTCACCAGAGGCGTGTTCTCCATCGTGATTTGAAACCACAGAATTTACTGGTTGATCAAAATGGTGCGATTAAACTTGCAGATTTTGGTCTTGCAAGAGCTATCGGTATTCCAATAAGGGCTTACACTCATGAAGTGATTTTTAGCTTTAATAACCATAAGTGTGCCGTTGAAAATATTCTTCATATTGCATTATATTAAATTATTCTATTCAACAGATTGTCACTCTCTGGTATCGAGCTCCTGAAGTACTTCTTGGCGCAACTCGTTATTCTATGGGAGTCGATATATGGAGCATCGGATGCATAGCTGCTGAGATGGCTACAAAAGTGCCGCTATTTCAGGGCGATTCAGAAATTGATCAGATTTTTCGCATTTTCCGGTTTGTTTCCTGTATTTATGTTGGTTTCTCTTGCTATCTTTTCTGTCTTTTTTTTTCTTTCAGAATAATGTCGACTCCTACTGAAGATATTTGGCATGGAGTTACCCAGCTTCCAGATTTCAAGATGTCATTCCCTCAATGGAAGGAAGATGGTTTGCGCAAAATTCTTGACCCTTATATGGATCCTGAAGCCATTAAGATTTTGCGTGTAAGGATTAATTCATTGGAATTTTAACATTTGAATTTTTAATAATTTATTCTAGATGAAGATCACTTTGAATTTTTATACTTACTGTATGTTCTTAATAGGACATGCTTATTTACGATCCGGCACAACGAATCTCAGCGAAACAGCTACTGAAGAATCCATATTTTGATGATGTTGATCGAAAAAAACTTCCAGCTGGCAATTATGATGGGACGTTGGTTTTACCTCCTCGATATATCTGATTTAAACTTAACTTTTTTTGCTGCTTAAAACTGACTGTGCTTTCCGCTTATTCTATTCATCCTTGATCATTACTGTTCCATAAAGCATAACAGTGTAGTGTTATTGACAAATGTTAATTGGATTCAAATAGCCTTGTATTTACTCAAAGTTCTCATTTATGTGAAGGAAAAATGGTTGCAGTAAGTGTCCTTCATGCATGTATTTTTAATTTTTCTTCAACAAGTACAAGTACAAATTATTGTCTTTTTCTTCTTAGAATAGAATAAACAGATTTCTTTGAATTATCTTTTTTTCACTTGTTCATGGAATAGTTGTGTATCACAGACTGTTATTAGAAATAGCAGAACAGTCAGGTATCATATTTTATGTGTAGAGAAAACTACTTTTCAGAAGAATCTCTTACCAAAGTCTACGAAGTTCATAAAACATTTTAATCATAGATTTGCTCACATTAAGCAGTATATCAGGAATAACACAATAAAATGCAGCTGTAAAAAAGTGGTGCCTGTTCATTGTGAATCATGAGGGAATGAGATTAGATGTTGATATTGATATTTTTAGTATAAGTCTAAGCAGTAAATAGCTTTAAATTTTCATCCTGTCTTCTCGTTTTAGCGAATATTTATACAAACGATAGCATATTTTGGATCTATATTAGGCAGTTCTAAATCTCTCAAAACAGTTACTAATGGCATATTTGCGCTAGTTCCGCTACATTCCTTTGTTTCGTTATTAGAATATTCAAAATGTAATAGAAGGGTTTGCATCAATCCCGATATTGGGAGGATATTATTGCTTGTCTTTGATTGTTATGATGCAAAATGCTTGTCACTCGAGACATTCAGCACTGATCTTTCTATGAAGAATGAGTATGGCACTAGCAAATTCATAACTAGTAAAGAAATAAGATAGATCTTTGAGATCTACCAGTTTTGCAGGCAGTTGAACATAGAAGGTGATCTTTACATAAAGATGATCTTTCCTTTATGCTTATGATTCTGGTATATGTGGTTAGTTTGGAACAAACATTAGTTCACTCAAACATTCCATCATTTAAGCATGTTAAACTTAAAGGAACCACTTAATTGAAAAAGCTACAAATGAGACTGACATAGGGTTGTTTTATCCATATGCAATATTCTAATTCATTTCATATATTACAATCAGGGTGAGATTTCTTAGGAATGAGCTGATTAATTCTAGTGGGAAGAAGAAGATCGAAGAGATGGGATGACAGTTCTAAGAAAAATATGTAGTTATCCATAAAACAGCTGTGTTTATCTTTCAAGGCTGTCTTAATACTGTAAAGTTTTCTATCCATTACTGTAATAATTGACTGATTCCTCAATTAATAAATTTGAAAGTCTTATCATTTATTAAATTCACTACATTGAGTGATTTGTTTCAATTTTAAATTCAGACTGAAATGTATGTTTAGAGGAGGAATCATTTGCAAGTATATTATTTGGATATGACTACTTCAGAAGACGGTTTACAATATTATTCTTTGATAGAGCATATTGGTGAAGGTGATTTTTCTCTTTAATTCATCATTATTGCTTATGTATTTCAACTTATTTCGATTATTATAATGTAATATACGATTGTAGCTTCTCCAGAGTCATCTTAAATAGTTAATTAGGAATCGCATATTTTGCTAGATATTTTATTTTTATCGAATTATAAAATTGTTCTAACATGCATATATATATGCAGAATTAATTCGAAAAACATTAATTAATTGAGGTAGTTTCGGCATGGTTTACAAAGCAGCTGACATTCGAACCGGAAAACTTGTTGCTTTGAAACGCCTTTGTTTCGATACAACTCCCGACGGTATGCTTAAACCTGCTGTTATACGTGAAATATCAGTTATGAGAGAATTGGATCATCCAAATATTGTACGGTTAGTGAGCAGAATTTAGCAATTTCTATTAATTAATTAAAGATTGAAATCCAAAGCAATTTTGTTTTGTTATGTATCGAAAACGTTTACTAGTGTACTTCTTTTTAGCATTAGCATTTTTACTTGTATGTTTTCAGGCTTGAAGAAGTAATTTTTGATGAAACAAACGTACATTTGGCTTTTGAATTCTTGTATATCGATTTGTTGAAATACATAAAACAGCTACCACAAAATATCTTTATGGAACGATGGCTTGTAATCTTCTATGTCTCAATATCACCACTTCATTTCTCACATAATTAAATTTTAATATTAATTCTCCAACAAATCTTATCAACGACAATCTAATTAGAAAAGCAGCTGGTTCTTTACCTGACATTATGGATTTCATTTAAAGGCTTAATAAGGGCTTGGCTCTATTGTTCATCATGCAGTTCCAGCCGTCCCAATAAATTCACTAAAATATTCAAATGATCATCTTATTATCAATAGCGAGAAAAATTTGATGTAATACTGCTGACTGCATTTTGAAGTTTATAGATATGCAGTATAGTTCCATGTACATTTATGTATATTATATTCAAGCACATTGCATTGATAGGAAAAAGGGAAAAAAAAAAATGAAATGCTAGTTAGAACCCCTTAAGTTACTAAAAACTTTTAATTACTAAACCAATAGTGAGCAGTATAATACATAAGATTTAAGTTAGTAATATGTAATTAATATCCCAGAATGCAAATTAATGCATTTTAGCAGAAATCATTTCAATATCAAATCCTTCAAGGAATGTGCTATTGTCATCAACGAGCCATTTTACATCGTGATATGAAACCATCAAATCTCTTACTCAATACTTATGGCGCTATCAAAATTGCTGATTTTGGTTTAGCAAGAGAATTTGGTATGCCAACACGTGCCTATACAAATAGAGTTGGTTATATCTAACCTTATGATTAATTTTTATTTCAATTTTAACTGATTTACGTAAAAACGTGAATTTTAGAAAAGTATTACAAGGGGAATGTATAATCAAGTATAGCAGTAAACTTATACTTTTGATAAATATTCGAGAATATTTGATAAAACATTTGATAGAATACTTCAAGACTTGATACCTTCATTAATTATCATTTCTTTTGCAATATTATTGCTTTGCATAGAATATTGCTTATTCTGATTTATTGAATATATCTAAAATTAAGATAGTAACGCTATCGTATAGAGCACCTGAACTACTTCTTGGAACAGTTCGATACTCACCGGCAATCGATATGTGGAGTATTGGATGTATATTTGCTGAAATGGCTACGAAAGATGTTCTATTTCCTGGACATTCACAAACGAGCCAGCTAAGAGAAATATTTTCGTTCGTTTCTTTTCTGTTACTAAATAAATAAAATAATAAAGATATAGCATTTTGTAATATGCCATATTTATTACCTGTGCTTTAGAATTTCGAAACTTCAAAAAACTTTAATTTTCGTGAAATTATTGAGTAAAAAAGTTCTTATTGCACTATTTTATATTGTTTGCATAGCATAATATAATTTATAACTCCTTATCAGACGACTGAAAACGCCTACAGAAGAGATCTGGAAAGGAGTATCAGAACTACCATTTTATTCAACTATTGTATTTCCTCGTTATGAATATGATCATCTTGATAATTTGCTCAGCTCGTACGTGGATCCTATCGGTATCGCCATAATTCGAGTTTGTTTAATAGCTCATTTAAAGAAGTTTTTTATGCTCCTTAAGTTCAGTTGTTATTTGTTTTGTAAGAACTATTTCTACAATTTGTCATTAAAATTTACATTATGAAAATGATGAGAATTGATGTGATATTGTATTTGGCATAATTGTCATTATTAAAGTTAACTTTAAAACAAAAAATGTCGAAATGCAGGAAAAGTAGGTGAAGTTATGTCCACTATTAACATTCAACAGTATATGCTTTTCTTATACTTTTAGCTGTTACTTACGTACGATCCAGGCAAGCGTATATCAGCTAAACAACTCCTCAAACATCCCTATTATTCTGATGTGGATCGTTCAAAATTACCAGATCCTAACTATGATGGTGCATTACGAACACCACCTAGATCTTGGATTGCAAATCTCACAGCAGAGAAATATCCAAGTAGTAGTAAGTAATATGTAAAGAAATGATTTGTGTGTACCATTTTAACTTTATACATGAAATATTGTTTGCTGAAGAAGTCATTTAAACTGAGATATATTAATATGACATGATCTAGCAGTATTGAAAGATATGAAAATTTGGAGGAAATGAAATCATTTCCTTGAATACGATTATTAATCATTGTATCATTTTATCTTTGTTATTCATTCTACTGTCATCTTACTCTTCATTCTGTTTGATATTTTCATTTCGATTGGAATAAATTATTTTTCTTGAAATGGAATGCTTTGAAAATTTTACAAAATGCAATGATTGACGTGCATGCAACACATAATTCATTGCAATGTACCACTACTCTCTTACAACGATCATTTCAAACTGCTTGTGCTCTTCAATTATACGAAAACATTATGTTTGATTTTCTCACCTTAAGAATATAATACTTCTTCTCACTAATGAGTGCATTCTCTTCACTTCACAATCACTTACCTATAACTGTCATCTGTCATCTAACTGCACAAAACTCTCTCCTTGTTGAAATGTTATCGATAAATAGAAGCAATGTCCTACGGGTAAGGTAACTCATTCACCGCCACATTTTACAGTTTTACCTTCCTCTTTTTGCTGTCACTTTGAGCATCGACGAGACACACAGATTATTGCGCCACAGTCATACATACCTACATATAATATCTGCTGTGTATGTCTATGTATGCGTGTATGTGTATGTTATGTGTATGTGTGCGTGTATGTGTGCGTGTATGTGTGTATACAAGCGCATTCTCTCTATTACACTGACATCGCAGATTTTTGTTTGTATGATTTGCTTTTTTACTCTTCCGTCCATTATCAAAACGAACCGATAAGCTATTTTTTCTAAAGTTATTTTATTAAATTCTATGAGAAATTTCATTACATTCACATTTAATTCTCATTATTTGAGTATTTTTTAAGAATTAAATAATTTCTCAAACGATAAATTACTTTAATTTATTCCTCTTCAATACTACAATTTACATTCATACTCTCCCACTTACCTTTTACTTTACTTTATTTCATAGCATACTCAATTAGCATTAAACAATAAGATATTTATTATTTAAATGGATTTTTCCGCATATTTTAAGTTGATTTTCAAAAACTATTTAGAGCACTCATTATTGCATCTTATTTTGAATGCTTAGTTATTATCAGTTGGGAAGTATTGATTGATCTTTGGTGATATTTATATTTTGAATGCTTAGTTATTATCAGTTGGGAAGTATTGATTGATCTTTGGTGATATTTATATTTTGAATGCTTAGTTATTATCAGTTGGGAAGTATTGATTGATCTTTGGTGATATTTATATTTTGAATGCTTAGTTATTATCAGTTGGGAAGTATTGATTGATCTTTGGTGATATTTATATTTTGAATGCTTAGTTATTATCAGTTGGGAAGTATTGATTGATCTTTGGTGATATTTATATTTTGAATGCTTAGTTATTATCAGTTGGGAAGTATTGATTGATCTTTGGTGATATTTATTGATGTCTTTGTTGACAGTTTTACATGATCAAATAATGATGATTCATGCTGAGTGCATAATGAATTATTCTATTAATCATCACTGTTCCAATTAGTAAACAAATTGGTTAATCGATTAAAGATTTTGCTTTGATCATTTTTTGATCGCACATTAAATTTTAATCAAAACTGATTTATTTCAACATTTCATTTATCGCCTATTCGAAAGCTTATTTAAATATCTGTAATAAAAAGTTAGATGTAAGTTTTGTAAGAAAAGAAAAAACAGTACATTTTATACATATTAAATTTCTTCATCTAATTCAAATAATCTTTTGTTAATTTTTTTTATTTAAAAAAAAATAATCAATTGCTATGATTAATGCTATCGAATAACTTTATCTTATATCATCATATCAATCATCTTCTCCTATTAATTGGAATTATTTTTGGAATATTCAAAAATTACATAATGTAAAAATTATTGAAAACATTTCGAGATTTATCTGTCACATTGTTTATCATCTAACTTTCATGTAATTCTGGAAGTTATTAACTCAATGTCCTTCAACTCAATTGCTCTAAAAAAAACAAAAAAAAAAAAAAAAGAATTGATTCATTCATTTTGCGCTCACCTCTTATTTCATCGCCTTTCTCTTCATCTCTTTCTTGCTTATTTTGTGACACTGCTATTGTCACCCGTTAGTTAGAACTATTCCTATTCAATTGATCATTGCATTTATAGTACTTAAATTGACTATTGAATAATTAAAAATTATTTATTATTATATTTATTTATTAAAATTATTTGTTTATAATTAAAAATTATTTATTATTTTATTTTATTAAAATTATTTATTATTATATTTATTTATTAAAATTATTTATAAAAATTATTTATTTATTAAAATTATTTATTTATTATTATTATAGTTCAGTATTTTAATACATTTTCAATAATTTCTTCCTTGTTTTTATGTATCATAAAATATTAGAATAACTATGTTTTATTCGCTTTAATTTCTTTTTTCAGATTTACATTTTACATGTTATTTAAAATCCACTTGTGTTAGTGTTAGATATATATATATATATTTTTTTTTAAATCTGAAGATAATTTTCTTGAAATATAAAAAAAAATTGTTTTGTGATAAAAGTTTTTGCTAAAGATAAAATAACTGTATGCTTAATCATTAATATCTTATGGTATCTAAATGAGAGATAGTTGCAATTATTGAAATTTTTTCATGATATTGTATGATATTTATATATGTTATAAACATTTTTTTGTTCTCTAACTAATAGTTAAAACTTGAATATTTACTTTCTATTAATAAAATATAAAACTTTTGCATGTATCTTCTGCCAAAAACGTTTGCTAAAATCAAAAAAGAAGATAAAAAGTTGTTAATTTAATAATTTCATTTTGATTCATTTTCAGGAAAAAGTATTGCTAATGATTGCAAATGTATTTCAACGAATGCTAAAATCTCCACAGCTTACCTGTTGCTGTTTTGTTAATAATATTCGCTACGTTGTTTTGATATTATTAATTGCTTGTTTAAGTATTTTATTCGCCAATATTATTCTCTACAGTATTGCTGTAATATATGATGATTATCAGGTAAGTTATTTTATTACTGCTTTCATTTTTCTCATTACTTTATTCATAGTTAAAATTATTCTTTCATTTATTTCACTTTGATAGATGAACTATTTGTTAGAGATTAGTGTGAAGTTTGATTTCTAGTAGCAAACAAATTGTTATCGTATCAAATTGTTAAGTTGCTTACTTATAGTTTAATAACTTATTGACTTGAAGAATGTAAAATTAATACTTGAATTCATCATCTATAAAGAAGAAGTTTAATTTTAATTGATAAATTTACAATATCTTATTCTCAGGTTGAGTGATATATAGAACAATGTGGGTTTTCATCACAAAAAAAAAAGAAAGTTTTCATCAAAAATTGAATTCCTAAATGATAATTTTTGTTACTTCATTAATAATCTTCCAGTTATATTAAAAAAGTTTCACTTTATAGAATTTCCACTTTCAAGCAAAATTTTGGGCAGCTTTAAATTTTAGAACAAAATAACTTAAAGCAAGTCTTCTTTTATTTTCAGTTGATCAATTTTTCATAATTCTGTTTTATTACTTTTATTTTCAAAAAGTTAATGAAAAGTTAACACTATTAGTGATAGCTCAAAATTATAATCTTATCATGAAGTAGTTTAATTTGTTTGATTATTTTATGAGAAATATAAAACCATTCACTAATTCACATTTTACAGAATACTCAATTATGGAGGCAAGTGCATTTGACAGAGCTAACTTCTACAGGAAAAAGTATTTCCTATTTTTTTTTTTTTCATAATCAGTGCCAAAATTAATTTGAAGGATTTTTATGATATTTTGAGAAATATGCCAGATTATATTGAATTAAATAGCTGAGATGATAATATAATGATAACTTTTCAGAGCGATTTTTGCGAAGCGTTGTTAACAATGACAGTTTGGAAAACTCAGATATAAAGAGCAGACATTTAATGGAAATATTGGAAAGAGTAAATTTCAATTTCAATGAAACTGTTGAGTCGTATGGAAGTGATTTTTTAATCATAATGCTCATAAAACTTCAGTAGAACTCTCGAATTGTGCATTTTTTTAAGAAGCATATATTTCCAAAAAAAAAAAAAAAGAAGTTATTATATTGTCTTCATTTTCTCGGATTTAATATTATAGTTTCAAATATTCTTTTCTAGCAAGCAATGTAACAATACTCGCTCATGGGAATTTATTTTCAGATACAAATGTAAATGATGAAAAAACAACATCATTAAGGTGAAATAATTGTATATCTTTATGGAAAAGTTATTAGAAACTGAAAATTTTTGAGTTTCTTCAGATTGAATTAAGCCAACAGTTTGTTTTTACAACTTTTCTTCTAGGCCAATTGGTGCGGATCTTTCAATCTTTCGTAAGCAAGAAGGTAGTGAACGTAAGTTTCTAGCTCACTTTGTTTTTATTCACAGCATTTATTGAACAATTCATTCGAAATATTTACACACTAAAAAAATCCATGTTATAGTTTAAAAAGTTCTTATTTTTATAAAAAAGTTTTTCTGCTTTTTGAATAGTTTTTTCTTTTTTTTTTACTTCTAGAGCTGACTTATAAAAATGGCTTACAACTTGATAAGGACAGACAGTGGGATGACAATTTGAAAGATGGTAACGAAAAATCGAGACAGCAAATTGAAATGTTAGCTACTTCTAGTTCAAAAAAATTTGATACCATAATGTTAGCAGCTTTTCCCAGCTTTTACAATCCAATTAATCTGGTAAGTAAGTGATTAATAAGTATTTTGACGGCTAATGCTCTGAACTAATTTCAGTTCATTTCTGACTTATGAATATTAGAATTCTTTGAATGAAGTAATAACTACTTAAATGGCTTATAACATTGATGAAGATAGACTGTGGGGTGAAATTTTGAAAGATAGTGGCAAAAAATCGAAACAGTAAATTGAAATATTTTCACAATGAATATTCTTTACTTAAAAATTTTTTTAACAGTGTAATTCTCTACTTAATTATCAAATTTGAGAACAACTAAACTTTTATGAATAAATTCATTATAAATATATTTTAAGAGAAAGTATTGCACATCGAACACCGGAGAAGAGAATGCAACACTTTTTGATTTGGACTGCTCCAGGTATTGGAATGTTTTGTGGATCTTTCTCTATTTCTTGGTTTCTTCGGTCATTTGGTGGTCGTCGGTTTTTTGCATTTATGATGATGGTATCAGCTGCAGCAACTGCCTTACTTGTCGTGACACCTCAAATTAAATACGGTAATTGTACATTTGTTGTATTTATTTTTATGAAATTTATGTTTTGGTCAACATTTATAGCTGTTCAAAAATTGTTTTTTTTTTTTTTATCTCAAGATTTTTTTTATGATTTAGGCCGATATTTAACAGCTTGCATGCGATTTATCCAGGGTTTAGTTTTTGCCAGCGTTTATCCGATAATCGGTTTAGTGATAGCAAATTGGGGAACTCTCAAACAGCAATTTCTATTTTTGGTTTGTTGTACATCTTTCATTCAGGTAATTTTTTTTTTTTTTTTAGATTTTAATGAACTTCATCTTTTGGAAATATTTAAAATATTTTTTTTTGAAAGCAATTATGAGGGGCATGATAAGAGATATTTAATATATCTCTTATTATGGAAAAGTTTTAATAATACGAAACGATAACTGAGTTATAGTCTAGTTTTGGACTAAGAGCGACTTTGTGAGTTAGTTAACTAAACGAATATTTTTGAGTGCTGAAATTTGAGCAGTTTTCATGGCTACTCATTTATGTCTGAACCGAGCTATCATAGGAGAGAGGCTGTGGTCTCTAACCGAGTAGCTCTTCTCATAGCAATAAATAAATGTGATAATGTATATCCAAAATATAAGTAATAAACATTAAATTTATTGAGATGATTTTCTCTAAGGATGAACATATAATGTTGTTTTTGTAATTTGTAGCTAGCACCTTTAATTAGTTGGCCAATTTCATCTTTTATATTCGCTCACGATTGCCGAGCACCATTTTTGGTACATGCAGCGTTGACTTGTTTACTAGCATTTGTCTGGCTGGTTATTTTTCGAGAAAAACCACAATATCATTCCTCAGTGAATGGATTGGAACTGAACAAAATTGTGGCCGGAAAAATTAAGGTTTATATTGCATACATTATAGAATTTATTCCTTATTCGTTTTTCAATGACTGAGAGGCTTCTATAGTATTCGAAAGACATTCAGATCTATTAAATAATTTCTTGGTAAGAAAAATGAATTTTTAAAAAAATGGTAATTACAATTTATTATGAGTGCTTTTACTTTATGCTTTACTATGTGAAGTAAAGCTTATATTCTATTTGTCATTCAAAATTTATCATTTTCTATAGGCTGAACACAACCGAATTATGGCGGAGAATCCGTGTCGACCGTTGATTATGTCATTTCCGGTTTGGGCCATTTGGATTGCTGCTTGCGGTTATTTTCTTGTTGTATCGGTTGCTGTTCAGTTCTTACCCTTGTACTGCCTGCTGATTATTCGTGAAACTCGCACTGATATCGCACTACTGGCTGCTATTCCTTTCTTGTTTATGGTATAAGATTCTTTTTTTTTGTTGATATGATAAACAAGCAAGTGATTTCATTAATTATGTTAGCTAATTATATCATTTGATTGAAGAGAATAATGAACTTTGCTAAAATTGCTTCTTCTAATTATAAACTGATAAGTAATATTTGATAATTTAGTGTTTGCTTTTCATTCCAGTTTATAATGACAGAGCTTCACTGGCTGTGGTATCGTTTAGCGAAACATTTTAGTGACAGAATATCAATACTAACATTCAACACTATCTCTTTTGTTATTTGTTCATTGATTTTTATTTTTCTCGCAATATTTCCTCCTGGCGGAGTATTTCATGACAGGTAATTTTGTTTAGTTTAATATTTCACTATACATCTTCCTTAAATAGCTTCTATTTGATTGCAAAATCAAGACTCAATTCTAATAACAGCATAGCTGGAAGAATTTGCTAATAATATGTTTTGAATATATGATTGTAACTTAACATTTAGGAATTTTATTTTACTAAGGTTCTGCTAACGAAATTCAGATAAATTAATGGTGCGCGTAGACAGTAATATATCTTTATAGCTTATGGCCATATCATTTTTTAGTAAAAAATTGCTACCTATTTTATCTTTTCTATGTAATATCTCAACTCTATAATTTCAGTGTCGTGGCGGCATTCACTTTCATCCTATGCATTTTAACATTATCTCTTTACGGGTTTTATCGTAGTGCGATATTAGTGGGCCGTTTTTTTGGGCAATTTATTATTTCCTATATTCGGTTTTTTACTGGTTTTGCATTTTTCTTTACAGCTGCAGCTGTTGTTTTCTTTGTGGAAGAATAGTTAGTTTTTTAAGTTTAAATATAAGCTGAATTACTGATATTGATTTTTTGATAAATATGGCGATACTTCGAGGATAGGTCCACCATTATTATGAAGTTCTATGAAAATATGTTCTCGTTTAATTTGATTTTTTAATTTCGTAATTAATATTTAGCAAATGAGCAGGGAATAGTAAGATGATTTGTTCTTTAAAATAGTAAGATAAGTTTGCTAGTTTTATGAATTTTGAGCAGAAAATTGTCCTTTGTTTAGTTTTTTTTTTTTTTTTTTAATTTTTTTTTTCAGTAATGCTGATGAGTGGCGAGTAATCTTTTTGATGTTAGCAGCTCTTCTCTTGATTTCTGCTGCCGTGTTTGGAATATTTGGAAGTGCATTACCTGAAGAATGGTCAAAGGATAGTTGGGATCCATCAGTTGCACGTCCAATGATTACATTTGATCAAATTGATTATCATGCAGATGAATGTGGCGTTTTAGAAATGAGAATTTTAAGATAATTTGTTATCATTTCTGTGTTACTCTGTACATAATGTAAAAAATGACAACAATAAATGTTCCATTTTAGTTTTCTTTTCGTCTACTCAAATTTCAATAAATTGAATATGTATGTGACGTACGAAATTCAATCCATTGAAAAAAAAAAAGAAAAGGAAAAAAAAGAAAGTTTGTTAATACTCTTTATAAATTCTTTTCAAAGTATTAACAAAGGAATAAAATATCATTATTATTAGGAAAATTTTTGAATTCTTTTTAAAATGTTAACAAAGTTAAAAATAAAAAAAAAAAAAAAAAAACACAAATGTTGCAAGTTAATTATTATTATTATTATTAGGAAAATGAAATATACATGGCGGTCGATTGTTGCTACTACATTATTCAGTTATATTACTCCGGTTTATACAGAAGTACCAGTAGTTCCGATCAATTTTACAGCTATTCTTATTGAAATAGTCAATAAATTTCAATTACGAGGTTAACAACTATGTAGTGTTTATTGAAAAGATATATCTGTTATAAGTAAAAAAAAATGTGAGAGTAAGAATTATTTGTAGAAAATTATCCGTTTTTGCATCCGGAAAAGATAAAAGATGATTAAGTGAATTTCAGGACGGTTGTTTGCTTTACATATTTCATATATTGTATTGGGATTATTATCAGTTTTATTTATGTTTGGTTTATCAATCGTACTACTCTCTGAACATCAATTGTGTAAGCATGTAATTTCAAAATATTTTAACCATAAATTTTCCTATTTCTCAAAACATTATCATCGATGATTACTTGTTCCATTGATCATTTATGATCGATTAATTAAATTATCAGTGAAAGTAATTAAATGTTGACTTTCTGAACAAATTGTATTGTTTCATAAATTCAAACATAATAAGATTTATTATCTACCATTTAAATTTTAGGCAAAAAGAAAGAGGAAGAAGATGCAAAAACGATGGAACTTGTACCACACGATATTTTTGAAGTACATTATCCAAAAATATTTAGTACAAGCAATCATCATCAATTTCAATATTTAAATGAAAAAAACAATGAATGTCATAAAAGAGAGAAACAATGTTGCAACTGTTTTATCAACAATAATAAATTATATTTGTTAAATCTCTTTCATACAATGTGAACAGTTAATTTCAATTTTATTTTTTTTTTTTTGAAAATTTTACAATTTTAACAAAATATATGACATTCTCGAATTGTCACACTTCTTCCCTAAAAGATCATTTAACAATATTATTTAGTGTCTTTTTTTTTTTCCTTCTCTCTCTCTCTCTCTCCCTTCTAAACAATAATATTTCATGTATATTTCAGAAACGATCAAGTTCATCAATGTCACAAACCGGACAAAGTCAATAAATTTATTATATATTTTTGATTGAAATTAATTTTTAAAAATTTTTTACTGGATCAAAACATTCCTTTAAAATTTTCTTGCTTATGAGAGAAAAATAAGCTTACAATAATGCTAGATGATATCATTCATTGTATATTTGTGATTTGTCTCTTTCCTTCATATTACCTTTAATTTAAGGAAAATATTAACTTTTGTGACATTGAAATGCCCTTTGAGTAGTATATTTGATTTTGTTTCAACTTGTTTTAAATTCAAAATTTGGATATTAGAGAGGAAAATTTTGCAATTTTCAAACCTTATATATCAGAATTAATGCATAGTTGAAAGCTATAAAACATTTACAAAGAGTGAGAGAGAGAGAGAGAAGAAGAGAGAGGGAGAAGAAAGAGAAAACTTAGGAGTTATATAAAAAAAAAAAAAAAAGTAAAAATGAAAAAGTTACATTCTAAAAAACATCTCCCATAATTTATTCCGATTTTGCTGATTGCAGTTTTATCATTTATTCCTTGTTTTACTTCAATTGTTAAATAATGAAGAAAAAAAAAAAACATTTTCTTCGCTTTTTATTTTTTGGAATTTAACTAACGATGTAATTTGATGGAAACTTTTAAGTACTTCAAATTTGACCTTCCATATATTTCATGAATTTTTTTCTTTTGATCTATCACAAACATCTCTTTCTACTTTTCGAATTTAGATCTTTTTTAAATTTTAAAAGAATGGCTTTTCATGATGAATGAAAGAATGTGAAGAGAGATTTATCCCAATCTTTGTTTTCCTTTTTCCTTTTTTTCAAAGATTTGTTATATCTGCTGCATTTATATGTTAATGATTGATTTATGAAGTATTTATTAAACAATAAAATTGCACAAAATAGCATTCAAATTTCTAACTGTTAAACTTTAAACTTTAACAGTTAGTGCAAACCTCCAAATGTTATGTCATTCACTTCCACAAACTTTCAACTTTTGAATAACAATTGAAATTATAGCTCTTGAAGTGATTTCATTCTTAATTGGTGCTTAATTTGGTAGTCCTAGCAAAATTCATTTAAGCCATACTACAAAAGCAATATCAAAATCCTTCTGATGTTGACATTTTTCCTAAGATCATTTGCAAAGTTGACAGAAAAGAATTTTACTTCCTATGAATTACTAAAGTAGCAAATTATACTATTTCATCATAAAAGCTAGCAATGAGCTTCAATTTTAAGATGTTTAATAATTTACGGATTAGATTTCCGGTGCAAACAATGAAACATTACTTTTTTATACTTGAAAATATTCATTTTAGAAATTAAACATTTCAAAGACTGCGCCACTACAGTTACTTAATGGAAAAAAGGAAGAGAACTCATCAAAATTTCGTTGACAACAGCAAAGCAAATAATGGCTCATAGTTAGCCAAGAATTTTAAATTCATTAACTGTGGTAAGAAAACAAATTGATTAGCTTATTATCTTCTAATTTACGTAAAACTAAATAAAAGTAACAAATAAAACTTATGGTTAAGAGGGAAATTTCATTTAATCTATATATTTCCATTATTTCTTCGATTCTATTAACTAATTTATTAGTTTATTAATTTCTTTTAGTGATTCAATGTTTTTTTTTTTTTTTCCCTCTTTTACACAAACTATAACACCAATTATCGTAGTAAAAGTAATCTCACGTAGAAAATATTTATCAAAACTTCAATATGAGTACTCATTTCATATCAAATTATAATGAATTTTAATTAGTATTATGTTTTTTTAATTGACACTAGTCGTTCAAACTGATAGCAATAAATATGTATTAGTATTAAGGTAATGATTAATAATTTATGTCTAATATATCTGTGTTTAAGAAGTTATCCATTTAACTTTATGAAAATATATTCTTGCTAAAATATGGAATAAAAGTGAATGGAAATTGATATTAACTTCATTCTCGCCTAATTACTTCATGAATTCGTTGTAAACATATAAAGTAATTAACTAAATGTAATCCTTTTTACTCTACAACTTTAAAAATTTTCTCTTAATGATAATTCTTCCCAAAGTATACGGTTTTTTTTTTTTATTTAATATCAGATAGAAATAGATTTAAAATGTAAACAGGTGAATAATACTTTTCCATTTCATAAAGAATGAAACAATTTCATTGCATCATTTCTCGACAAATACATCATTGTTAGATTCTCGAAGCAAATTTTAACAGATTTGCAATTGAAATAAGCACGAAGAAAGTTCTTCGTTGTTCAGTTCAACTTGCATTATTCAATGCTTTTATTAGAGACTAAGAACTATTTATTTGCATCTATTATGACAAACATCAATGATGATGCTGCATTGCAGCGTTCATTTTCCGTTTTAGAAATTTTTCTAAAACTAATTTTTTTTCTTTACTTTCTTTTCTTGCTTATCTCATCATGTTAAGAGGAACAGAGAGAGAGAGAGAGAGAGAGAGAGAGAGAGAGAGAGAGGGAGAGAGAGAGAGGGAAAGAGGGACGGAGAGAGATCAATTTGTTAGAAACTTCAAAACTTCAACTTTCTTTTTTTCACAAAGCAAAAACTAGCAAATCTTTACTTCCTAATTGCTGTGCAATTTCATTTCATTCTTATGCATTAGAAATAGTTAAATTGATGATCATTTCATGTTTGCTTCGTAATTATTCTATCATTCGAATAAATTCTCAAACTTAAATCAAACTTGCTCATAACATTTGCTTTCATATTTAACACTACATTATCAATCATATCAATCAAATAACTTGCTTAAATTATATATTATATCTGTTTCATAAGAAGTGTGAAAAAACACAGTGGACTTTTAGAAATTTAGGATAGTGTAATGAAAAGTTTATAAGAAAACTTTTGAAGAAAAAAAATAATTGAAACATATTCAGTGCATAGTTCAAACTCTTACCTCTCGCAGTAATCATTTTCAGATATCTTAAATTAAAATGTTTCACATCCACTCTTTTCTTCAATCACTATGCGAGACCAGATTTATTCATTTCGTTGCTTGAAAAATGGTTTTGATAAATCGATTGAAACGATTGCTATGAAAAAGAGTAATTATGAAAGTATGCATAGTTTAGATTACATGAATGTACCTTATTTAATGAATTAATAAAATTAAGGACCTATTTCTGTTATGTTATCGAATGATACTGTCATTCCAATGCTATTCATTTTCAAAGCTTAACCAACAAAGATTTTTATAATTCATGAATAATTCTTTTGTCTTTTTACAGAAGATTAATTATAGTTTAAGAGTTGAAACAAAACTTCCTTATTTACTTTGGATAAAAAATCTCTTCTTTGAATTAGCATTCTGAAACTGTTGTTGAAATGTTCAAAAATTGTAGCCGAAAATATGAATGTATTTGAGGAATGAAGTAATTGTTGAAAATAGGCAGCACAATCCCTTTTGCATTGTGGGAAATTTCAAGAGGAAATATTCGTCATCCTTAAATGTCATCAGTAAAGAATTATAAAAATCTTTTTTGGTCAAACTTTGAAAATGCAACTATTCTTTCCAGTTAAATCAATATCAATTCCCTGAACAGATTTGTAGCTGAGCAGAAATAAAAAAAAAAAAAAAAAAAAAAAAAGAAGTTGAAAACTAAATTGAAAACTGAAATAAAACAAAAGTGAAACATATAAAAATATTGATAGTAATCTAGAATATAAACAGATTCCTTTCTCATAAAACTAATTAAAGATGTTTCCCAATGTATGTTAACTTTTAGATATTTTCTAAGGTACCTTCCGATAATTTAGAATTGCTGTATTCTCATTTGTACTGACAACTCTCATATTCCACACCATTTTTCGTAAGTCAAAAATGAACTTGTGAAGGACAGTCGAATAAGTCCTATTTTCTTGACTGGTTAGACGACAAATATCATTTGCTAATTGATCATATATATTCTTTCCACTGCTTTTACTACTTTCAAGCTTCCGAATAAAATAAAAATGAAATTCTCTCGAGAAATATTCATTTTTCCCAACACAATAATTAAGAGATATCAAAAAAAACAAGGTTTGCAAATTTAACAATAAGTCATAAAAGTTATAATTAAACTAAACAAACAACTGTTTGAATCTTTCTTTTTTCTTTTCCTTTTTGTTTAGATAGGCTTTTTTCATTCTCAGATGTCAAATTTCTCCCTTTTCTTGGATAATTCACTACAAGAAACCTTGGCATTTCAATAAATATTTCAAATGAAAAGATTTTTAAACGTAAACTTTGAGAAATAGAGAATTCCCATTTATTATTTATGGAAAATAACAAACATCTAAGCTGACGTACGTCATAATCACTCCACGTCACTTCCACTCTCTCAGCCTCACACATCCTAAAAAATCAGCAAAACACTTCTGCAACTCATCCCTCCCACTCGCAAGCATGTTATTTCAGTTCTCGTAGCATGCAACGAACATGCGACTTGGCATTGTCTGATGGTAGTTAGAGATGCAAGGATCTCAGAGAGTATGATGGAACAGTTAGAGTGCTACGATAAGAGTACACTAGTCACGAGAGAAGATACAGGTTGTCTAGCATATGCGAAAATAGTGTGCAGCGGATGGTGTGCAGATTTCTAAATGGCAAAAAGAGAGTGAGTAGTGAAGAGACGATAGAGAGCAATAGTAACTGCATGAAACAATACCGCAATCTTTATTGGAAGTGAGAGTGATGATTGCTGGCGACTTTTGAATTGGGTGGTGGCGGGTGAATGAATCTGTGCTTATAATTGAACACTTTGAGGGTAATCTGCAAGTTGCAGATGTAACTTACTGTATGTCTTGCCACATGCATGCATGATTGTCTGCGTGCATTGCAATGAAGCAATTCATTAATGCATTCCTTCAATTTGAAAACTTGTTTGTGAGTTGTCTTTTATAGTTTTATGATTTTTAAAATTATATGTTGTAATTTATTACAGATTATCTCTCAATTCTTTGCTAATGTCAAATTATTCATAGATTTTATATGACTGTATATGTTTGTTTTTTTATTTCAAATCATAATGTGTCACTAAAATGAAATTTTTCTACGAAAGCGCAGATGTTGAAAGATATGAAGAGTCAATTTTATGATAGTATCAAGTTATCTCTTTGTATGTTTTATCATCTTTTGATGTCAGTCGAAGCAATTAAAAAAAAAAACACTATTTATAGGCACAATGCATCTTTATTCATAATCTAACAAATTCATTCACTGACAAAATTTACTCAGCGTTGCTCTAACCAATGATGGAAGTGGAAAGGTATCCGTTACACCGTGCTGCATTCTTCAATGATACACAGTCAATTGCACGACTCATTAATAATGGTTGCACTTCTAATTCATTTATTTTTTGTTCTGTAGTAAAATGTCGTAATTGCTAACTCTAAGCTCAATGTTTTAGTAGCTCAAAAGAATGCATTCTTTGATGGAAGTAAATATTTTTTGTTTAATATGTAAATCATGGACATAATTTGAAATGAGTTCAATTCTTTAGGTGCAGATCTTCATTTTCAAGATCGCCAAGGCAATACAGCTTTACACATTTCCACGATGCTGGGACACAAGGGTTTGTTTTTAGGATGAAACTTGCTTTTCGAATTTCTCATTGTTCTGGACTGAATACATAATTCATTTTCAGAGGCAACAACACTTCTGCTTGCTCATAATGCTTCAGTGAAATCGAAAAACAAGGATGGGTGGAATAGCTTAATGGAAGCAGTAAGCTATGGTGACCGACAAATAAGTAAATTAATTTCTTTTTAATTACTGTCGTTGTGGAAAATTTTCTCACTTCATATTATCTATCTTCCAGACATGTTTTTTAATGAACAGTATGACTTTCTGCTTCTGCTAAAATTTCTTATAGTCACTATGCGTGGGGCGTGGGTTGTTTTAGACTATAAATAATAACTTTTCAGTTCAAGATTTTTGTTTGGATGCTGGTAAGTTGTAACTGATTGTTATGTGAATGTTAGTATTATTATATACTGATTAATTTGAATCAGAATTAAATGTGACTTATATCTCCATGAAAAAATTCAGAAATAGTGGAAAACCGTAATGCTTCTGTCCAGAGTCATATATATCAGGTTAAACAGGTTACTAGAACTCCTACGTGCCGTACTATTAAAAGTCAATTTTTATTCAATTTCAGTTACAGCTATGTTACGTAAATTGAAGGCACAATCACGGGAAAATATGGCAGCTCGAAAACCTCATTTACTTAAGATGTTGTCTGAGTTTGGTGATTTCTACATGGAATTAAGATGGGACTTTCAAAGCTGGCGTAAGTTGTACTTACCGTTATTAGTTCCTTTTTTCTGTTTGGTGGTGGATTCGCTGATATCATAAACTTTGGGCAGATGAGGTCTTAAACAATATTCAAGATAATCGACGAGAATCATAATTAAAGTGACTCTTTTTAAATTTATTAAAAACTCGCAGTGCAAGTTTAGATTTATGTGGTTACAAAAATTCATACATCTTTTAAATTTCAGTTCCTCTGCTCACTAAGATACTTCCATCAGATGTGTGCAAGATATATAAATATGGGACAAATCTAAGGTTGGACACAACACTAGTTGATTTTACTGATCGAACCTGGGAACGAGGCAATATATCTTTCATCTTTTCATCAGATTCAGATCGCTCGAAGGACCAGTTTCTGATTTTAGATCATGAGGCTAAGGTTGTTTTCAGTATCAAAATCTTTTTTTTTTTTGAAGAAATTTATTGAAATTATTTGCATATTAATTTATTCGTTTCTTTCGGCTTACAATATAACTGTGGTTTTGAGGTATTCCAACGTATAAGGCACGAAGAATCAGAGACTGAATTGGATGAAGAAATTGATGTTCTAATGTCTTCTGATATTGTAAGCGCTCAGATGTCTACAAAACCAATAACGTTTGAAAGAACAATAAGTGGTTGGATTTTCAAACATGAAAAATTGGTAGTTTTTTTTTGTTTTCAATTGTTTAATTTATTCTAATTCTTTTCGGACTTTCGTCATCAAAGGCAGAGTTAAACTATCATTTTGACAGCTTTTGGCGCTCTTTTCTAATGTAGATGTTGATTTTGTAGGAACAAGTGGGTGATTATAATGCCGTTTATTATACTGTGGAGGGTATGTCACTAATTACACGTAAACGGTTAGTTTTTGTTCTGAAAATTTCCTGATAGCTATGAATTATTATTTGATTAGGAAGGACAAGTTTATAGTTTTTATTTCTCTGGAAGGTTTCATTTCTCTTCCATTTTTCTGCGATGAATAGAACATTCACTTAAGAGAAAAGTCATCAAGGAAGCAAAAATAACGAATTAATATTAAAGTCATCCGATTCGAATCGCTTAATTATTTTGAGATTTAACCTTATGATCTAAAATGTGAAAAGTTTTCATTTCGTTTATTTCTTTATTTTTGTTTTTCTAAGAAGTATCATTTTGTAGGAGAGAGCACTTGACAGCAGAAGATATCAAGAAAAATAAAGCATTCATGCAAAGTTTAGCAATGGGATCACTGTTGGCAGAAGATGAATTCATAGTAAGTTAAAAAAATTTTTCGTCTTACAGTTATTTTGATTTTTATCAGAGTTCTGTTGGCTTACTGAGTTTTCAGTAACACATTTAGTAATTAAATTGAAAAACAAAAATAACTGAAATTTATTTATGCCATTCGTGTATGTTGTCTGTAAAGATATCAGTTTCAGAGCCTTCAACATCGAAAAAGTTTACCTCCACCGCGAAAAACAGCGATCACTTGGGAAGAATATATTAATGCTGCTGCTGGTCTTGCTCCTTCTCTAGGACGTGCTCAGGTTCTTAAGCAAAATACAAAGAAATTCAAAGCGCTTGTTGCAATGGTAAAATTCTTTTTTACTAATGATGGTAAAATCGTATGAAGTATTAAAAATTTTTGAAAAACTTTCACTGATCGTGCTAAGAGAAACGATGTAGAAAAAAAACTTGTTCAACAACTTTATTAGCTGACATTTAGTAGTAAGATTCAAAACATCGAACAATAATTGCAGCATAATATATCAATAATTATCTTTATATCATTAATGATTAAGATAATAGATTTATCAAACAAGTGCTAGTTGTTGAGTTTCTTTTTGAGCTGTTTTTTTTTTTTTTTTTAATTCAGCTTTTGTAGGCCGAAGATTTTCCTCTTTCGGTTGACGTTTTATTGGATATTCTCGAAATTGTCGCACCTTTCAAGCACTTCGATAAATTGCGGTGTTTTTGTAAAATGAAGATGCCACCTGGTTTTCCAGTCCGAATCGGTAAATACTATTAAAGTTCAAAAAGTATATTTTAGAATTAATTGTGTCCATCTTTTCTATAAATTGTTTTTATATCCTATTGTTTCATTTCAGAAATTCCTATACTACCAACAATATCAGCGAAAGTCACATTCCAGAAATTCATGTTCCGCAATGATCTAACGCCAAAAATATTCAAAATACCAAAGTCGTATCAAGAAGATGCTAATCGTTTTCCGGATCTTTAATAGCGGCATTTGAAAGTGCAAGCCACAGGACTTTAGGAATTCATTAGATTGTTTCTTTTTTTGATCTCTACACAATTCAAAAGAGCTTCCTCAGATTCCATGCATGATTTTTTCGTGCATAAGGACTTACGTTTTCATGCTCTATTGTGCTCCATGCACTTTCTCTTTTATTGTTCCTTTTTTTGTCTTAATAATTAAATTGAATTCTTTATACGTAAATAATTCAATTTCATATGTGGTAAAGGTGTATGCGACTGTTAGATAATATTATCTTAATGTTATCATCTTTAATATTTTTAAAACGGGGTTGAGAGTTTTCTTGTGAATAGTTGAACACGTCTTTTTGATTGTGTAAGATAGTGTTATTTTAGATTACGGTTATTGAAGTCAGCGTACTTTGTAATCTTTGTTTGTTTTTGAAGCTGTATCTTACTGCTTTTTAAAATCTGTGCTTGCGTACATTTTTTACAATCTTTGCGTTTGCTCAGGATTTGATGGCCTCATATTGTTGAACAGGATGTACATGTTGCTAGGATAAACTTGGTATCATTTTAATAATGCAAAAGAATTACTTTGATTTCCTCACAGTGATGGTTCATTTTTAAATTTTTATTAGTCTCTTTATATATTTTTGCCTTGCATTGTTTTAAAGAGAGGGTAATAATTTCGTGTTACTGCATCTATCATAAATAATATATCAAGGACTATTTACTGGTACATTTTTTTTAAACAATGCTTTAGAAATTTACGAACATAAAAATCATTTCAGTTGTCTTCATAATCAAAAATATTTGATATTTGATGATTTTTATAAATATTTGAAAATTTTCGTTGTCCCATATGATTGGTTCAGTGCGCATAAAAAGTATCGTCGAGAATTTTGATGATTCAATGAAATAATGAATAAAGAATCCATAAAGTATCAATTTCAATCTATAGCATTGAAGTGCAGCACTGTTTTATATTGTTGGATCTTTTGTTGTTTCAACTTTGTCTTTATCTCCGGAATTAATGTTTTACTACTGAATTGCGGTTTTGGTTTTTTTTGATATTGGTGATAGACAGGTATTGATATCCTGGGTAATTTATTCTGATTCCCATACCATTTAATAATATTTGATAGAGTTTTTTTATAATCTGGGAACTATTTGGAAGAGCAATTATAAAGTTAGATATGTGGATATTGTAGCAGTGATATGACGATATGACAGTGATATGATAATAATTTTAACACTTTTTTGAATGATGATTCCTCCCAACTGATAAGCTAATTGTATCACATTTACGTTTTTGAGGATGGTTATCAGTTTCACTAATCACATAATCTCTTGACTACTTGTCAGCTTGTATTTTTTTTTACTCTCTGAGAATTGCAAGCTAACTCAATTCGTCTGTTATAGTCAAGTGGCTACCAATGATAGATCTTTTATTCGAAAATATTTCTCTAACTAGTGTTTTAAAATTGGAAGGAATCAAGATGTAAGTAGTTTGATTCAGAAATTGTAAGATTTTTCAGATAACAAAAGATTTGTTTGAGCATTGACTGAATGGTTTCCAAGGAATGTACTAGTGAAATGCCAAATTATCGATCTGTGGTGGATCGAGTTTACAAGCGTTATATTTTAAAAAATGATGGGAATGGTTTATGCTATTTGCGACATCCAAGTGGAGTAATAGTTGTGACATTGTGTAAAAGTCATGAATTGATACAAAAGCAAATTACAAAAATTGATTGGCGGATGAAGAAAAATAGAGGAATTGATCGAAGTAAACAGAAAGTTAGTGGAAAAGGGAAAAAAGTGAGATTTTTTTTATAATTCATTTAATCATATTTTTTCACATATTATAATTTTATCAGATCAATTTTATCATATTTTAAAGATATAAAAAAATTTGTTGAATTCTATGCAGGGTGGACTAGCACTACTACCAGATACAAAGCTATGTATTGTGCATTGTGAAGATGGTACCGAATATATACTACGTGCAGGTATTAAAGCTCTTTTAATTGAAATCAATGAACGACTTCTAGAAGATCCTAATCTAATGCGTTCTTCTCCTGAAAATCAAGGTTACATAGCAATAGTTATACCGTACTGCAATGAACGACGACAACTTCCACAAGCTTTTGCCGAAGAAGGCATTGATGATAGTTAACAATTAAGGTAATTACTTATTACTCTAACTAAAAAACCTTTTGTAATATTTATTCCTAGCAATATATCCTTGGTACAGTATGAAAGACTGCTTTGTCTTTTTAATTTCAATCATTTTAAAATTTCATATCACATCATATCACTTTTCATTGTCACAAACTTAAGCAATACTTCTTTGTTCCTTTTTTTTTTTAAAAAAAAATATTGATAGACATACTTATATGCTAATATTCTTTTTGGTAACGAAAATGATGAATTTAGCTTTTATTGCAATGAAAATTTTGTTATTTATTTATCATTTCTTTTTATTAATAGCTCCGTAAATAAATATCAAATTCTTATGATAATTCGCTGGAAAAAAAAAAAGCTATAATTTTGCAAATAGTTGTCTTTAGCTTCTCAATTTAGCCTTTATTTTGTTATTTTATTATTTGGATTGATTGTCTCTTTTAATTTTGATAATTAATAATTTATTTCAGAATTTGATTGCAAAGACGCATCTTATCAACACTTTTTCATCAATCATTGGTGGGAAAAAAAATTTTTCAAAAATTGTTTTCTTATTTTAGCACTTTTCTCTCTCTATATTTATGTAAATAAATCATTTGTGAGTGCTCTTTTTTTTTTTTTTTTTTGTTGCTCTTCATGAAGATATGCACTCGCAATTATCGAATTACTGTAAAGAACAGTGACAGAGGTACGAAATTTAGTCATCGATGAAAAGAACCCAATTCGTTTCCTTGTATAAAATAACATTCGTTGCATTCCTTTACAGAATGGGCAAAAGAAACAAAGGATTACTTCGATGATAGAAGGTTCCTAGAATATTTTGAAAAAATTTGGGAAAGAATTTTCTCTTCCAAATTTATTATTTATAAATTTATTTGACATTGTCACATAAAAGTCAAAATTTGTCACATAAGAGGATTTTTCCTTCTTCTTCTTCTTCTTCGGGTCGTCATAACATTCATCAAACAGTTTCACTGCTATCGATTGATTTTAAAGTTTGGAAGAATTAGCATCACTCAACAGATTGCAAATTTTCAAACGATTAATGTCATGATAAAATTAGAATCAAATTTGATTAAAGTCTTTCATTGATTCCAGAATTTTTTTTCATTGCATTTAAACTTGGTAGACCTGAAGGTCTGATAAGCATGGAGAGTTTACATTTTTTTTTTTGGAATTGGAAAGCATTAAAGGATAAGGAAAAATTACATTTTTGTTTTGTCGGTTCTAACTTGTAAAAAACCAAAATTGAAGAGCTGGAAAAAAAAAAAAAGAAAGAAAACATTTCATAAAAAAATTAAAAGTGGGACATCATTTGACAAAAAAAGAAAGAAAAAAGAAACGGAATTCTCTTTACTTATTTTTCAATAAACGAAAAATCTATTTGCGACCATATAAGTTGATGGAATGTTAAAGAATACATTCATTGTTTTTGCTAAAGTTAGGAATAATTCAAAATGTCTCAATGCTTTCAATTGAAAATTTTGTCACACAGATATATTATGTTTATATATTTTTATTATTATTATTTTTTCTTAATTTTTGCACTGTGTTTTTTTTTTTTTTTATTTAATTTCCAAGAAAGAAAAAAGAAGAAAAACAACACGAAAGGAAGGAAAGTTCTCTGTTTGATTCTCAAATATCGAGAAATTATGATGAGAATTATGATGTCATATTACAAATGTGCAAAAAAATAAGCTATTAGTAATTGGTAGTGGTCAGTGAAGTCCACTTATTGGTCATTTTATTTTCGTTGCTTTATGTATGAGAAAAGACATGCAATAGCATTATTTTATCTTTTAAAAATTGTACAAAATCAATTCAATTCATTCTTACATTGATCTCAACTTCTTCAGTTCGATCTGATTAAATAAACAAATTTCTATTATTATTATTATTAAAAAAAAAAACTTCTATTATTATTATTATCATTATTAATATTATTATTATATCATTATTAAATAATATTATTATTAATATTATTATTATCGTTATTAAATATTATTATTATTATCATCATCATCATTAATATTATTATTATTATCATTATCATTAATATTATTATTATATATTATTATTATTACCATCATTATTAAATATCATTATCATTATTAATATTAATATCACAACATTTAAAATATTATGTTTAAATATATAATTGAAATATATAATATATATAATCAAATTGATGGAAATATTTGCATTTATAGCTAATAATTCAGTTTCAAAACTTCAAAATTTCTCACATTATTGTTTTTTTTTTTTTTTTAAATTCATCTGCATTGTTTCGGTGTAACATTTAAAAAAAAAAAAAAATTGAATGTAAAAAAATGAGCAAAAATATTTCTGTAAGGCGTAATTTGTTGTAATATTTTTTTTTTTTTCACTTTTTTATCAAATTTATGAATGTAAATGCTAAATATTTGAAGCACTTATAAATAAAACTATAAAACATTTTAAGAACAAATTTTTTAATTTAATTTTTTTTTTTTTTTTGCTATTAATTAAAATTGAATGTAATTTCAAATACATAAAAGTTTTTTTTTTTTTTTTTGAAATTCATGATGGACATGATTATTTGATAGAAGCAAGAGACATTAGCAATTTTAGTTTATTGAAATGTATGTCCAATGTCATAAACAGTGGTTATTTCAATTTATATAAAATGAAATTTGTGATTTATTTGAAAGATAATCAATGAATGCAATCTGAAAAGAAAAAAAGAAAAAAAAAAAAAAAAAAACAGAACGAATTTCAATTTATTTTTTTTTTTTATTGAAAAAAAATATTTTCTTCTAATTGTAATTGTAAAGAGTTCATTGTAAAGCTATGAATGTCATATGCATTTTCTTTTTTAAAATAAAAAAAGAAACAAATAACATTGTTTACAGAAAACTTTCATTTATTTCCAACAAATATCTTTTCTTGTTTTTTTTTTTTTTTTTTTTTTTTGTAACAGTGTAATACATTTTTCATGTAATTTCAATTAATTATAATTGTCTATTCACACATGTGACGTAAACAACATTGTTGTTGTTGTTGTTGACAATCACTAAACTATCATCAAACAGAAGAATGACACATAAATATTACATTGTTGAAATACATTTATAAAGATTTTAAAATTGAAAAAAAAAGAAAATTTTTTTCTGGGTATATTCTATTTTAAAATTTAAATTAATCCAGTTTTATCCTAATTTGTTGTAATTTTTGTTTTGACATTGCACACAATTCTCGAATGATTCGAGAATAGAAAAAAAGTTCATTTTCTGGAAAAAAAAATTTTTTTTTTCTCACAAATAATAAAAAATTTTTGTTAAAAATTTTTTTAAAAAAAGTGAATTATAAGATTACGGAACTAATTTAACGTAAAAGTATTTAACGTGATTACGTAAGTACCATTTTTAGCTAACTGCAAACAGATCAGCAATCGTGAATGACGTACTGTTTACGTTTCATATAAATGCTAAACTTCAATTAAGTAAGTACAAATTAATTTAATTATTAACTTTAATTAAGATAAATATATATATATGAAATTAATGTCATTAAAAGTGAAATATTTTGCAATTTGATTGAAATAATTACATACCAAATTTGAATTTAAAATTTCAAACATTTGTTATTTCTAAATTTGAAATTCTCAATTCTTTTTCAATTAATTGGAAAGGATTTTTTTTTTTCAAAAATTTCAAAAGTTCTAATTTAAGCTTTCAATTTAATTCTGAATAACTATTTTCTGAATGTTATACATAATTTTTATTTTCACAAATCGATAAATAATTATTAACATCGTACCACCTGTTCACAAATAATTAATAATTAATTAAAATATAAAAGCCACAAGGTAATATCTAACATTGTGTAGCAGAATTTGTGTTTTTTTTTTTTTTTTTTATTAATTAAAATGTAAGTGTCACTTTTGATAATAAATCATTTACAGTTAATTTGATAAGTTGATATAGAAGAAACTTGAAATGATACAGCAAATTGGAAATGAATAATCGAATTTCTCAGATAAATTCTCAGCATAAATAAATTCCAATTAAGCTTTTAATTTGTGCAAAATGAACTGTGATATCATCCATTTAAATCAAGGTATTACACCTAAGTAATCATCAAAGTAGTCATTGTTCTTTTTGTATTAATTTATTAATAATTTCATGAAAAAATTTTTTTTCAACTTTTTTTTCAATTTTTTTTTTTTTTTAAATTCAAAATACTTTCCGCTTTTGAAATTTCTATTCATTTATTTCTCAATTAAGATAGCATTAAATTTTCTTGAATTCTAAAAATTTTATTAGAACATAAATAATGCAATAATATTATTTATAAAAATGAAAGACTTATAAAATTATCTTATCAAACTTGCAAATGATTAATTTAAATGTTAGCAAATATTTTAATTTTAATTTTTTTTTTTTTTTTTAATCATTTTGAAATATTTTCTTTAATTATTCTTAAAATCTTCAAAAATTTTTCTTAAATTCTTCATATTCTATTCTGGTGCAATCATTAGTTAAAATATTGTTTTTTTTTTTTTCCTTTTTTCACTAAAGAAAATATCAAAACAAAAACTTTTGCATAGGAAATTAAATTTAAAAAAAAAAAAAAAAGAATCAAAAAAAAAATTTTTTAAAATTTATCAATTTTTTTTTGACATTTATGATTAAACTGAAAGTAGTAGCGTATGAATTTACCTGAAAATAATGAGAGATGAATGATGCAACTGATAAATTACTTTGTTTACAACGAATATCGATGAGAGATAAAAAAAAGAAGAAAGAAAGAAAAGAAAAGAAAAGAAAAGAATTTAAATGATATAAAACAGGTCTATGAAAATTTCTGAGAGAACAATTATTAATGAATAATGAATTCTTCTTAGTGCTTCGTTTTTAATTTAAATCATTGATACATTCTTTTAAAATGGAAAAAAAAAAAAAAAAAAGTTTACATACAGATTAAAATTTCTATTGATAATACATTTTATCA